CCGCCTCCGTTTCTTCCAATAGTGATAACTCCCTAAGTCCTCATCCGTTCCAAGCGTTCTTGGACTCGTTGGAATCAGTGCGTCGAGCTCTTTCCAACGGGACCCTAACTTGGTCAAGGCGCCCGAGGGTTGACCTAATTATGGAGGGTTTCCCTACAGCCGCGGACATCCTCCGAAGGCGGGTTTTGCGCCTTGCGTCGTAGGGGTCCTAACTGCAGAGCTCTCAGGGAGGGTGGTGCCTGTCCTTACTGCTGCACCCCAAATCCCAGATTCTACAAGATCCCTCGAGAATCCCCGCGATCTTCCGGATTCACTCCGTTTTGATGTACCGAAGGCTATTTACAATGCTGCCAGGGTACAGTTTTCCAAAAATGTTTTAATTTCCTCAAAATTGCCAAAAGTGGGGTACCACACTCAATCACGTGCTTAGGAATCCACCTGTATAGATTCTCCTTCTTGATCATTAATCACATAATGATCAAACTCTCCCAGGACCATATCGGAGAGTGAATATTTTTCACTTGTCACTCTAAAGAATCTAAAAAACTCTTCCCCATTTTCAATTATTAAATGACATCTTAATGACAAAAAGCTACAAGCTACTAGATACCCATAAACTGTAAAACGTATTGTTGCCAAAACACATAATATCGTACTCTTAGATCAAGATACTCTTGATCTAAGATCAAGACTTGTCTTGTGTCATCTCTGTTCATAAGGTAACATTGATATAAAAACAACTTCCGTAATGATTTACTCCTTCTGATACATCTATCAGCTCTTGAAAATGGTCAAGATGCACTAATCTCGTTGATAGTTTTCCAACGATACTCAATTTGCCTATATTCCGCTGAAGATTATCACGGATGAAATTCAAACGAACAGAATATTTACTAGGGCGGACAAAATCTTTCAAACGGATGAAATCTTCAGTACGGAATATATTTGACTGACGTATGTTTTCAAGAGAATCTGCCTGACGATCTTGCCCGATGTGCTCGTTGCCTCTCCCAGGTTATGTCCAACCTTCCTGTGGCTACCGCGTGGTGCGTCGTGCATATTGCTCGTTCCTACACGACCGATACGCGTTTGTTTTTTAGCACGAATGGTTCGCTTGCGATGCATTGTCGCTGCGTACCTCACACCCAATCATTTCCTGGGGCCTTGTATGTCAGCGCAAAAAATCAATGAACAGATCATTTTTTTAATATTGATTTATCTACCTCGCCGCTTGTTATGTCTCCACTTTGTGCTTGGTCAATTCTGCGCCTATCCTCACAACCTCGCGCTTGGCCGGGATTGATATCACCTGTGCGTGGCCTCATCTCCACGTGATAGAATCTAATCGAGTGCTTCCTTCCGTGCTTGATTGCGAGCTAAATCAAGAAATTTCAACATTTCTTGAGAATTGACATGTTAGGTTCCGCCAGACCTCACATCCCTCTCGTCTCCACGCATTCTCCTACGTGGACTCGCTCTCGGCACGCGTGTCTTTCATCTGGCGCAATTTTTTTGCTGAGATATATGCACTCGTCTGTCCACTGCCTACCCTTGCCTAATACTTGCGCCTCTAATCAGATCGCCCGTAGATAAATTTGTTGATCCTTAGAACTCATGGACTTGTTCACAAGACCCCGAATTAGATTTTTTTTGATTAATTTTCCTATCTGATTTAGCTTAATCATATGTCTCTTCCTGCTTCTCTTTGTATATGAGTTCCCTCAAATCATACTTGTTGATTTGTCTCTTTTCAAATTTGAATTTTATCTTTGTAATAGGCTGTGCAGATGGCTCTTGCTTCATTTTTGCAAGTTCTTGGAAATATGGATGAGCTAGAGCTTGCTCAGCTGTAGATCTATCTCTAAGGTCAAAAGCAAGCATCAAGCGAATAGCTAGAGAGTCTGCATTTAAGAATTTATGTGAGAATTAAATTGTTTGTTTCTTTCTCATACTTGTCAGATACCTTTTGGCCATTTCATTACGAACCCTTTATACTGCCTCGGATGAAGGACTGCATGAGATCTGTCATGAGATCGATCTGATGATCGACATTTTTTTTCGGAAAAAATGACATTTCAATCTGTACTTCAGCGAATATACACCCTATGCTCCAAATATCAATTGCAAGAATGTACTTGGCAAAAAAGTACCCACAAAGTTTAGGGGCTCGATACCACCTGGTGGCTACATAATACGTCTAGATTATGATTGTTGGTGCATCTTTGAAAGCGACGCGAGCAAGATCAAAATCACATATTTTCAGCTTGCAATCTGCCTTGGCAAGACAATCTTTGAGTTCGAGTCTTGATGATATACATTCACTATCTGAATGTCTTTCAGAGCACAGAAAAGCTAATATAGAAAGAATCAATAATGCTCTCGAATCAAATCGTCATTCGTTTTGATGAAATGATGAAGATCAGACTTCATAAGTTCAAACACCACATAAATATCTTTGAACTCCCGGCGGGACTGAGACACCATGATGTGCTGAATCTCAACAATGTCAGGCTGGCGCAGAAGACTCAAGAGTTTGATCTCTCGCAAAATAAAAGTTGCATATGACACATGCTAAAAAATGTCATTGATCTTCTTGATAGCAACTTTTCTCCGATATGTGTGTCAATCGCTTAATATATCACCCCATAGCTATCTTTTCCTATTACTTCTTGGATTTGATACCGATTTTGCTTCACCATACTCGTTTTCGAACATGATCTTGTTTGTCCGCTTTCCTTTGTGCTCCGCGGTCGCCCGTTCCTATGCTGAACATTTGGCTCGCTCCTGCGACGACAAGTACCAGATGCCGATGCTCGTATTCGTTGCTCGGCCTTGCATGCGCTATTGCTTCATCTGTCTTTCACTCATCAGGTAGACCGAGCAACATATCACATATCATGTCAAACATGTGACTATCTGCAAAGACAAGAGCTAATTCTGTACTTTACTCTGTGTAGCAAAATGCTTCGATGCGACCTTTGTCATCGCAACGTAATCCTGGTCACGAGGCTTGCTCAAATTGGATAAATCCGAGACATAAGAACTCGCGCTCACCTTGATAAAAGCTTTTTTCTCCGACCTCAAAGAATTTTCATGTTTCTCAAAAAATGAACTTGCTTTCTTGAAAAAATTGTTAGTAACTTCAAACAAACAAAGAGTGTTGTTCAGTCAAAACTTGAGAGTTTTGTTCTCTCAATTCATGAGGTTCACTTTGAGGTAAAATTCTATCACAAACTGTCGCAATAAAAAAACCATAAAAAACTATCTGTCATTGCTTCTTTGCCTTCACAAGCTCTATCAAAAACTCGTAAGGTTTTGACTTGATCTAGCCTGCACGAGCTCAAATTCCTGAGGGAAAACTTAGAGATCAGTGAGAAACATAAAACGGTGAGAAAAACATTAAGTTTAAGAAAACTCTCAAATTGTCTTGAATACTTCGTCCTCATATTCTTGTCACCGTTGAAAACGAAAAGAAATGTCAAAAATCTGATAACACTATCAGATTTCTGTCATGGTCAGACACTAAAATACTATCATCGTCAAAAACACTCATGAGGGACAAAAAATTTGTCACCGATTGAAAGAATCCATCTTAAAATATTTAATTTTTCATGCTATGAATCAGACTCTAAACCTGCTCTGATATCAATTGAGAGCGTAAAACCATAGAATCGTCAGTCACAAAACCTTCGGGCTAACAACCAACGCGAGAAACACAAGCTAATAACGTGGTTCCCCATTTACCACACTCAAGGGCTACATACAAGAGGAAAATTGCATAGTGAGTTTATATTGAACATTTTGTGTGGTAATTTAATAAAACTTGGCTGTATATACCTAACACCTACGACCAATCTCATCTATAATGAACTAAACATGAGATTTCTCGTTAAACCAAATTAAATTCAACATAAACTAACCATCACTTATGCATCTCAATCAAATTAAGGTAGATAAATCAGGAGACTTTCTAATATAAACATGCATGTGTATATCTCATACTCTACTTGAGAACTGACTTATACAATGTATAGAAAAAGTAACTTTATGAGATGTTTATTTGGATGATAAACAGTTTGTAGTTCTTTGATAACAGAATTAAGATACGCAAGATGTAGTATCATAGAGTTGTTTTTCATAGTTAGAACCAGGTCAATCCTAGCCATTCAAGTAAATTCATACTAACTTCAACTATCAAATTGCATTCACTTCCAAGATAAAAAGTCAACGAGCAAAACTCCCATACTAGATATGATATGCATCGCCACAAATCGTAAATAGCTACAACTCCCTCTTCACATTGGCACATTGTAAAGTCACTTTCGCATCGTAGCTCAATCCACAAGTTCCCTCTACAACATCACCACCAATCGTAACCTACCCGCTCAATCCAGGAAGCTGACGTGTCGAGCAATAAACTAGCTAGTGATGAACAAGCAGAAAAAATAGAACATTGTGGCAACCTCCTTTTCCCAGCTTTTAAGGAGGGCAGGGGAAAAATAGATATTATCTAATCAATTGATGATATATAGAAGGCCAAAAACTTTGAGCAAAAATAAAACATCGTTGCAACCTCCTATTCCCAGCTTTTAAAGATGGAAGGAGGGCAAGGGAAGAATGCATATTAATTAAATAAGTAAGGATATACAGAAGGCCAAAAACATTGGATTTGAAGCACCTGGAGAGCTCGAAATTCAGAAGTCAAACTCCGATACCGTACTTTCGTCGGGGCTACGAGAATCCGAGCATTCGAACGGCCGCCTAGGCCCGCTGCGGCTCGACAAAAAGGCCGAGAGCGGCAAGACGTACCCCCGCACTGCAGCGCGCTCCATGTCAGCGTACGAGGCACGCCTCGATCGTCCACTCGATGGGTTCGGGCGGACTTTGACCAACCGAATCGCGCCACGTCGGAACCCCGGGAATCGGCAACCGCACTTAACGGACTGCGCTTTGCTTCGTGTCCCCGCCACCCAATCCTTGCCTTCTTCGTCGATCAGTTCCAGTTCTCGAGGAGAAGCGCCAGCCGAGCAATTGCGCAGTCGCCTCCTCGTCCTCCTCCTCGTCGAATGCTTGTGCTCATTATGACTGCGCTTAATTTGCAACTGGACGACGAATTGGGCGTGTTTTCTCCACCTTTGCACGTGCATGGGCTCGTCAGTGCCTGAAGAGCGAAAGAAGGAACGGATGCAGAATGTGCTCTCTTCTCTGTGTGTGTCGATTGCGCTCGATCCTGTTTTTGTATCCTAATTGGGCGATTTCTTGCAATTAGCGCACCATCGAGGCCTTGTGTCTGCACACAGTCCGGGGGTTGTTCCTTTTTTGCGCATACATTGGGCTATACGGACAGCGATGCCCCGAGGGCAGAGTGGGAGGTGCCAGCTGATTTTGCGTTGAGAGCTCGAGCTGGAATTCTGTTCGAGGAGTCTTTTGTGTGAAGGATTTTCTTTTGCACATAGGTTGCGTGACAGTAGTTTTGATGAAGTTTCTCGCGAATATTTTGCCTTGTGAATTTTAGAGAGTGACCGGTTTTAGGTGGTGTAGGAATTCCGTAGAGGTTGGTGTTCAATTGTCGAACGGGACAGAGTGTTCTTTTATTTGCGCGGCGTTCGCACAAGGCCTTCTGAGGGTTGTACTTGCTCGAAATCTCGTTAGCTGTTTGGAGTGGGGGAAGTACCGCGTTGTTATCGGGTCGACGCCGAAATGCCTCAATTGAGATCAGGAGCTGAGCGTACTCGGAGCACTCCTGCGTCTCCAGGATCCGAGTCTGCTTCGTTGGATCTAGGCCCCCTTCAGCAAGCTCTGATGGCTCCTCGTACCCCGCTTGTGGTGCAGCAGAACAGGTGCGTGGGAATTATGCTTTCTCTTTCTACTGTACTTGGACCACTTTTAGAACGCCGGATGAAATCGTCGGATGTTGGAAGCTAGAATCGTGGATTGAAGCAGTTTGTACGGTTGTCGAGAGCAAACGGTTGAGCCGGATTTGTCACATAGGTCAGTGAAATCACCGACTCGGGTTGGTGTCCGAGCGATTTTTCTGACGATCTCCGAAAGGCTCCACGGTTCTCCGAGCAGGGTGTCGAAATTGTTCGAACTGTTTGCTATCTGCTATCTGCTCCAAAGACTGTCGTAATGAACCGGCCTCCAATTTCTTCCGCAGGGAAGGGTTGTACGTAAAGTCCCGACTTTTAATGTGGTCAGTAACGATCTGTATTTCTTCTGTCTTTCAGACGTGGTCTTCGTTCTCCAACTCCCAGGCAGCAGTTGAATGGCAAACAGATTATCAGACCTCTCTCGGCTCTGCCGCGGACTCCGAGGAGGTCTCCAAACAGTGAAGGCAGTAGGGTAGTCTCCACATCAAAGCGGCCGTCAACAGCAGAAGGCAGCAGAGGCACGCCTTCTTCAACTACTTCTGACGGAAAGAAACGAGGAAATTCAAGCCTGCCAAGAAGCAGGGCGGTGGATCTAGGTCGAAGAGGCTCCGTGAACGCCACGAGGTTGATAGAGTTCGAGACCATTCCAAGTGTGACCAGATTGCCGCCTGATCTTTTGTGTCTATGCTTTACGAGCATCGAGTCACTTTATTACCTTGTAAATTGTGCTTCTGTTTGCCGTGCATGGAGAGAAGCTTTGCTTTCCGACACGGTAAGGGTACTCCATTTTATACCATGCATGATAGTGAGAGTCAGCATGTTACTGTCAGATGAGATTTTTCTTTTCACTCGGTGATGTGAAGTTCTTCAATTAATATCACTGAATGGACGTCTCTTTGTTCGACTATCCGATAAAATTCGGCATGGTTTGCGATTGGTTTTCGGAGGATCGTCATGTCAAGCAGTGATATATACAAATCTGCCAAAAGAACTCTCTTCCTGTGTTTGAAGGTCTATCAGTTCTCAATTGCTGAGAGAAGTAGGAACTTTCAGCTGCTGAGGATTGCAATTACATGGGTCTGCCGTATCATTCTGTCTGTAAATCTTGTTGTTCATTTTATGCATTCTGTATGCCTCTGAAAGCTCTCGTCGGTATAGCAGGAGAGGCTAGTGCTTTTGAACTTGAAAACTTGGAAAATATCGGCGTACTTCATTTTGCATTGTGGGCCCGACTCGTACGCATTGACAATTGGTAGAATACTTTAAGTTGCTCTTGAGGACGGTAATTTGAGGTTCTCAAATTGTGAGATGCAGGTTTGGAATCCTGTTTATATGAGATGGTGGCATCTGATGGAGAGCGATGGTTCATCAAACGGGGAAGGCCTCGATGTGATAAAGAGCCCAGTTTCACCGAAGGACCCACCCAAGGGTTATGACACCTGGCGAGATGCTTTTATTGGCAACTTCCAAAAAGGGGTAAGCTGTTTCAGATTGTATCTTTTATTCCGGGCAAACGTCTTCATGCATCTTATATGGAGGCAATTGCTTACGAGTGGAAGCAATTCGACGCTCTAATCTACCTAAAATGGTAATGTGATCAGAAGCAGAAACTTCTAGCCCAAGAGAAGGCACAAGCAGTAGAGAGAGGCTATCTTCACCCTCGTCGGGTGACTGATAGAAATGGGAAAAGAGGTACAGCACGTACTCCCTCCATGGGGAGCTTAAGCTGCGTCAAAGAGATGGCCTGCCGAGCATAATTGTTTTCAAAGAATCTATTTTGATTTGGCAACCATGGCTTCTGACTATCATCGTCATGTCGAACTGGCATAACAAGTACACGTGAATGGAATTGGACCGTTACTGTGTGTGGCTGCTCAGATTTCGGTCTTTATAAGCTGAACTTCGTGCATGTGTTGGAATCCAAGGAAAAGGCAGAATTTGGTGGTCTATCTCCTAACATGCTGTACTTTTTGAACCTGTAGTCTTTGACTGCGTTCAGGGAGAAGCGATGCGGAAGCTTACTGCATATCTTGGTCTGAGGTTTCAAGTTTGCCTTAATCGTGGAAACCCAGTTAAACTTCAAGGTAAACACTTTTTGCTTTCTTATTCAACTTATGCAGGTAAGTGGAGTTGTTGATTGGCTTTGTTTCTTAAGCACCTGATAGCTGACGAGTCGAATCAGATATCTTTTTCTTAAGTTCATTTGTAGCATTCTGAAACGAATTTAACGTCATAATAACTTCCTCATGCGAATGCAAATGCAAATGCGAGCAGTTGACCTTCGATTCTTTTCAACTTATTTGAAGAGATTCTTGTTTGCATGGACAGGGAAAGGGAAGGTTGAAATGTTCGACAGTGCATGCATACTGCGGTATCCTGCCACGGGGATCGGTAGTCTCGACTTAGCTGCTCTGAAATTTATTGAGGTTCGTTTTATCTATGACCAGCTCAGAGAGAATCGAGAGTGCTGCCGATTTGGGGTTTGGATTAAGTCTCGTAAACAGCTTTTAATGGAGAAGATTGTTAGAGAATAGAGGAAGATTATTTGACCAATTATTAAAGTTTCTCTGGAAACTGGTGAACTGGATAGTCAGTATTTCTCTTTGGCTTGTGATGTAGCTCCGTTCGGTCCAGCTCGAAATCCCAAGATGACCTAACTTAATGACTGGCGTGAAGATTAAATGCTCTGTCTTGTGGTTCGTTTTCGCAGGTAACGACTACAAGTGACAAACTTCTACGTGGCTGCCCAGTCCTGGAACTTGTATCCATCAGATGTGAAGATGTGGCTGGTAAAATTAAGAGAGCATGGTACTTCTTTCTTTTGTAGTTGCTTGATCGTGTTGCAGATCACCTTGACAATGAGAACATACTCGCCTTCAATTGGCAAATTGGGAAATTGTCTCGACGCCCAGTCGCAGTCCAGGGCCTGTGAGACTTCTCCAGCAACGGATATCAAGTGGAGTCTCTTTGATAGTCGGTACACTGGCCGAGGAGTCAACGCAAGTAGATGGTTTCAGTGGACAGGAGCAGGTATTGTGGCTGTCCCAGCGTTGCAATTTTATCGGTTCAACCAAGCCAATGGGAAAAGACTTTTCTTCTGGTGCTATTTTAAAAGGTTGGCTTTTAAACGCAGGTATATTTCTAGTATCGGGGTGTTCCACCGTGCGACAGAGTTGAGTTTTTTTTTCCAGAATCTCATAATAGTTTCCTGTACCTCCGTTGATATATGTCTAAAAGCAGTTTGCCTGCGCAGGTGTTGCTCCTCGTCATTAATGTACATCTCAGTGATTTGCTGTGGAAGCTGATGCAATTGGGGGAGGGCCCATCGTCTAGATCTGCCAGGAGGATTGTGGGCGATGAACTTGATCCCCACTATGGTGCGTTCTACAAAGGTTGAATGAAGAGAATCTTTAACTGCTTAAAGGATGTGTATCAACAATCAGCCACATCTTCTTACATGCATTTGCTGGATGCGCAGGTTTGCACAGCTGGCATGTAAGTGTACAGTTTCACACATTCGGAAGGAATATATGGACTCGACACTTCAAGCAGGTAGAGGAATCATCTATAGAACAAACATCAGATTGAGCCGTCAACCTGAATCTCAACAATTCTTCTGGTTTTGAAGTTTGGCTGGCTTCTTGCGAACATCGCACACATCTGCCTTCTAAATTTGGTTCGAACTTGGCTGATGTCATTGCCCATTTTGCAGGTGTTCTGGAGTCCACGAGAGTCCATTCCTGGGGAGAAAGCGGTATTCTTGCTTTTGTCTCAAGTGAGATATTTGTCCACTTCCTCATGTGATATTCACATGTTTTATCAAGTTATCTATTCTTTTGGCGCGTTTAGAGTTCGGGCCTTGCACTAAACCTTCCCCGCGAGAGAAAGTGTTGTTTGAGGTTGGACTTGATCTCTGACAGGAACTAACGTAAAAATGTATCGGTTCTGCCAAGCTGACCTGTCTCTTAGCGTCGTCAGCGTCGTTATTGACTGTATACAACAGCGTATAGGTAGGAGAGTATAGGGTCGAGTACAGGCTGAACTTCAGGATGGCTACCACCGTAGTTGATAACAAAATCTGGTGGGAATATGGAATTTTCAGCATGAAGTCTTTCCAGGGGTGTTGAAACTACCTTGGAAAAGCGAAGCTTTTTCAGGCACTCTTGGAGGTGTGTACATGCTCGACTTCACTCTCTGGGATGATGGGGGCGAAATTGCATGGCAGTACAGCGCTGCAGTCCGTATTGACCCAGCCCCTCTGGCCGTAGTTGAGGTCCGTACTTTGAACCGATCCTGCTTTTGATTTGTGAATCACATCACTTTCGTGTGAGTACAATGTCTCACCTCAGATCATCACTTACGTTTTGATCCATTTAAGTTAGCCCATGGAGACAGTTAGGGTTCTGTGAATATTCTTATGAGCCGTCTGATATGTCGAGGAATTGTGAGGCAACTAACCTGTAATTTCGTTGTTTGCGTGCCAGTATGGTTTGGAGTTTGATGGAGAACGTGTTCATACTCTCGTCACCGATGATGAGCGCGGAGTCAGTCTTTGTAGCAACATGTGTATTCCTCTCAGCATCACGCAGTGGGGTACCACAGCAGACACTGTGGTTGCCATTACTAACTTGCAGCTTACCCTGACTTCTAAATTCCTACAAAGCTGGTGTGGAGTAGCAAACATCTAGTCTCCTTCAAGATGAAATCGTGCCCTTAGATTTGTGCGTGTAATTGTATAGTCTGTAATTCTTCTTGTGACGACACGGTTACTATATTGTATATACATTGTTGTTGGCTGCCTATCAGCCAAGGTACATACGGTTGCAAAACTTCCTAGTTCATTGCCTTCAGTATTTCTTTGTAACTATATTTCTTTGGAGACAGCTCTGATTGTAAAAACGAACATTGGATCTTACGGGAGCATGACTTCAAGTTCCTTGATCGCAGAATATTGACATGTCGCGACTACTGAATGTCTCCGCCCCTTCCATATGAAAATAATGAGAAAAGGACTTGAAAGCCCAACTCAAAAAAGGAAGGAAGTGGTAGGTCAGTTACAGCACAAAATATACTTAGTGAATCTTAGTACACTGTATGTAACTGTACAATTGGGTATAACCTGAAAGATAAATTTGATACAGATTATTCCATTCTCTTGATGTCTGTTAAAGAAACCTGTAGTCCTCTTTTGCTCAAAGACCGACTAAAGACTTCCACTGTAGAAATAATATATGACCTCATGGCCTTCATGAGAATTCTCACAGGATGGTTTACACGACTTATCATAAAACCTTAGGACCACGTCACCCAGGAGTCCAAATTATCAGGAGTGACGAGTATGTTCACAGGGCTTCAATAATTAGAACGCAGTCCAACTAAATGTAATGAATTCAGACTTATGTTTATAAATCACCATCAATGTCATGGATTGTACGAACTAAATAGGTTTAAAGCAGACAAAATATATCTACGTGTAGCTGAACATATCATGTATTATGATAAAGATAGTAGTACGTTTTACACTATGTATGTATATATGCATACACATATATACAAAAAATACTCAACGAAAGTTAATCTTCGAAAACAGAAATAACAATCAGCAAGAAAGACTTGTCCAGGTATGTTAGCATTACGGAAATCTTACATAGGTGAATAAGGATTGGGAAAAGCTGCTAAGTGTAACATGCAAATAGAAAAAAGGGAGTTGATTTAAGAAGAATGAAGAAGTAATGAACAGATGGTTCAAACTAATATAGTTGACAATAGCGTGATTTGATGACTGTTGTAAAATCCTTCAACATTGGAAAATTATACATTGTGATCAATAGAATTTTCCAATTTACAAAAAATGACTATTTCCATGTGAAGACAAGATATGACTTGCAAACATTAATATGGGATCCATTGCGTTGATGTATGTTCCAAGCAGTCGGTTGAAATGAAGGCATAAGAGTTACTTTTGAGAACGGGAAGTTGTTTTGAAGAAGATAACCAACATAGAAGTACACTATATTATTCATAGTAGAAGTGATTGTCACATGTAATGGGCTCACATGCGAACTGATTCCATAACATAGTGGAGAACAAAGCATATACTGTAGCCTTAACCGAAAGAACAAGAGAACAAGGGTATTGAGCGTATGCCATGATTCTTGGGAAAGAGAAGAAGTAAAGCGTCTCAGACTTGGGAACCGTTAAAATCTTTGATATCTGCAAGTGCCCCCCTCCATCAATCTCCCATGTCGACGTGGCAGGCTCTTCAACTCCTGACTTCCGCCCCAACGGAGCACAAACTTCTCGAGAGCGAAGGATGGGATGGCTAATGCTTTCATGATGACAATGAAATTTTACAGGTCATAGCCAAAAAGCTATTCCCTAAAACCTTGGAAATGAAGAGTCTACAGAGAATTGTGTTCTCAGCGCACCTGGCTACATGAAAAACTGGGCTTCGACAAAGTAGCGTGAACAAATCAACGTTCTTTGTCCGGGGCTGGGGCTGTTTGCGAAAATTACATCACTGCATGTGTTTATGACAATCATTTGAACTATGCTTTGCTCTCACGTTGAGGGCATCACCATGACGACAGCATCTTCCAAAAACATAGACATATGCACAGGAGATATGTTTGAACAACTTACTCCATCATATCACTAACCAATCAAAAGAGTGATTTGTGGGATGCGGGCTCACCCAAAGCACAAAGGAGGCAAATTGTATTACTATTGGTAGCTAGACGTTTACTTTACTGATGGCGTTATGATCATAACGTCTAATGGACGAGTACTAGAGTCGTCTTGATGGCGTACGATCGAAATCCAGCATTCTTTGAGTAAATTGGAAGGATCACTTCATCGATCTTACTGAAATAACCAATAACTGGACCTCGTCGAAAAACTGGAGCCACCCTCAGACATTAGTATTAATGAGCAGGAGACGCATCAAGGATAGGATACTTGACAGCGTGCGGACTCCTTCAAATGTAGCCTGTTACACCAAGCTCTACAAGGATGTACAATGACCTATGTTGTCACCAAGGCTCAGTAATTTTTCCCTCATGGACAACATTTATGAACAGATCTTTGCATATCCTACTCTGGTTTTCAAACTGTTCCTCAGTAAGTACTGGATACCTTTGTTCTACTTATCTGTTCTCATGACTGTGATGAACTGGTTCAGAGACAAAAAAACACCTCTAGAGGCTTCGTCCACATTTGCTGGATCGATTCACAGCACCAAGACAATTAATATAGTACTATGCTCGACATTTCAGGTGTATTTTACACACCATGAAAAATCACTCACTAAGAGAGGTCGCCTATGAAGTTGCAGACCGCTACTGATTATATTGCAAGTCACTAACCTTCAAGCTCATTATTATGTGCACAAGTGATTAGGAAGTGCATCATCTGCAATCCCAGAGCAGCTACACTAACTAATGCTAGCGGCTTCTCACCTCATATCGCAATTCAAAGCCTGGTTGAAATGCGGATGCTAAATTTCAACCTCCTGATCAACGTACGTGTCTACGTGAGCCATCGGACCTTTAACCTGCTGCTTTCAGATAGATATGGACCACGCGAGCAAAAGATATTTCATCTCTGTACTTAGAGACGGAATATCTCCTCGCATTCTACCATTTTACGTGAGCCAACTCCTGTGATTCTGAAGCACAAGACTCTGAGGTCATGCCTTTCAAAGTTCAGTATCGAGCCATAACTTGTAATATGTCGGATGTGTGACACGGGTCAAAGGCAGTGAAATCGTCGGCGACGGGCTTTTAATCTTTGGCGTATCAGACGAGTTTCATCCAAAGAATCCTGAGAGAGTTCGATGATCTCCACAGGTAAGGTAGCTGGTTTCACGTCATTCTGAGGTAATTCTGCTCCAGCACAGAAAACAAACTCATCGTATTAGTACAGATCAGGGAAGTGCCTTCCAAACCCCAATTTCAGAATGGAATCTTCTGTACATGGAGATCATAGAAAACTATTTTTAGGTAGAAAATGTGTTATAACCCAATTAGTTAGCGTCTAACTCGTTACTAGACATCACTGTTTTTTTTTAATTTGTTCTTTATCTTCAGCTCTGAAACACTCAGAACTCACTTACTTGAGCCAAGGTATACCAACGAGCTCGAGTCGTCTCCCTCCGTGTTGATGAGCTCAACTACCGGCTCACACTGAGTCTCGGTGGTCGAGGCCTGAAATTGCGTGGAATAGAGGAATATATGTTAATTTAGTCATCCTATAGAACTTAAGTTATAAAAAAAGAAGTTTGTTTAAAGAACCCTACGAGACGAACTTCAGGACAAGCAGTTTGTACCCATATTCTCTAGATAGATAAGCTCTGCAGCTTGTTTGTGGTTGTTCTTTAGTACAAGTAGCGTTCTACATGTCCAACTGCCTGGATGAAGGATTCTCATATATGTATCCTTGCTTTCAAACTATACCTCATTCGACTACCCTACACAGTACAACACAGCACAGACCTTCTGCAGAAGAGCTTGAGTCGGAACATCCCTGTTGGGATTCGCCAGAGATGGTTTCGAAACGTTTTGCTCCTCGAGAGGAGACGATTGATTGTCTTCCTGCGAGCGTCGTACGGTGATCCATCCTGGTTCAGCAGCTAACTGGTTCACGTTGTGCTTTGCTCTAGGATCTTTGCTTCTGAAACCAGACGTCCCGGACACAGCGAGATTTTCTTGAGCTTTCCTGGCATGAGCATTTGTTCCCCCATCACCACGAGCCTCCTCTCTCGGATCACCATACAGAACGTTTTCCTTGGATGATCGATGATCAGAAGTGCTTCGAACGGGTGAAGATGTGCACCTCTTGCCACGTGTGGGCTTTTTGCTGCGCGAATCTTCCTTACTGACGCGAATTTTGGCTCGTTTGCTATCCTCAGGAAAGATCAGGATTGTTAGCAGGCTTTCACTTCCACTTAGATTCTAGCTTGAGATAAATATATGATTGATTGAACTTGAAGCGAATGCTTTCTGAATCTTTATCTGGATACAGATAGCAATTTAGTAGAATTAACCCCAAGATGTAAAACTTTTTGCGGAGAATGTCAAACTGAGATTTGGTTGGGATTTACTTGTCGTTGAAACTGGGTACTCTCAGAAGCTTTTGACTCAACACGTTGCGCGACCGAGAACTCGGCGCCTTGAATAGGGACTGCCAGTACAGAATCCAGGATGAAGCAAAACAATTCGGACTTGAATGCTCTAAACAACTGTCCTATTTGCAGCAGACTCACCCCAAAGACTACCTCACCTCGGGTAAACCAAATCCACATGCAACCGTAGCGATGGTCTGAGGAGAAATACTGATTAGAGGTACAAGTAGCTATTTGTACTTTACGACGTTTGTGATAGGCTTCTCTCGCAGTATATATCACCTGACTGCTTTCAGGAGTATTCTCGCTGTTCGGACTCTTGTCATTCTGATAACGCCTTGCACTGGAGGGACCCTGTGGTTCTGTCCTTCTCCAGTTAGTGATCGCCACCTACATGAGACTTTCAGGTTTTTTACAATAATGTATACGGAAAAGTACTATAATACTCATGTCGCATTCGTTGTGCAGACATTCATTCGCCCGTACTATGGGCAAGTATCTAGCAATCTGCTGACTAGTATCAAACATCTTTACTTGGAAATTTCACTGTTCTATAAATACCAACTTCGAATTTCGACACGTTTCATTTAGAGACGAGATTTCACGACTCTGCCCATAAAGTTCCAATACCTCAAATTCGAGTACCTGGAATTCCCTTTTCATAGTTTTGAGAAGTTCAGCCTTCATTTCTGTGATCTGTTCTGCTATCTGATTTGGTATCTTCTTCAATGTGTTGGACAACTCCTCAATCTGAAGTTTTTTCATCTCGTCGCGCACTGTTTCCGGTATCGTTTTCAGGACCACGAAATTCTTTCTGTTTTCTTCCACTTGATCTACCTGTGATCACAAACGAGTCGTCTGAGGACCGAGTAGTTTACCGCAACTCCCGCGATCAATTGGTATCTCGGTCGATGAGTTCTGAACACTCACCGACATACCGCGTGCAACAACTCGGCGAGGCATGGTACATCACAATTGAGCGCAGGGCAAAGAGTCTTCTGATTTCCTCTGCAGCTAAAACGTACGTGATAAGGACCTACTTTTTCCAATTCGAAATGCTAGCTTCCACAGGCTGTTTCTAAATTTTTTATTACCAGTTCTTGAAGGAGATGTTGGCGGACTGCTTCTTTCTGTCTGTAAATATCAGCTGTGACATACACTATGTGGTTAGTGCAGGACCCTTTTGACTACTTTTGCGTATGGAGCGATGGGACAATCTGTTCGGAAAGCTACAAGATCGAGGTAAAAGAGAGGATCAAGCACGAAACAAGTCTTCTACGGAGGCATGAAAGCTGGCATATCGTACATTCCACGGCGGCTTCTTTGACCGATGCTTGGACATTGAAGAGATTTTTCTGGAGCCCGTCCAAACCACCAAAGATTCCATTTAGACAATTATCTAAAGCGATCAGCCGTTGCTCCATCACTTCTGTCAATGTGCCTGCAAGCGATTCCACTTGTGTTATGCCTGCAACTACAGAGCGAGCCCGTTCGGTCTTTTCATATGACATGTTGAGGTCTGTCACGACGAGATCATCGTCCAAGATATGAGAAGAAAACTAACATTTGGCCTGTGAGCTCTCCGATGTCCTCTGTGGAAGGCCTTGCGCTGTCTGGAGAAGTGTGGGAGTAGGAGTCACCGACGACTTCGAAGCTCCATCTTTCACGTTGGTACGGAAATACGAAGGAAATGCCGGGCGATTAGGAGAACGTGGCCTTTTGTTGCTGAAATCTCTTACTCTTGATCCATAACGCCACTGCATGATACACACAAATCTCGGGTGGTGTTTTACTCAAGCCACGAAGAGCCAAACTAGAAACGGTTCATCAAGATGCATTCCCCTCCCGGTTAGAAGCTACGTGGACAAGAGACAAACTTTCCAAGGTTCAGGCTCGCATCTGAGGTCCGCGATACAGCAGCATGCGAGGATCATCCTGTGTGCGCAATATCTTGAGCCAAGGTAAGAAGCTGACTCACATTGTCGAATCCGGGGTCCGACTGAAATGATTTTTGAGATAGTTGCTGCTGTGTTTGGGAGTCTGTCAAGGTTGGCTGTGATGACTGCTGGCTTAGCGAAAAGTAGCCAGAAGAAGGGCGTGATGAGAGCTGCGAGCCTGTGAGATTATTAAAGCGGTAGTCCGCCTTTGGCGCCTCCGCTCGTGCCTCGTTCGTTCTTGATCCAGTCCCATGCCTGCAGAAACACGGGTCGATTTCTATTGTCACACGTTTTCAGATGCAGTCGCTGTCTTCAACTGCCGAGAAGAAAGCGTACGCTTTCCAGAAATCTACCTTGTAGATAGTTCATCAAAACAACTGCAAATGACATGAAAAGTCATGAAACGTCAAAAAGAATATGCAAGCGAACTGTCCATACCATGAGCTCTCCAAGAAACTCGGTTGCTGAGAATGGGAGGCCAGGTCTACAGGTTTGGCCCGGTTAATCTTCAGCTTATTCATGGCAGAATACACGGGCATCAACTTTGGCAAAAATCCCCAAGATCTTCTCGACAGACTCTACGCCGAGTTTCTTCTATGCGAGTGGCGCACAGTCGCTGTTATAGGATCTGGGACGTCGAAGTGCAAGGATAACACCAGTCCTCGACAACGATGAGTCAAACGAAAAACGCACGCAAATTATCCAGAGCGAAATTTAAACCGCGAGGAAAACCTTTCGTTCTGACGTACGAGTGATCAGTACATCGAAGAGCGACAAACAGCCACGGGTCTCATAGATCGTCGCGTTATCGTCAAATTGTCTTGACTGAAGCTGAAATCGATCCGCAACTCTCTTCGGAGTCCGGCACGAATTTCTTGCAAGCGTAGAATCGACGAGTACGACCGAAATGAAATTTATTTCTCACAACAAAAACCGGAAATCCCATCGCATCGCACCGAGCGCCATCCATAAAAGCTTCGAGAAACTCTTCTCGTCGAGACCTCTTCGACATGCTGATCGAAACAGCTGCCAGGTTTCGAAATTGGAATGTTAGATCGTGATGACTCAAATTTTCAAAATCATGCCAACGTCTTCGCTCCACGCTCCTCAGGAAGGATGAAATTCTCTTGAACGCAACGCGCGCCAGCTTCTCTTCTCTCCTTTGAGCCTGCCTGCGAGAAAGCAGAGTCCCTTGCTCGAAGGGACTCCATCCATTGTCATCTTGAGAGTCAACAAGTTTTCGCGAATTGTAATCTGCAGTGATAATTAGCGTCTCAATTCTTTTACCAACTTAGACATGCGATGAAAATAAATAATTTAGAGTAGAGGTATATATTTATTTTTTTTAAATCTTGTGGATTGAAAGATGAAAGATTTGAAAGATGAAAAGTTATTCTTGCTTTTCCACAAGTTATTCTTGCTTCTTTATATAAATGTATGATTTTTTACTCGTGTAAAATATCAATAATGTATTAAGAATATTTGTGGAGAGCAAATGTGTATATATGAAGCAAATCAAAATTGCAAAGATTAATAATTGGATATGTTTCCATTCTTGTTGATGTATATATAACTTGGAAATCCACAATTCAGAAATGCATTTTTGAATGTTCATATAAGCTAACTACCGCAGCACAAGAAGAAAAGAATCAATTTGGTTAAACAAGTTGGACACTTAGATGAGTTGCCATAGAGTTATCTGAATCTTTATTGTGATAGCCAGATGTCACTTCATCTAGTATCAAACAATGTTATGGATCGTAGAGTAAAGTACATTGATATCTGATATCATTATGACATACAAGAGGTGTTTGATATAATGTTATTTATATATAGTGCACTTAAAGCTCATCAAAATCGATATTAATTGATCAAAATGATTTCATTAGAAAGTTTTTCCAAGCATTGTACAAAGTTGCAAATTTTACTTAGGGATAATAACTTTTGTACATGTATCTCCATCCGGTTTTTGCCGACTATGGTTTAGTTTTAGTTAACTCTCGGCTATAGAGTGAAAACGTGAAATGGCTTTACTATCTAGAATTTACTGCAGAGATAGATGGAGATTGCATAAGTTAGCTCTCCAAGACTTGAGTCAAGGGGGAGTTTGGAAAGTTAACTCTATCTTGGATGAATTCCAATAAGCAGTACCCATGATTAGGGAAAATAATTGTGATTAGGTTAGCTAAGATGTGCACCTTATCTCTTCTTGTATAGAAGAAAGGAGTCATTCAGTACGTAGAGTTTTAGATTACACTTGGAGAGTGAACAACAAAGAGTAGAGTTTGGCTATGGAGGCTAGATATACACTTGCGCTTTAGTGAACTTTCTGCTCTGGCCCGGGAATGTAACCTGTTGTAACTTGTGACAGTCGTGCACGTTAATCGACCTTGATGATTGTGTCTTTCACATTTCAATGTCAAAGAGAAGAAAATCATAATCCGTAATATTATCATGCTCAATGATTTCAAAATTAAAATTTTACATTTGCGTAGAAATAAAGCCACATTTCATACTTTTCAAGCGAAATGAATTTCACAAATCATATATGCTTTGCAATTTTTTTACAATTTGAATCAATTACAACAAAAAATTACTTTTGTACAAATATTTTTCACACAAAATATGTCTTTTACATGAAATAGTTCATTGTCACTAATAACCTTGAAGGTTAAAGTTCAAAATTCAAGGTTATTAGTGACAATGAATTATTTCATGTAAAAGACATAGTATTGAGTACTATATACTCCTGTTAAGTTTAGAGTAATATAGCCTATCTATATCTGAAAAATAAAGATGTGAATGGAAGGACCAAATTTAAGTAAATCCTTATTTTTCTAGAGAAAAGTATAATGCAAAAATGCTATTGTAAAAAAATATGGAGCATGCTTACTGCTTATAAATGTGCATATTTTAATAAGATCAAAGAAATTGAAAATTCAATCTTATTAGAAAAAGAAAGAAAATGAGATCTCATTTTATAAAAAAAGGGTCATATCCATCAAAACATATTGCAAAGTTCTTAATACAAATCGTTAAATAAATAGTCAATTGATTTGTAATGCATCTTCGGCTATTGCAACATGTAGATATTATGAGATCACATTTTCAAACCTAAGTTGCACTTTTAGGTTCAGAGATCTTTGTTAAGGTTAATTTTAAGGAATAATGCCCAGGTAAAACAAGCTATAATTCTATATCTTGATCTTAAGCCTAGATGATAATGTTTGTGAATCAAGTTATCAAAAGTATGTCTTAAACGTTTGTACTATTTGCTAAAAAGTGTAACACACAAGCATTATATATGAGAACTCTATGAAGATCCATGCAAAATAAAGCTCGCCTAAAAGTCTTGCCTGATTATCATTAGCGAAATCTAGAACGATGAACTCTTTTTATAAAAAACTCAGAGTAATATAAAACTTTAAAAGCGTGAAACGTAAAAACATTCAAATCGAATTAAATATAAAAGAATCCTAATTTACAAATAACACATTATTGAATGTGTTCTTAACATTCATTTACAAGACCATCTTATACGGAGAGATACCTCAAAGAGCTATAATGATCAATAATATTGGACATTAGAGACTTACAAATCTTTGACATAAACAAAAATGTTGGAAAAGTGAATGGTGTTGCAAATTCACGGAACAAATAACAAGTCACAACAAGACCTCTTTGATAGCAATCCATCTAATGGTACCAGTATCTTTCTTCTTCGCAAGAAACCAACTCGCATTGACTGGTAGACAGCAGAATTTTAGAAATGTAACAAATGATACAACCATGTGGAGCAACAGTATATAAACATGGAATAATCATCTCTTGAAAGCAGATGTGAATGTGATTAGAATACATTCGTAACATGTCAACCAATTATGACGTGAGGTAGTGCACAAATACTAGAATAACAATTCTATCAAGACATAAAAAGCTCATAATATTGAGACTTCAAGAACTCTAAAGAGATTTTTACTACCATGGATGGATGTAATTAACAAGCTTAAAGAAAAAATAACAATTTCTACGAGACCAGACATGGACAAAGGTAGAATCGATCATTTTGCTTAACTAGACTTGGACCCACTACTACGATCCACCACAGCTGCAATTGAATCGTATTATAACTATCATGTGATCAAACCCGAATCCTCACTTGTGTAGTCTAACCAGAGATTTTCTGCAAAATAGGCTAATCCTGAGCGCAGAATATCTGGAGTCTAGCAATCATCTGCCTACATGAATCATGGTGGAAGTACGAGAAACTAAAATCACGCTGGTTTGTCCATGGAATCACGCACCAACCCATTTAACGATTGGCGAAAAACACTTTTAATTTCGTCACGGAGTGTGCACAATGGAGTCCATGAACTAATCTCGGTCTCAACAATCTCTAAAAAAAATCTGACTCTTACGATAATTCCTTTCACAATCTGAATGATCAAGGAAAGTATTGTTGTATCTTGAGAGATCACTCCAATACAAAGGTAGATGTGATTATACTCTTCATGAATCCTCCCTCTACCTTCACATGTCTACGATGCACTCTTACAAATAATATCGTAATCCTAATCTGTCCTTGGATGTCGTACATACTTCCAGTGTAGGAAGATGAGCTTGAATTTGTAGACTTGACTTGGCATGCTCGTGATCTGAACACCTTGAGATCATGTCATCTGCTTTTTGAGGGCGCCGGTATTTTCCTTGATTTGACTGTGAGCGGTGAAGTAGCTTTCAAGTGAACTGCTGCCATAAGCTCGGGACGGGAATCCACAGAGCACATGTGAATGTACACGGGAAGGACTGTACGGTGTCGTTTGGGGTCGTCGAAGAAAGCTGAAGGGAAGTGCTTATCTTGAAGGCACAGGGGGAGCTGGAGCTGGAGCTGGTGGCCAGCGGATCGCACTCATCGTCTAATCTCACACGACAAAGTCTGTCTGTCTGTCTGGGCGTCTGGGCGTCTGTCCAGACCAGTCCAGTCCGTCTGGCACTGCACTGCGCCGAAGAGCGAGGTGGTTCATTAGTCCGCCCTGCAGATCTGCTGCTGCTGCTGCTGCTGCAGTGCCCCACAAGGAATCATGAAGAGATGGCGACTTTTGTCTGAGCTTCACCGTCGACTGCTCTGCTCTGATCGAGCTCAGGGCCGCCCGCCATCTCAAGAGCCGATCGGATGTGGCGACTTTGACCCTGGCTCCGATCTGACGCCCGAGTGCCGAATCTACTGCCGCGTCTGTGCAGGGGGTCAGTGCCACGACACGTCGCCGCTCGAACCGCACCGCAACGGGTCTCCACCGTGAACCCTCCACCCTCCTCCTTTCCTTTCCTTCCCAGCTACGCTGTGCCGTTGCTTGTGACTGTCGTGTGACTGCGGCAGCTTGGATGATGGGCATGGCCATGGCCATGGCCATGAACACAGCCACGTCTTCCTTCAGCTCTGCCTTCGCCCGCTTCTGGATCTCCCGTCCACGTTCAAAAACCGTCAGTGCTTGTCTACGGGGCATATAATCATGGCAGCTGTACTTTTCTCTTGTCCACGTGAAATTTCACCACTTTCTTTCCTTTCTCTTCCTCTCCCCTTTCTCTACATTCATTCCTCCCTCCGGTGCTTTTCATCCTCCCTGGAATAATACCCAGCTTTGGCAACTTTCATCAGCTGTGACAGATTTTTGACCTTTCCACATATCAGTTATCTGTCATGTTCGATGATTTTCTCTCCAGTAAGCCCTTTCACGGTGTACTTTAATTGATCATCGACAACCGCGGAAGAGTTCATTAATCGTCGCTTTAGAATGTATTATTTTAGATCATCGACATAACGCTCTATCGTAAGTTGAAAGAAAAAATTCTGGTCCTGTCGATCTTGAAGGCCTCTATTCACAGTAAATAATGGATGGGATGTGAAAAACCTGATATGTGTAAGATGGTGTGAGAGAGTGACGAGTGTTTCATATGAACTTCGTAGATAATGGCATGCACAGTCAGATGTTCAAAGAAGGTTGACATATGAAAGTGAGGTGTTGAGGCGAGTGATTTGAGATTAGCGTGGAGGAACTTCGGAACATTCGTTATGAAGGTCACGAGGCCCCTGCCTTTTTTTATTGCATACAGGACATAAGAATAGGGTCCAGGACCCAAATTTAAATAAGTGCAGTGGCAATTGTTCAATAAACAACACGGAACCTCTTCTTCGTCGTACCGGCCGCCATCCACTTAATAGAGCAGATTCCGGCCCCGGATTTCATGAATACTGTCACATGCCAGGCCCATCGCCCAACTGAAACTCAGTCATCATCATCATATCAACTTCTTACTCCCTCTCCTCTCCATCTCTCAATCTCTCTCTCACTTTATCTCTCACTCTATCTAGCTCTCCCTCTCTCTCTCTCTCTCTCTCTCCACCTCTAACCTCTACACGGTAATGCAAAACCGAACAACTTCCTCTCTCAATCCTGCGGTCCAGCAGCAGTCGCAGCATGGGATCATGGAAGCCTACATACAATTCTCCAGACGGCGACTAAGGTCTCCGCAATCCTGAACAGTCCGAACCCATGGACCCGATCCGACCCGACCGACCAGATCTGACGCCAGTTCGGGTTTGATTCCAGGGGACAGTTCCCTCAGGGGAACACACAGAGCCGACAGAGACGAGACGGGTTCTCACTGCTCGTCGTAGTCAGCAATGGCAGCAGCAACCTCTCGAAGAAAAGAGCGCTGGATGCTCAGATCGTGTGACGAGCGAGTGAGCCACGGCCCCGATTCGCACAGTCGGCGTTTGCGAGGACGACTGAAGTCGATTGCATAGCGAAGAAAATCACAAGTATACTCAAGAATAAGACTATAGTAGAATAAGTAGAAGATCGTCACTCCTGTTCCCTTGACGACGGCAGTGCACTGAGCTTTCAGAGCAAGTCCGAATGCTGGTGGTGGAGTTGCCAATCCATTCCGCCGCCGCATCGTCGATCTGTACACCGCGGATCAGGCAGACCCTGCGGCGTGGTGGAAATCTCTGTCCCGGATCCCCTGCCCGGCGGCGCGTACTCGGGGGCCGGCGGATGATTCGATTGATGGCAGACCTGAATGAATCGAACAACGTCACCCTCTGCACGTCGTCTCGCATCCATCGATCGATCGACCGACGAATGAATCAATCAAACCAGTGCGCGCCCTCTTCTCTGCACAAGTGCCACTAGACGGCTCCCGGCCTGCCACTCCGGGAGCTGCCTCTCGTGCAGCAGGAAATCGTCCCTCTCGTCTGCAAATATTGAAAAAAAAGACACCTGCGATTTGCGATTCAAGCCTTCCTTCCGTGTCTCATAGCGTCGTGAAATCCAGGGAGTTCCCACACAGGTGGTCACACACACAAACCCTCTCTCTCCCTCACACTCTCCCTCCCTCCTCACCCAGAGCTTAACCCAAGTATGCTGCCACAATGGCAGCCATGAGGAGGCCGAGGCCCCAGCCTCCAGCATTGGAGCCACTGGAAGGGCTGGGGGTGACCATAGATAGTCATAGGTTGGAGGCGCATTCCACTGGCTGCACGGGGAATCGCTCGCTGTCAGTGCAGTAGTCGTAGACCATGTAGTATTGCTGCACCTTCCTCAGCTCGTTGGCCTGGACCTGGCTCAGCTCAGAGTAAGACTCGGCATCCCACCAGTTCACGGCAGCCGGGTCGGCGCAAGCTGGAACCGTGGTGTTGGTCAGCCACTCGCACGCATCGTAGTTGTAGTTTTGGAATGTAGCCACGAACGGGGCCAGGGTCCAATTCACCTTGATTAGACCTCCCTGTGTAGCCCATGAATCTCCATTCCACAGACTCGAGTACACTCCCATCGGCTGCTTGTTCAAGTATGGCACGCCCAGGGCCTCGTTGTTCTTGAACACCCTGATTGGGACTCCGTCTACCATGAACCTGCAGCCAAACAACCGTGAAAATCAGCAACTTTGCTAACTCCACTACTTGTGACAGAAATCTCCATTTCTGTATCCTGTCAACTACTCTGATCCAATGCCGGGGTTTCCGTGTCCTACGAAGCGTCAAATTGCCAAATGCTGAAAGGGGCCAGCAGGAGACTTACACAATCTGCTTTTTGTTCCACAGAACTGAGTAGGAATGGAAGTCGGAGGACGGATCGAACCACAGAAAGATCCTCTGCTCTCGCTCTCCTTTCCCGTTGGCGAACACATTGGTTTGAAGAATGTAGGGTTCCCCGGTTTGGTTCCCCAAAAATTCGAAATCGAGCTCGTCGTGATGGTCCCCGAAAGAGGTCAACTGCAGACAAACAGCATTGCAGCAGAAGACGGCAAATGGTCAGTTGATTACTGATTGACTGACTTGGACGACGAGAGTGCAAACTCTTCACGCCTGCTCACAGTTACACGCAATCGCAGCCGTCACTCCTGTGCTGGCTTGCAGACAACACGTCCAGCCTAGGCCAAAGCAGATGACACGAGCGACATCGCAGTGGGCGCAAAGGAAATGCAGACAGCGGCATTGCGCAGTTGGGTTCAGACTCCTCCTAGCTGACTGGTCGACAGGCAAATGCTCTGTACGATGAGACAGACAGAAACAGAAACACCCGGAGCATTGCTGAAACAGCTTGACAGCTTACATAATAAGTGGTGACAGTTCCTGAAGAGTCTCCCCCGATGAGCTTCAGATTCATATTAATCCTGCCATAGATGAAAGTTCTCTTGGAATTGAATCCAGCTCCTGCCCACGGGAACAGAGACGATGTCAGCAAGAGTAGCAGACCTTCAGGGAAATAGCCCCCGCAAATATAGGCAACCGCTGAGAGAGGAGCTGGAAACATCGAGCTCAGAGATGAGAGTGACGATGTGGAATGAAGGTCTTACCAGAGATATTGGTCAGCGTCAGATCCAGCATTTGTCCATCGGGAGTCGTAGAAATGTGCTCGGGACCCCAGAACACTGTGAACTCCGATGAGAAGTCTGCAAACGTTTTAGGCGTAGAAGTAGCATAAGGCTTGGGGAAAGTGCCGGAGGTGTCGACCTCCTGGGTGAGGACGAGGGGAGCAGCCACCAGCACTGCCAGCAGCAACCAAGCCACAATGTTGCCTCTCGGCCGTGCTGCAGCCATCGCCGATTCCTGCGTTTCTATCAGCCGCAGCAGCAGCAGCAGCAGCAGCTAAGGTAGAAAACTCTACCTCGCGCGTTCCCAGTCCAGCATTCAGCTCCCTGACATCGACAGCCCCAATGCGTGATGATACACGGGCGCAATGCAGGTCGACGGGAGAGGGGGAAGAGAGTGCGTCTGTGTGAGAGCAGAAACGCGTTCGCCCCTTCCTTCTGGGGGGAACCGCGAGTACTGTGGAGTAATATCGGAAGGGGGAGAAATAGAATGAGCCTCCTGTAGGGGTTTAGACCAGGATACCGGCCCCGAGTCCGAGAGAGAGAGAGAGAGTGAAGCAGCCACGCGAGGGGATGGAGGAAAGTATCTGATAAATGAGAGGAGGTGAGACGCGCACTGAAGGTGATCCCTGACGAGCTGAGCTCGCAGTCTAAAGCTCTGCTATGACAGCGGTACAGGACAGTGAGCGCGAGTGAACAATAATTATACAGTAGTGGAGAGTGGGACTGGACTGGCCTCGGAGGAGAGGGAGGGCAACGGAAGAGAGCGGAGACGAGGCGAGGAGGAGCTCGGTCAGGGATGCAGGGATGCAGGGATGCAGGCAGGGCAAGGCATGGCAGGGGCAGGGCAAAGGAGGGGAGGGCCTTATCGGCGAACAACTGGACTGCACTAGGAGACGAGGGGCGATGAACTCCAGCTCCCGCCGCTGCTGCTGTGCGCCATGGGGCCCGAACAGAGCAGATCGATGCCCAGAGAAGAGAGGCGACGGGACCAGAAAAAGGCAGACGGCGGAGCTGGAGATGAGATGGAACTGCTGCTAGCTAGAAAGAGCTGGCCGTGATCAGCAAGCGATGGCGAGCGTACTGTCCAGATTCAGAAGCAGCAGCAGTACTCAGCATTGAGCAGCGAGAGGTACGGTCTGCTGCTGCTGTTGCTGCTGGGAGCTCTGAGAGACATATCTATCACTTGAATGACTTCATCAAGGCATGGTTTCGGCTACAAACAAACTGATGATTCGACTTTAAAGGCTCGCAGCGATGATCATCTCACGAGTCACACGACCTGCGCAACGACGTCATTTCTGCTCTATCTTAGCGCGCCTTGGCAGAGTTTATGACGCCCGACTAAAATTGGAGACGGTCCCGACACAGGTTCACTCGCATGTTGACCATGATTCGGCAGTAGGTAGAAGGGTGCCCGAAGGCTAGCCATCGATCGAGCATGCATGCATACATGTCCATTACTGTAAAAGGCCTTTTGAGCTCGGGACTCGAAAGCGCTCGCACAACCAGTGACTATACAGTCCACTACACTCAACCATAGGCTGCCCTTTTGCTCCCATGCCCATCGCCATCCCCCACCACCACCACCACACCGCACTGCGTCTGTCAGACAACGTCAGGCCAGAGAAGAGAGCCAACTTCTGACAGGGAATCCGCAGGATCCCGCTGCACACTCTGCACTGTACTGCTACGCTAGCAGCACCCACAGATCCCCGATTCTAGCTGCTTAGACCCGACGGCTTCCAATTCACCGGATCCCTCTCTCTCTCGGTTTCTTGCTCGGCAGTAACTCGCCGGGCTGGTAATTGCACCGCGCAAAGTAATAAAGAGCACGCGAACGAGGGAGGGGCCAAGCCAGGCAGCCAGCCAGCCAGCCAGCGAGGAGCCACAGGCCAGCCGAGCACCGGAGGATCGCAGCAGTGTTGTTGGGCTAGAGTGTCTTTTGCGGCTGGCTGGCGGTGGGTGTCGATGGCGAAGACGAGGCCTGGTGCTGGTGCTGGTGCTCGCAGAAGCGGTTGGCTTCGCTTCGGCTCTCGCTTGGCTTCCGCTTCTGCTTCGGGCCTCGGGCCATGGCAGAGCCGGCCAGGTCAGCACCGCAAGGCCAAGCTCGAGCCTCGCTCGCTCGCTCGATCGATGGATCGGTCCAGGCGTCATGACTCATGACTTCGTATGCGTCTGCCATTCATTGACTCGCTCGGTGGGCTCCAGGCGTGTCATGACCAAGCCTCGGAACGAACCGCGAAAGACCGTTGCAGCTTCTTCCCCCCCAGTAGTAGTAGTAGTAGTCGTAGGGGCCAGTAAGTGAGTGAGTGAGTGAGTGAGTGAGTACTGGCAGTAGGGACCCAGTTGTTGTAATGCGTTGTGCCGGCACTCCACACCCCCCCCCCCCCCCCCCCCCCATCCCAACGGTCAGCTCCCTCGGACCCTCCCTCGTTGCCCTTTTTGGACCAACCCGACGCCGTCTGAGCTTGAGACACGGTTTGAGAAGCTCGAATGGCAAATTGCAAGCAGGTTGGAAATTCCACGAAGACACGGACTAAAACTAATTTCACTCGGTGTCAATATTTGTCATTGACCCAACCGCAAGTCTGGCTGGGGATACGCTGGAGAGCATGGAATGTATTACGTGTGGGCTGCAGAATGAGTCCAAACGCAAAGTCTTGCATGCATGCACGAAGGGAAGGAAGGAAGATGAGGATTTGAGGGAAGACCGTCCCTAGAGATTCTGTAGAGGAGGCGGAGGAGGAGGAGGGGCAGTGGAATTTCGGTCGATGCCTTTCCAAGTTTTGGCATGTCGTCTTCAGCTGCTGTCTCGTGTGGAGTTTGGATCGGATGCAGACTCCAGGCCAGTTAACCGACGACGATCTGCTTTGAATCTTTGCAACCGCCACCGTTTCTAGCTCAGACCAGACACACAAGGGGGGGTCACGGTGATGGAGAAGAAGATTGCAGCAAACCTCAACAACATCCCCCCTACATGCACACACACGATCTATTCTAACCGAACGAGGAATATCAGAAATTTGGCATGTACGTCGGTGCCTTTACACTCCTCGAAGGAAAAGAGGAGAAAAGGGCATTACATTACCACTTGCTCGCCCTCCCTCGCCCTCCCTCGAGGGTAAAACTTGGAGAAAGTGTCCTTCTGAAAGTGACAACTCGTAAACAGCAGCAGCGACAAGAATCGTCGTCAGGCAAGGCAAGGCAACATCCGGTCCAGAAGCGACTGTGGCTCTTCTTTTTGCTGGGCATCCGCTTTGTCAGCCAAGTGCGAAACTTGTCTTGCAACGAAGATATTATCGGGAAATATTCCGTCTCGCAGGTGAGATCGAAAGTGCCTGCCCTGCTTCGTTCGAGACGACGACGACGGCCTCCAGAACCGTCCAACAGCCTGCCATTCCATCCAATGCAACTCTCGCTCGAGCTCGCTGAAGAGGACCGTCGAGTTTTGGAAGTTGCAGGTGTGGGGAAAAGGGAATCGATCAGTTACTGCAGCCTGCTCAAGTCTTCTCGGTCTTCCAGCACACGATTGTTTGATCTTCCAGGCAATGAGACGACAGAGATGAATACGCGTATGAGTGATCTACTTACTTTGGGTTTGATTATTGTTTACGTATTTGATTTATTTATTTATGTATTCTGCATCTAGCGAACTCAGTCGTGAGTGACAGTCAAGACTTTCTCGATACATTAAGTTCACTTCGGATGCCTTATTGGTATCCACGCATGAGGCAACTCTTAAAGTGTATGCCTATCGCCATAGCCAAATTGAAGAAGAATCGCAGGAGCATAGTGTAGTGAGTGGTTCAGGAGATACCACTCCAACAGTCCATTGGTAGATTCCAGTCTCGATGGAAAGATTGGACAACAAACTTCGTACATTTCTGCAAATGCTGGCAGTGAAGAAAGAGCGCAAGGACCCATTTTGTAGAGTAATAGGGGCCTTTGGGCCTACGCTCGTTTGATTTCTTCCATGTACAACCTTCCATCTTTTTGGTTACGTTGCTTTGTACTTTTCGTTTATAGATATTATTCTTGAATATTTTCCACCACACTATGTGACCTTGTAGGAGCGAAGTGGAGATCTCAGAGTAGTTTAGGGGGCCATAATTAGGTTCCCACACATGGTAGAATATTTGTTTGTCCAATGTGAAGACTGAATATTTTATTCTTATAGTTGATCCTGTTCGATTGGATATATATTAAATCAAAGACCATGAACAGTTTGTATACAGAACTTTTTTTGTTTTAGGTGAATATCATTCATATCTCACGATTGATTCAAGTACTTTTGTTACAATGTCTTCCTTTTTTTTCTCTTAATTAAATTGAACCTAGTAGATATATGATGAAGTTTAAATTCAAACTTTTTTCGTAATAGACAGCATTTCCTCATGTGTGGTGGAACTCATGGTGTTATGATTTGCGTGTGAGGATAGATAGGTGATGGAGTGTCACGGGTAAACACTAGTATTCCAATCATATCGTTATACCCAACAACTTCATTTCCATTCATACTCATCCACATACCATTTGGCGCAAAGGAGTGTCCAACGCTACCTGGATACATTTGTTTGAGAGTGTGACTGGATTCACTTCTATATGCATAAGGGGATCACATCTCTATCTACATATATCACACAGTACCTTAGGAAGTGTTCGTGTAAAAGTGCTACATATATTGTTTTACTTGGTGAAATATGTTGTACTACTTATGGAATTTATCCAAGCGAAATTAAAGGTGAGGTTGGAGAGAAATCACTTTTTCCGAGAGCCTAGCTTTCTTTTGGCCGCGGGCTGAATTTGCTCTAGCCTTTTGTCAACCTCAGCTTTCTGAGCCACGAGAAAGTGATGGTTCGAAAGGAGAGATGGAAGGTAGAGAAGGGACACTGAGAATTCGCGCCGAGTTCGAAGCAAAGCACCGAATTCCGTCCATAGAGTTCGAGATCTGAGGCAGAATTCAGCGTTAAGAAGAAGAAGAAGAAGAAAGTCATAAACTTCGCCTCGCCATGCACAAACGGCACATGGTCGACATCAGGGAGTCTCCGGCCCAATGAGTAAGAAAGACGTCATTAAAGCCACTCGGACGGACTCGGGCAATTAATTAAGGGCGTCATTACGAGTACAGAAGGGACTGACTGATTCATGGGAAGCAGGCACGCAGGAGCTCGGCCACGCGCATCAATGCCTCGGCTTGCTTGCTTGACGATCCACGGGTAGTTGGTAACCCCTCGGCCCCTCGGCCCCTCGTCCCCCTTCGCCTTTTTCCCCTCGGGGTCGGTCTTACCCAAAGAACGGGCCGGGGACGGGCCCTCCCTCATGATCAGAGCACCGGATGTCAGAACCCTTCGCGGGTTGTTATTGATCACTTACTTATTATTCACACCAAGCCTGACCCACCGAGTCACTGATTGCGAGGCCGGACGTCCGCAATCGTCTTAAAGGACGGAAAGACGGACGGACGGACAGACGCGCGCAAGAGATTAGGGTTAACTTCGGGTTGGACTCCGGTGACTCATGATCGACCGTCGTCTTATCTTTTCTCTTGTACCCCCAAAGAGAGAGAGAGAGAGAGAGAGAGAGTCAAGAGTTACTGTGCTTAGGGGGGCTCGGGGGGAAGAAGGCCGAGTAGATCGTGGGACACATTGACATTTCCCATACGTACGGATCGTGACTGACGGAGTTCGGGAACTTGCTCCTGGCTCCAGAGTGTCAAACAACCGTACTCGATTCCCCTTTCGTGTCAAAGATGAAGCCTTTGGCCGTGGACTGGCGACGAGGCTTTTCCCCAGGACGTAACCACCGCCGGTCGCAGCTCTGCACTGCAGTTAGTCTCGACCACGAGTTGCAGACGCGCGGTTAGTTCAGTCTGAGTTATCGCAAGAAAGGCCTTCTTAGACTTAACCCTGGAGTGTAATCGGGGTTTATTGACTAAATTCCGATTGGGGCTTGGAGATGCTGAGCAATGGCGTTACTACACTGACCATACTGTGGCATGACTTGCGCAGTCAACTGTGGACTGGCAAGGGAAACTGCGGCGTTTTGTGCGACGGAGTGAGAGCTGCAGTAAGTCGGGACGGACCGGGTGGAATATGATCAACAGCTCAGTGCTCACCGTCTCTGCGGGTGGAGGCGGGCAGGGCTGGGCTGGCATGTGACATGTCAGCCCTGATCCATGCAGGCGTCGATTTCCCTTCCGTGTGTCTGGCTGGGCCCAAGGCTCTGAGCCATTCGCACGATACCATCTCATTCCGTAGAGCTCGGAATTGCGAATTGCTCCCTGCGACTCACAATTCGTCGTTGGGTTTCTTTATTTCGTGGCCGTAGTGGAGCGCGAGTGAAAGATGCTGCATGCAAAAAAGCCGTGTCCTGGCGCATTTTCGGGCGAAAATGAGCCCGAAGCCATGAGCTGGGGTGGGTGTACTGTCTGTACTGGAGTCGAGGAAAGGAGAGTGAGTCACTCGACTCTGATTCGCATCCGTTCGGATCGTGCGAGCCTGAGTTCGATCTTTTTTACTTTTGTACTCGGAATACCTTTGGTCCTCCTCGTCCTCGCCCATGAACACAGTCGTACACAGATGACATTTGATGGGGTTCCGAATTATATTATGAACACAGCACGGAGACGAGACGAGGACGATGAGTGATGGGCCTATATCATGAGTTCGCCGGAGCAGGAGAGGGCCTCGCTTACTTGAGCTCCGCAGCGGCCTTTATGTCAACTAGAGTCCACAAGTCCCTGCATGGGCAGCCACGAGCCTTCCTTCACCTCCTCAGCTGTATGTGTTGAATGTATGATCTGATCGCAGATTCTCACGCAGAACGGACCGCTCGTTGGAATGTGGCTTCGTGCGCAGATGTCAACATGTTCCACAGCCCTGAATGGAGTACAAAAGCCCAGCCACGTACAGTGTAACACGGAAGCTCATTCAACAGCATTATGATGTTCGGGCACCTTTTGTCGAGGGTCTGAGGGGTCTGAGCATGACGATCCCTCCCTTTAGTGCAGTAAACTCCCGTGGATGTTCGCTTGCTTGCTTTTCTGCTTCCCTGACATCCCGAGGACCAGCAGCGGATGCTCCCTCGAAAGGTCATCGAAAGGTCCTGCAACGACATCTCATTTGTTATGAACTACAGTACAGTCCATGGGCTGGGCCTTCCTTGGGCAAGAAAGGAGATGGTGGGCAAGAGCTAAGGGGTGTACCTGACCACCACCGAAAAGTCATCGACCATTCACCTCGTCGACCATTCTCAACTTTCCAGAGACTAAAGCTCTGACTTATGACGGGTAGGGCCACCATAATACACGCAGAATATTCTGATTGCTCAGGGTAAGTACTCAGGAATATGAATGCGCGCGGGCCGAGGGTCGGAGATAGACGTGCTCGAGATGACGATGAACCTGTCCCCATTCTCATTCGACCTACTTCGACCTCTTCTTTAATTCAGTGCGGCTGTCCTGCGAATGAGATCTTTTCCAAAAGTCAACAACCATGTGCAGACGTCATCAGGACCCGACTTTCCGGCTTACTGACAGGCTTGGCACCGGTATTGGTTTTCTTTCAGACATTGAACGACGCACAAACGGCTGCTCATTGTCACAGTTAGTGATCGGGTGTGGATGATGATCGAAAAGTCGAACTGGCTATAAATATATATGTGTTACGGTGTCCTTATTGTTGCAACAAAGATTACTGTTTGGTTTTCACAACCACATGTCCTTCTCGACGAACAGACACGGGTATTGACATGTAAACTCACGGGTACAGAATTTCCACAGCTCATGCCAACTGATTTCAACGCTACCAACCCGCATGATCGCAACATGTACATCGAACAACCTGTGAATCTACGCCTTTTAAAAATGGCAAAGAGTGCAATATGAGAACTCCTGGACCAACATTAGAACGCAGAGATGGCAGATTCAAGAAAGAAAGACCACCCACCCAGTAGCCTCTGGTAGTGCAAATGAGCTCGGCAACAACTCCCGATAGATGGCGAGGGTCCACAGCGCAGAGACAAAATTAGGGGTAACCTAAGAGTTCAAAGAACACATACTGCTAAATATTCATACCACAAGTGTAAAGATCTACCTTAGTTAGCCTGTAACGAGCGAGCGACAATCTGTAACTACTGTGTATATTCTCCATGCAAGATTTTAGGGACGTTAACGTTTTGTAAATAGCAAGAGTAGAACCACATACTCCCGCCACTATGCCCTCGGTGTCCGTCATTGTACCGAAGTAGGCTGGGCGACCCAACAGGCCTCGTCACGAGCTTAGACTGATACATGTGTAAATTAGCCTGAGAGTTCGACTTCCACTAGTAAATCACAAACAAGCTTGAAACAATATGAAATTTCACTACAACAAATGAGCTCCTCCGCTTACGGAGCAGAATACAGCGGCCTTATCTTCAACAATGAACAAACTTTTACACCTCAATCTCGATCATCATCACGTAGTGTACAAAATGCTCCGAGACATTTCAAGAGATTTCACATTGTATTGAAAACTCGATGAAACTAAGAACTACCGAACCCAGAGGTACACATCATCTGTGACCTTCAAAACATTATGAACTCCGTAATATCCACAAGATCGCGTTATGAGCTAAATAATTTACAAGGATCGCAATTTTAGAAATGGAAGGGGCTTGATAGCTGCTAACCAATTACTTCACCCAAGGGAAGAATAATAAATTACCGTTGCTCTCATTCAGGCATTGCGGAACCTACTCTATCTGGCCCGAGGGAGTAAGAAGTTTAAACTATAACACAAGGTCAATATCTGCCAACGCTATTATCTACCCTCAGGTAAAAGCAATGATTTTGAGAAAAATGTATTATATAAAACAGTTGTAAACGCTTCTAAAGGGTTTGAAAACTTTATGTCTCAGCCTTTGAGGTGGGTGAGTACTAGTAGGTTGTGGTGTATCCCGCGGGAGATGCTTGTGGAAGGCCTTCACTGCTCCGTCCACTCCATCTTCTTTCTCCATGGCCTGAGCTATATCCAATGCGTTTTGCTTAACCTATAAATGGAAAGTATAAAGTCGTAAGCTTCACGGAATTTAGACGGAGTTTGAAATTTATCGGAATCAGCCGACATAGCTTCTCTTATGCAGCCCACACAAACGAGCTAGCTCTCTGTGGTTGGTCAGTTCCAATGCAGTTCAAAGTCCCGCAAGAGAGCAGTTTGACAAGAATACCAGTGAGGGGTGACATGACAGTATACAACCATTGTATTCAACAAAACGTAGTATAGGCGGCGTTGGGACACAAATATAACCATCTGTTTGATCCATACAGTTTCAAGAGGTCTTCATGTTCCATAACTTGCTCGTTCTCAAATGTTGACATCAAAGATAGCAAAACGACAAGAAACGCAAATCAAGTCGCAAGTACCTCATCATTCAGCATGAATTCTATAGCTTTCACAAGCTTGTCGAGTGAAAATTGGTCGACAGGTATGGGGGAGGGTCCCACCCCTTTCGCATGAATACGCTCACCCCAGAAAGGTTGATCTCCAAAGAATGGTACGACTGTCGTCGGACACTGCAATTGCAATTCAAATGATTTCAGTGGGATTGCATCCTACAAAATCAAGGTAGAGCAGGAAGGTAGACTTGGCAAGAATTTGAGTTCGAGAACGCTTACACCAGCCTTCAAACCGGCCGCTGTTGTTCCTGCCCCTCCGTGATGTACCTGAATATGCAACAAATCATCCACTGACAATTGCTCCCAAATTCCTGGCAGTTTTGAAATAAATAACAACAAAAAAAGCCATGAAGAACACAGTACCAGCTCAGTCACTATGTTCGTAACTTCTAAAGTTGGCCTGAGCCTTGAAAGATAAGAAGCGTTCACGGAACCGTACAAGATCAACGAGAATGCCTCGTCACTAATTATTTTCTGTCTAATCTAGTTATCGGCACCAAGTAACTTGCAGAAACTAATATATACCCAGTTTTCAAGAAGGCTAAGCTTCAGTGTCACTATAGACACCAGAGAAAGTTGCCAGGTTTGTGCCACGTACCACGGCCACACACTGCTTGAATAACCAATCGTGAGGACAATCTTCGACCAGATATATATCATTCCCTACTTCTTTTACTGCATACAAACAAGAGACACTGATTTATTAGCAACAGCATTGGAAGATATTGTGACCTCAATGAGCCGCTTCTACTTGTTTAGAAAATGCGTTACGATGTACCTGTTGTAAACAGGTACATCGTTACGCTCAGCGAGGTTCATATAAAAGAGATACTCACAATCACCGATTCCGCCCCATCCTTTATAGATAATTCCTCTTTGCTTCGTTTCTTTCAAAGCTTTAATAATAATCTCTGTCATACCTTTGGGATCCACCACAGGCTTCAAAAAACAAATGCCCAGAATCAGCCAGATACAATCTTCAATGACATGACTAAGTCGTAAAAGCAATTGCATTCCCAAACTCGGACATCTCTTCATCTCTTCATTGCCAAGACAATTCTATCAGTTGTCATGAGACGCTGATACATCTAGAAAAATGCTTAAAGAGGCATTATCTTGATACAGTTGGAAGTTACTTCACGCAGAATGCATATGCTGTTGTTAAGAGAGCGACTCCGTTGAGTAGAAGGTAAATACATTACCAGACTTCCAAATCCAACATAAATAGGTGCAGAACCCGCAGCTAGCCAGTCCAATAAATCTTGTGGCGGTTTGTAGTCTTGTGCAAGATTAAGGAAGCAGAACCCTACGACGTCAACCATTGGTCCCCAGTCTGTGTAAGGCATCACAGCAAAACACGTTATTCAGTATGTTTAGGGTTAAAAACTGGACCCAATTTAGTTTCTCTTCAGAGCCTGAAGACCACAAAAACCCTCGCACTATTGGCTAAGCGCGGCTGGTAAAGACAAAATATTTTCAGGAGGAAGACGAAGGAAGATGTGACGCAGAGGGAAGACTATATCCAGAGTGCAGGACTTTCTTATAGTAGCATTCCTCACAAGAAATGAGGTTCGTCCCAAGGTTCCAGTGGCAACCAAGAAACGCGTCACAAGCGTATCCATTAAATACATTTCTTGGCTTCCGAAAGTCTTGCTTCAAAAGAGCAGGAGCTCTGAGCTTAGAATCAAGGCTTAGATACTTTCGAGAGTTGTCTCTGGTCACCACGGAGTCAAGTCTTAATGTAGCAAGTTAATGTCGAATCAAAGCAAGCTTCAAATCAAGACATAAAATTTATATAACACACAAAAACTTAAGAGTCCTCGCGTAGTAAAACAACGGAATATGCCTCTCACACACACATACACATGTCGGAGCAATGCAAATTGTATTTGACTTTGCCATCTAAAAGAACTGCACTTCTAAGGCAGTCTATTGAATTACATGCTTATCTCCATCCTGTTACTTGAAGCAGTTTCTAGAAGGAACTGTGATAGCAGGAAAGTAAGAGCAAAGACAACATGAAGCCCCACTTCTACAATCTCGATCAGTACCCATCATTTAAATACAAAATCTCATGTTTACTACATATATTTTGGAAAGGTACCAGACGACTCCAGTTGGTACCAATTATATCGTACCTCTCGGTTTTGGAACAAGATGTGGACTCCAGATATAGCCCGTAGGCAGCTCAGCAATGGATCCTTGAGACCCACTCAAATATGTAATGGGCCGCAATTTTAGTTTCTTCTTTCGAAAATCATTTATCATGCTGCGTATACCCCACCAGATCAAGGAATCGACAACTTGATAGGACATCTGCAGAATCGGCCGGGTTTTTTCTCCAGTTAAACAAGTGAAGCCTCTAGGTACAAAGATAACCAGAAATTCCAGCCCAGACTTAGACAAAGACTCTCGTTACATCATAAAGGATTACGACATTATCAGTCTGGCTAGTACTGTGACAGGCAAACATCACACGGACATCGGAAGCTACTGAAGCCTACAAAAATCAATCACGATACAACTTGCATAACTTGGTACTGAAACTAGTAAAAGTTCCAAAGACCATGCATGCATACCAGACAATGCATAAACGACCTATGTATATTGCAGAAAACAAAGGCATAGGCTTAATTCATTCCAATCTGGAGGTTATCGAAAACCTGAGACAGCTATTATGGAGATAAAAAATCTGGTGTAGACAGATTAAACTTTTGAAACGTAGTTTTGAAGTCTACCGATTAGTATGTGCCTGCCATTGCCTGAATACCGCCGACCTGGCGTCTTGGTCGAGTGCTGCTAGTATTAAGGGCTTACGCACTAGGAGAAGACAGGATAGAAGCAGAAGGAAACCGAAACAGGAAGACTTAAAATAGAAAAGGATCTCTACTGTCTTCAGAGTTTTCTCCGTAGATGAGAGTAGTTCAAGTCTCCGGGTATCAACAAGAATTTTTTTCTGACTTATTCGTCTGACGGTCACAAAGACCCATGGAGCCATGACTCACAAGTGCGGTTGCATTGGGGTTTACATAAAGGCTAGTGATTTCCGTTCTCGGCTTGGCCTCCACCAGCAGAGAAATGTCGCGAAACAATTTCGCGCTCGTATGACAGAAAGCTGCATTCCATCAAATCGTGATCAGGAGTTTCGTTATGCTTGCCACAGAGGGTGCAAGTTACAGAATGGATTTCCACTTTTCTCTCTTTGAATGAGAAGAGACCGCCAATCGGAACTAAAAGCTAGACGTGTCCCCAAACAAGGAACACCCTGAAAAGAGTGCATGGACGACTTCATGGTCCAGCAAGGCTAGGGAAAGATGTGTTCTGTGGTTTGCTTCATCACTGTCCAGTTTCTGTTATTGATCAGTAATTGTCCAAAGGTTGTCTTCAAATTTCGAAATAAGAACTTAATTCGCATGCAATTCATGGAAACTCACCCTGTACCCAGCTGGTGACTTCACACGAGAGAGAGGGTGCGGGAATTCGCTTGTGGCTCTGCAGATGCATAAGCCAAATGAGTACCAAGCAGAAATACAAGTCGAAGAAAGAACTAGCGCGAGTTAATAGTTAAAAGACTATAAGCAATCACAAAAAGCTTCGAAGGCGCTAGATGTGAAGCAAACATTTAGGCACCCTAATAACGGGTAGTGTTGGTAACTCAGATTCTCAGATCATACGATATACTAAATACACCCAAAAGTTCGCATTATGACAAAGAAAAGATCAAAGAAAAGGCATGAGAAATTTGATTTTAGTTGGAAAACGTACGTCCACGGCATAGTGAAAAAAATATGCAAGGGGACCTGCAGATACTCGGCTACGTGTACATGTCCTGCAAGAAAACGATAGACAAACAACGATAGCCGTCATTATGACAGACCTGCTGATTTTCAAGCAGCTAAAACGTGTTGTAAACATGACACAACCAATTGTTTCTCCCCAAAAATACACGTCACTCTCATCGTCTGACCAAATGAAGGACTCCTTTCGCATCGGATCTCTCCCTCACCACGATACATCCCGAACTTGTGAGGTGTGGAGCACAAATATTTGATTGTCTAAACTACTAATTCCATATAAGAGCCACCTTACAAAAAACCTCGTTGGCTGGTATCGCTTGATGCTGGAGCCAAAAGAACAGTAAAGTTCTTCAGCCTACATTCAAAACCAAAAGATGCGCCTCTTTTGAGCAATTTCCAAAAGAAGGGTGACTTGAAAGAAATTTCCAGACTGACCGTTGGAAACTTTTGAAAAAACTTCACCTATAAGGGAATATCCCCATTACGTACAAATATTTACCCCATATACACAAACTTTCGCCACTCTCAAAGAGTGCACTCTCTACTTCCTCCTCCACCACCCTCAATCCCTCGCTCTTCTTCTTCTTCTTCGTTTGAGACTAGCGCCTGTATAGTCTTCAAGATTTGGCATGCAAATACTAAAAAACCTAATTAATGCTTTGCTCCTTATGATGATTAACTTTCATTCTTCAAATAATTTGCATTTATTCACTTGTTCAATCCCAAGACAAGACTGTCCTCAGGCCGTTCAAAATGCAAGCCATATCAATTTACAAATCTTTTCTAAATCCTGTTTTTCTCATTCACGAAATAGATCCCAGTTTGATTTTGATGTTTCTCAGAAAGGGTGTGCGCGTCGTGATCATACGAAAAACTCTGCTTTTGGTATAGAATCGACCATTGACGCGTTATGATACTTACAGAGCGGCAGTTACTTCCTTACCAGCGCAAAACGAAACACTATATGTGGTTGTCCAAAACTGCTGATGACTACTGTCTTTCTGTACATGCATCGAAAGTTCGTAAACGCACCGTAAGCAGGAGGATTTGCGATGATAGCCTGTGCTCTAAACGGGAGACCAGACCCAGCCTCAGGATCAGCAACAGTGCACGCGGGTAGTAGTGATTGAATAATGGCTTTGATCTGCTTCCTTTGTACTGACACCTCGGATGGTCCTGACGGCAAGAATCCTTTGTTCTTGACCATATCTGCAAAAAGGAAAAACTTTAGCTACTCTTCTGCGACAGAAAAATGTACTACAACCTACACTGAAAAAGCCAGATGTGCTTCCAAGCTAATTCGAATTTTTTACTGATTCAACTTACACCACTGAATCTGACTACATTAGCTGATAAGCTTCTGTAATGTAAGAAGATCTCACTTACATCCCGCAAGAACTTTGGGATCACCACCCAAAGGATAAAACTCCAGACCTGCAGTCATTACAAATTCTCTAAAATTGGAATGTGTTGCCAACCTCACACGGTGACCATACCCCTGAAAGAAACAAGAAAATTGGTTAATTTAACCTCATATCACACCCGACATCTTAGGTGTTGTGGGTATCATTCCGCCAGATCAGACACATCTTAGGCCCCGAGCTAGACGACTCGCAAGAAACTGACCATATAAACACTGTGTATTAACCACAAACCTAGGCTGAAAGACTAGTAACTCCAAGACCAAACTCAAGAAGTACCTGCAGATGTTTTCCAATTGCTACAAATGGTTGTACATCGCCTCTTGTCCCGACAATGAGCATGACTATTTGTAGGGGTGGAACCTCTCTTCTTGTATTATCCTCGTCTTCTTCGTTTAAATCCTCTTCCCCGACTTCACCTCCTTCATCAAAAATACCAGGTCCAGTGCCTGACAAAAAGCTTGCTATTCGCTTACTCCCTGCCTCATCGAACTCTACGCATCCATTGTCGTTGACTGGAGCAAGCTTCTTGATCATCTTTTTCTGCAGTCAATTGGAAACCATTAATCGTATAAACTAGGCTCGGTGCAAAACTTTACTCGTGAAAAGATGCCAGATTGATTACCCTGTTAAATATAGACGATAAATCTGAATAATCACGATGAAGTTGAAGTAAGAGATCTTAATATGAAGCTCCGGGCAGGTATGAGGGGTAATGTGATACCTTCTTCCTGTCTGACATCTTTTCTGGAACTGCGAGACGAACATTTCGATTTTCGTTACTTTTAGACCGCCTACCACTTTGAGTGTTTGCTCTCCGATCTTCCAGCTCTGAAAAAGATCTGCTGGGCAAAGATTTTGTACGTACCAGTGCACGCTCAGGTCCTGCACAGTGAAGTATTGTTAGCTTCATCCACCAGCTAAGAACTGTGCATACTGTTGCGAAATTGTACTCAATCGCACATAAAACCAACAGATACTTATTGAGCTATTTCGAACGGAAAAAGGTGTGGAGAAAAGACTCATGAAGTTCCAGCGTTATTACTTCTACAACAAGAAACATCCTGAAGGGCTTATTCCTATATTTCACTATCCTGCAGCACAAATCGCAAATTTCTCAGATTTTAGCAGCTAACGACGGAGTGCAGAACACATCAAACACTCTGTACTGCGCAAATATGTCATTTATCCCAAAGCTCACCTGAAGCGCAAGTTGCTCCTCCTGTCTGATCACTCATAGATTGCAAGTCGGATTTCGATGAGCGGCCGGAAGAGCACTCGCTTCCTTGTTCGTGGGACTCAGCAGTTGACACATGATCGGCCGTCAATTCGCTTGGCTTCAACCTGACGGGAGCAGAAGTTGTTGCGAGTAATTGACGCTTTGGGATAATCAAAGGCCTGTTTCCAAGTTCTTGACCAAGCTTGTAGGGGTTCTCCAGTCCAATGGCGGGACCTTCATCGATCCCAATACTGTTCGCTGTCGTGGCCATGAATCTAGGATTGCTGCTAAAAGGATTCGACCTCAATGTAGGTTGAGACTGGGCTCCGTGGTGCAACTCATGACCTGTCCCAGATCGTGTGCCAAACCGAGAATCCTCGTAAAACTTAGCCTGCGAGTCCCCGTTGTCCTGGTGGGCGTTTTCAGTGCCCAGATGAGTTAGCCCATTCTGGTTATTCTTCAGGTGACTTCCTCCGTTCCTTTGCTCCAACTCGAAATAGTCCCCTGAACTATCAATATCAGGGCTACGGCGAGGGACAAGTTTACCAGGTCCTTGAATCATCGGCGTCGCTACAGGGTCCTCATTACGAAGCATCGATTGATAGTTGGCATCTGGTGCGAAAGAAAATGTATCGGAGAGAATCGACTCATTGTCCAGTGAGGATGCTGACGAAGATGAAGTGATGTAAGAGGTTCCATCATCCTCGTGATTCATCCTTGTGAATGAAGACAGCAGCTTATATGGCCTTCACTCAGAGAATGCACATTACACAAACTGGTAAGTATAGTCACAATGCTCGAGAACGACAAGAAAGCAGTAAAGGGTAGTCCACTACATTGGTGTAAGAACAGGAGAATTAGTTCAATAGTAAGCTGTTGTCACATACTGATCAATGTTCGTACTACCATCCTTGAAAAAATCTCCATCAGCATCAACTTTATAAACTTTTCGTTGGTTCCACTTTCGATTGAAATCTTCTGACAGCTAAACCAAATGTTAAACCCTAATAATTGTTATGTTTCAGAAGGAATCATCAACTTTTCTGCTGCTGAAGATGAATACTATCGAATAGCTACTGGGAATTGCTTAGCAATGGATCAAAATAGTCAAGAAGAACAAATTTCTCCTGCACGCTATCGCCTGACCTATCCTATGTATCATGATATAACACGCACCCTGGCTGACGCCCGTTCTTGTGTTAAAGAGAAAAAATCTGGTTGAATATACTTGTAAAGTTGTCAAGTTGTTAACGTGGCCAAAATCTATCCTCCGAAAAATCGCACAGATTCCGAAGAATTCACCAGTCTTCGCGTCTTTATTATGTCGGGTTTGAAATAGAAATCAATCCATGTCAAAAATTTAACTCATGCCGCGGCAGAAAAGGTTTTTACCTCAATTAGATCCAAAGGGCTTCTTATTGAGTGCAGTCTATGCAAGACTCGTGTTGATAATTTAGAGGTCCAATCGTCGAACTTGACGTGGAGCAGAACGTTCACCAAGTCTTCTACACTGTCAGGACAATACACACAATAGCGAAGAAAAGATACGTTTGTAAGAAACTAACGCAAACCCAATGGCTCCAAATGACACCTGAACAGCAATTTATCCTGGAAAAAGCGTGTCATCTATTACTCAAATGGTGCTCGTCAGAAGACGACGACGGCAGCCACTAAATCCGACCCGATCGTCTGTACATGTAAACTACTGCCGATACATCTTGCGGTCCGCCAGACGCGTGCAGTGACAAATCTAGGTAAAGAAGTGAACCACTGACCCCTAACGTTGAAGCTTTACGGCGTGTCCCATTCTTCACGAACCTGTCAAAAATTATACTTACAGTGATTTTGTTTTTTTCTATCCAACTTTGCAACAGCCGAACAGAGAGACCAATATCTGAGACACAAAGATTACTCTAGAGACTCTTGATATCGCCTGTTCTAAAAACATACCTGGAGCAGAAGATAGGAATAACCTATCAGCTTGAGCCTTCTAGGACAACGACGCTATCCTGCATCAAAAGAAAACCAGCACTGACTAGAGAAATAAAACACTCTGAAGTCCAAAAAGATAAAGGCATCCATCAGAGAAGGAAATTGTGTGGGCAAAGAAATTCAGCAAAATTGGCCAATGCTCGGTGTACGCACCATGCGATATCTCACAAAATGTACACAGTTGCCCCGCTCCTCAACAGAAAACTTCACACCCACGAGATCCACTTCGCAGAAAAGTCAGTCTCGGCCTCTAGAATCCAAGAAATATCATCCCCCGCAAACGAAGTCTCTCCGCGGATGAGCGAACGAGCGAGCTGCTCGACCTGCTGCTAAAGAACCAGAAGGGGCAGCGCTAGTAGAAGCCCACATGTTCCATCCATCGAATGGATAACCTCGCTGATTAGATTGCTCCCCGTGCGGACAGAGGGTCAGGACAGATATCACCACCCGCACCCAAAATTCTTCCACCTTCCGATCACAATGTCGTAGGGCGCCCTACGCAGGTACTTCCTTCCTGCTCTAATTCTCCAAAATTAAAGCCCCGCTCGCGTGAGCCCTGCAGATTGCCCTCGTCAATCAGTCCGTCAGTGAGCCAGCCAGCCAGTCCGTCCGACGATCGATCAATCGATCAAAGAATCAATCGATAAATAAATCATTCCCTCCTCTTCCAACTTTCCTCCATCCCCTTCCTTCTTTGCTTGCTCGCTCGCTTGCTTGCTTGCCCGCCCTGCTCCGACGGAGCTCTACGGGACTCGGTGGCAAACTGGGCTCGATGAGTCGGGCGAGAACGGTCTACCGCGGACCATGTGCAGCAGCCATAGCAGCAGTACCAAGTCGACTGCAAGCCATGCCACGCACGGCAGCTCCTCCTACTCCTTCCTCCGACGCGTGACTCCGTCTCGGCATCACAGTTCGCCCCCGGCATACGTTCCTCGTGCTGCCTCCATCCGTCCCGTTCCTTTCTTTCCTTCTTCCTTCCCTTCGCAAAGAAAGTCCTCGTCGAGCGTCGAGCGTCGAGACTGCACCGAAACTGCGCGCAACTGCGCTCGTTGCTGCGCCGACTGTGCGCCCGTTCTCGCTTTCTGTCCGCTTCTACGGCTGTCGCCTCCCGCTGGCCCTGCCCACCTGTCCTCCTCTGGGACCCTGCTCCTGGCCCTCCCGTCCGTCTGTCCGTCTGCCTGCCCGCCTGCCAGCAGGGTATTCCCTGATGCCACGGTACATTCTCCCGTCCGGCGCCCGGCGCTGCCCGGAGCTGCCCGGGGGGCCTGCCCGATTTGGGGTTGGGGTCCAGAATGGTGCTCTTTTTCGGAACAGGGGTCGTGTAGTGGAGGGCACTTGGGGGCCATGTTCGCCGCTGTCCTTTACCAGGGTTCGAATCTTTTGGGGCCTCATTATTAGTCGCCTCGCTGACGACGTCCCTCGGCTTCGGAATTCGGGCTCCGCGAGAGCGGGTGTCTGCGATTTATTATTATTATTATTATTATTTGCACTTATTAAGTTCTGCCCGTCCTTCCTTCGTTCCTTCGCTTTTCCCCGACTATGACCCGCGGCAGGTCCATCTCTCCGGCCGCAGCCGACTCATGGACTCAGCTGCCGCTGGTGCCCAAAAGCTCAAAAGCTGGCTCTCCTGCTTCTGCTGCTGCTGCTGCAGCTGCCAAAAGGCGAAATATCCTGGCATTATTTTAATGAGTGTCGTTGTTGGGGCCCGCGCGGGCACGGAGGTAGCTCTGAAGTTTATTCAGTGACTCTGAGTCTCTGGCCAGGCTCTGAGAGCTCTCGCTCGTTATGTCTCTCTAGAGGAGCCGTGAGAGGAATGAGGGCGATGGGAAGGAAGCCTATGATGGCCTTAGCTTCAGGAATTCGATGCAAATCATCAGAGCTCAGCTCAGAGGCTATATGTACTCGATGCCTGAGCATAGAGTGCATGCACTGAGTCAATCATTGCAATCAGTTCGGCCCTGCCACGAGTCCACAATTCAATCACTGTAGTATCATGCGTACCTCGAACTGTCGCCCTGGTGCTCGTCCTCGTCCTTCTCGTCGTTCGGGCTAGTGGAGTTTAGTAGTCGCACTCACATCCGGGACATTTTGCTTCCTTGGACCGGTGCACATTCCCACCATCGGGCCAAATCGGACTTGATCGATCGATCGATCGACAGGTGAGTATCGTATCTTTCGAAACATGACATATGGTCGTGAAAATAGATGGGAATCTGAGCCCTTAGGCCGCGGCTCTAAAGGCAACGAACTTTTGAACATGAGCCACAGCAGCAGCAGCAGCTGTCACACCTTCAACTTCGCACCTGCCTTAAAATACAGAACCATGCGATGCTTCGTCTGATTCGCGTCCGACACATGGCATCGGAACAGGGTGGCGACAACGAGTGAGCTCGCAGATTGAGCATGCATCCTGGGTAAGGAAATTGCAACATATATCGAGTAGCGCACCAGCGACCTCTTGGAATCGAGCCTGCAGCAGATTTTCAAGAGCAGCACGGCACGTGTCACTGTCCGCAGGCCTTTCGGGATCCAACGCAACCAATCAGTCGCTGCCAGAACTAACTTCAGACACCATAGTCAACTGCCACCGCTTACGACTCGTTCGCAGTAATTTGGGATCGACAGACTTTGACCTCATCGCCAGCAACAACCACAACCACGACCACTACGTGGTCAATGCCTCCTGTAGATCATATCTCAACATCCCGATGTTATCTTCTATAATGCAGCGCTGATTATTACACTCCTTCAGAGCACTCAGTGTCGAATATATCTAAGTACATAATACTCGGACGGATTCCCAGTCTCGACACATTTTCCAAATGTTTCAATATCCATCACTGTATTTTTTCTGTATTTTTTCTTATCGTTCGCTTTACAGTCGTACTTGGAAGCGTACCACTGCCACCGAGAAAGATAAACTGGACAAAACTAAACCTCCTCTTCCTCATAGCTTTGCAATAAAGGTTCTGAATCTTGACTCTATATGTTACTTGTGTTCGACTTCCAGTTTATCAAAATTTGCTTCTCATCATCTTGATGCTCAGGTCAACAATTTACAGAAGTATTCAGAGTACGATAATAAAATGATACGAGGAATTCATGTGGATGGAGGGACTCAACAAAATTCTTGATCTATATCAAAGAGGACTGAGGTTTCAAATTTACTAATTTTCCATCGAAATACTTTGAAATTCTTAGTAATGTTTAGCACTGATCTGAGTGTATATCCAACTCACTTCGGTGTCAAGCTAATAGTTACATATATAGTTTCATAAAGACATACATCTTAGTAGTTTGTATTCCACTTTCCTCATGAGCTAAAATCTCGCTCTAAAACAGGAAATTAAGAATCATTCTCAAGTGAACGAATTTAATCACTGAAAACACAAAACGTGATTGCTTCTGGAGACTGCTCAATTAAACTTAACCGAGAGGTTTCTTCGAAGTGGCGATAGATGTTTTGCCCGATCATTTGTCACTTAGTGGAACTCGACGTCATAAGTCAGGTGACGTAAGAGTTTTTACACATGATTTTGAACTTTCACATTTCTGATTTTCTAAGATCTGTGAACCTTGATTGCGGTTTTAGTACACGAGATGGTTAAATTTCTCAATTCAATTTCAGTCTTATATCTGCATATAAAACCTTGAAAAATACTATATGTACTCTCCTTTATTTCATGGCGAACAACTCCAACGTGCTAAAGCTGGATCCATGTATTTTAATAAGGGAAAAAAAATGAGGTTTTGAAAATTGTGCTTGGAACATGCATTGAAAGACACACTATATAGAGCCCAGCGGCAGCGTACGTATCAGATTGGTTCAAAAGCCACAAAAGGCGAGACGTACTGTCACTTGTGACAAGTATTGTTTATAGATTTCAGATGAGTTCGCATCAAACTTGAACATTTGTGACGAGCATATTCTGATGATAAAGGAGACAAGATGCAGATACGTGTTACTTTGAGTATTGTGCAGAGCTTTCTTCCCAATAGAGGCTATACTAATCTATTCACATCATAAAAATAGAAACCAGGGGATGAACCGAAGAAATTTACTGTCCCGAATGCTTTCGAATATCCAAACGTGAGAGACGTGACGGGTAGACCATAAAGCAGTGCGCCTTTCGGCAGCCATGTCATGCATGTGTAAACAACCGTTTGGAGACTAGACAACAACCGAAGTGAACACCGACAGTATAGGGTCTGCATCGTAGACCTGCACGGTGGTTGCAAACGAACAACGCCTATCATCTTTCAGAAGGACTCATGCCGCGAGACAATCCGCAGACAGACCGTTCTGGCAAGACGGCTCAGGCACTGGAAAATTGGTTCATTAATCCAAACTGGTTTGTCAAACTTGAACACAATCTGGATTTGATCGATCTGCGTTGACGTTATTTCATTAGTTTCGAACGAGATTCCCCTTGCGTTCAAATACCCACACGTGCTTAAGAGAAAAGACTGCACGTACTCATGGAGGAATTTAGAATGTTCGGAACATTTGCGTTTGTCCCGATACTTCTAGACTTACTAAAGCTCACTAACAGAATGGGCAGTTGTCACAACGAGCATCTGCAAACCTCAAAATCCAAAAAACAATGCACCCAGTTTTCTGTTGGAGGCGTAAAACTGTATACGTTTGGACACGAAAGGTGTAAATACGTTATGATGGAAACCTCATGCGTTAGTCCATCGGCGAACACCAGGGAATATCAAAGATAGCTGGGACAATACTCTCCTCGCTACGTTTACCATTTCATCAAACGAAGATTCCTTCAAAGTCTACCGTGATGTACTCAAGAGCCGGAACTCATCACAGATTGTGTATTGCACTGATACTCATGATATGTCAACAATCCCAATCAGATGGCTGGCACGTTTACTCCTGTACAGAACGTATGTTACATGTCTTTCCCAAAGAAGGGTTACAAGCTTGTCTACCTACTTCTCTTCCTACTCCTAAGTTCCTAATTCGTAAGAACGTAGTCACCAAGGACCCGTTCTTGTTCTCCTCAAGGTAATTCCTTCGCTTACAGGGACCTTTTGTACAGCATGATGCGTCATCATCTGCTTCTTTCTGCCCTCGGTCATCTCCTCCTGTTTAAAAACAAAACGAAACGAAAATTGTACCATCAGCGACGACGTCACCAGCCTAAAATTACGTCCTCTTCGATAGAACCCTGTTGACAATTAAAGAATCTAGAACGCCAAGAAATTTACCAGTCTTACCAGCCTCCACGCAATTTGCTGCCTCTTCAACCTGTTATTTTCTTCTTTCAGCTGAGTTACTTCCGCCTCTAGCTCCACAGTGTAGGCCTTCACAAACAAACAGTATTCACAGGTTGGAGAGAGTGCTACGGTGGAATCAGCAGCAAAAAAAATCGACATATCGACACGACCACGAATGCATGGTGTACAAAATATCCTGCATGTTGAGGATGCGTAAATTACCTGCTTCCGGGCCCTTGACCTTGCCGCAGACTCTCTGTTTTTAATCATTCGTCGTTGGCGCCTTTCCACGGTTTTTTCTTGTGGACCATCACCTCCTTTTCGCCTCCCTCGCATTGCTCCGTCGACTCCATAATTTCCTGCAGGAGATAGGCTCAGCCCGTTCCCATGGCTGTGCCCTACGCCATCGGACATTGGACTACTGGGAGAAGTGGGGGCTAACTGCAGACCAATAACCCCCATCATCCCTTGGGGAACGAGACCCTGCATTCCGGGTGCCATCCCGGCATAACCATTTGGCATGGACGATACAACCATACCGCTACCATTGGCCACTCGCTGCCTGTGATTACCGTACTGCTCGGCAGCATGAGCAGCTTGCATCTGCTGCTGATGGGCTGCATGTGCATATTGCTGCTGCTGCTGTTGTTGCTGTTGCTGCTGCTGCTGCTGCTGCTGTGCTGTCACAGCCATGCTCCTCATCCATTCGGCTTGAGCAGGGGCAGGTTTGTACGTGTCCATTGCCATAGAATCCATGGATCCCGGGGTCAGAGTGGACGTGCCCAGAGAAAGCGTCGGAACTGAAGGTCCAGTGCCATCTCGATCGTTGGTCGCCGAAGGTGAGATGAAGTTGTTAAAAGATCCAAACGAAGACGACGTTGGGCCATCCGGCCCGTCTTCTCTAACGACACCAGCTTTTACGAGGAAATCTTCGAGAGTCATTTCACCGAAAGTGGCTTCCCGAGTCTGAGTAGGACCAGTGCCATTTGTTTGAACTCCGTTCGATCCTTCGATCGGTTTGTGAATATCCCTCCAAACCTCCTCGACAGTCTTTCTACTGAGAGTACGAGGAAGCGTGAGAGAGCTTTGCCTGGTCAAGCTGGTCTGCCGAGATAACCCAGTTCCATTTGCACCTGTTAAAGCTCCCCCGGATCCCTCCGCAGGAGACTCCCCAGCTAAATTACTGCCACTCCCGATCCCAGCCATAGCGGATGCCATAGCCTGACTCTCCTCTACAGTCCAGATATTCTTGAGAAATTCGTTCATGTTCATCGATCCGAAATTCTTCCCGGGGTCGAGCGAATGCAGTTCGTCGAGAGTCAACGAGTAGATGGACGCCTGTCGAGGCAGCGAGCCAAACCTAGTCAGTGCGCTCCCGGACGAGGTCCCTTCCCCGGAGGGCACAATCGGCCCTCCGTTTTGCGCACTCGGGTTTTGCGGCATCGCTCTCGACTGCCCCTGGGCTTGGGAATTGGACCCCATTTTGGCGCCCTCGTCGCGCTGCTGCTGCTGCTGAATATGATGATGTTGTTGATGATGATGCTGCTGCTGCTGCTGCTGCTGCTGGAAAGGGTAGGCTCTTGTCGGATCGAGGTCCTGGAACCCGGACGAAGCAGGTTGAGCCTGCAGAGCCTGCGCCTTCCTGGCTGCACGATCGCGTGCCCGCTTCCGGGCGTCGAACCCTGCCAGCGCAAGAGCTGACGAAACCTCCGGTCGAGTCGTGAAAAAGGCTTGAGGTGGGATGGATGCGACGACGACGACGACGACGACGACAGGGCTCTCTCGAGCGAGCGCTCGACGACTAAAACTGCACCTGCGCAGCAGATGCGACGCCGCTTTGACACCGGGCACAACGTCCGCTGGCAGCAGCGTGCGCGCTCTTATACTTAGGGCTTGCCAGCAGCAGCTTCTGCATCGCTCGGGACGCAATTGTCGAGCCCATAGTTTAGTTTAGCCTTTCCCGGGGGCCCTCCGACTCTTCTCACCCGTCTCGGCCCTTTCGGCCCCTTCGGCCCCCTGACCTCGATCACGCCCTCCTGCTTGCCTGCCTGCCCGCTCGCCCGCGCGCCCGCCAAGCCGAGCCGACTGAGCCGCGCCTACGTTCCCCCCGGCGGGAGAGAGAGGGAGAGAGACAGAGAGCTTGAGAAGCGGAGGGGAGGAAGGGGAGGAGAGGCGGAAGTCCGTGGAACGACTCTCCGAAATGGCAACAAACGTTACGGTCTCTCCGCTCCATCTTATATCTAAAAATCAAAGCGCAGGGGGGCCGAGAGCAGCCGCACGCTCGTGTCTTTCCACGTGGCGGTGCGAGCGGCGTACTGCTGCAATGGGGTGAGAAATCGACGCGTGGGCTGTACACGCGTCGGTTTATTAGCGTCATGGCGTCGACGCGTGTCGCCACCGTGACCGCCCCGCCACTGCCGGGGCGGGTGATCGAAAGTAAGTGGTTTAATTTTGGATGCTCTGAGTAAATATCTCATTTATAAATCTGAATCTCGGGGTTTTGGCACCGGATGGTAAATGTTGGTAAAACCCCGATGAATTTGGTCATGAAAAGCGCTCGTGCTCCCCTTCTCGGTGACCGAACAAAAACAGGTAAAATCTCGACACCAGTTTCTGCAAATAACTACAATTTGCGCCATGCTGAAGTATTTACACTTCTACAATATGACAGAATCACATCTAAGCAATGAAAATGCTCTTTATTATGTACCGAAAAAATCTGTCTTAATTGTAACTCGACGTTTTTGGCTTGCATCGATAGGTGCTCACAGCATGCTCGTTTGACAGGGTAGTCAAATGAGCATATGTATCCTCCGCTGGGCTGTAACGTAATATTGTTACGAGGATTTTAAATATTTTCAACGGAGGTCACCTCGTAATCTGCGAATGTGCATGGGATGTTAGGAGAGAACTTTAATTAAACATTGCGTCTATTAATACTATTAAGTTGCAATTTTCATGTCTCACTCCTTTTTAACGAGATAATCTCAATTTAGACGATAAATATTGTATCTTTGAACATCACTATGAAATGGTGGAGTTGTCATAACATTGAACATTTTTTCTACGTTCAGTACCTAAATAAACATAGCATTTGTAGAGATCACAAAGTTTTTTGAGCTCTAAAGAGAAACAAATATATAAAATTTAATGAGCTTTATCCACTTTTCTATTTTTTGAAATAATTCGAAGTGAAATTTGAATTTCTATTGAGTAAATGAAATAACTTAGTTTTTCAAATTTTTTATGTATATTCTGGATAATGAGAGTCGCATTGAGATGAACATAAGATACTCTTGCTAGTTGAGCGAATAGAATAATACCTAATTTAAAACAAAAACCACAGTTTTCTGGGCGTCTATATTGAATCACTCCGATGATAAAGAGATAAATCTTTGTATCATAAGATACATTGGATTAAACTTCGTTTATGAAACTTCATGCCTTGCAGGCAACATAAGATGGCATCAAAGAAATAATAATATTTACATGAGGCTGAATCTCTTTTATATTTTACTCTTCACGATTTTTTAGGCTTATTTTCTACTAATAGATTAGACTCTTAGTTTAAACCACCAATCTTTGACACTAATCCAAGAAAATATTGACAAGATTTTTAAACCGATCAGTTCATGCATCAATAAATACAATTTGTAATAATTTCTTTTACTTTTGTATTCATTCAAATATGAATAGTGAAAGTAACCTGCAATCAGTGTAATGGAGTTCAAAGTTGTGAAATTCTTCCAATACACGTCCACTTGTCACGGTCAAGATGGATGTGGAAGGACCACTTTCAAATTAACTGACCAAAGTACAAGAAAATCTAGAAATAGCAAGCACATCCCTCGACAAACCAACAAAACAATCAAATCAGTAGCCATTTTCGTGATTGCAGGACAGATTGCTGGATCTAGGTCAGCTTTGGGAGACAAAACCGAACCATGAGATTTGGTTTGGTTTGGTTTGCTTGAGGATGATCTACTACTTCCTGTAGTGTATTTGCACTAAGATTATCTTTCCTCTTGGATCTATCATCGTTCTAAACCTGAGAATTGGTACTATACGTAGAATTAAATGTAGTGGTATCGATGTACTGTACGAGTATAAATTTGTATCAATAACCTAGCTAAAGAGATTGCAGTAGGGAAGAAAAACTGCACGAACTGCACATGTTTTGCTCCGTGTCATTTGCAACAGAATCTCTAGGATCGAGGAAGTGGATATTAGCTGCCACCTCTTGCTCCGCTTTTTATTCACGGTAAGTCACAAGTTTTGATCAGCTTTATGAATCATTTTTATTGCTCTGATTCCCTGTATAGTTTCTAATCTTCCCCTTTGCCGTTCACTTAAAATAAGGGGAATCACGTATAGTAGCTATCTGTTCTCTTTCAAGATATTAGTGCAGATGTTCAATCACTTCGTGTGTTGTGTTGAATGATCCCCGGAGTGTATTTAGGATCTCTACAAGTATTTTATGTTTCGCGTCCCTCTACAAATCTTCCCTATTCCAACATCGCGGAAGCAAAAAGTATTAGGTTGCAAGAGAAGAACGTTGCCAAAGGTGCTACTTCTTGGAGAGTACATTAAAACAGATCGTGGACTTTTAAAAACTCTAGGCGATCTGTGGTGTTGATTGACTAATATTATCTGAATATGTAAACAATATGGTCCAGACCACTAGTTTTTTTACTACTACCAAAATACAGCCAAATGACGAAACATCAACCAAAAATTGGTTTCCCAACACAAGAATCTTCAAAACTTGCACAAAATGATAATCTACGTCGTTTTGAACCAAGTAAATCTTGATCTCCATTTTTTGGGTAAAATTATGAATGCGCATGCCGGGTAAGTACGCATAATTATGGTACGTAATACGGGAAGCGTACTCAACTGGGAGGCTACAGCACGTGAGTAAGTCCATGCTCTTCTCTGATCCTTTAGCACGACCAGCTGCGACCATTCAAACGAGTTCAAAGAATCTCTGAAAACATTCCTGTCCTCACCAAAGTTCACTGTATGGAGTGGTGTACGATATGTTACACTGATATTTTCCCTCTAAAAGCCTTGCTCTTGACACAGCAGATTTTGATAGTCGCTGAATTCCAAGTTATCAAAAGTGACTCAGGTAGGATCGATACCAATAGCAAGGCAAAGACTTCGCCTTTTCAAAGTTCAATACAAGAAACTCCGTACAAGACAGTAATCCTAGATCTCTATAGCGTAGAACACATGACATTAGAGGATGCTGGTTGCTCAGACACATGCAAGCTAAGGGAACCAGTTTACTCTTCAACGAACTTCATTTCGTTCGTGGTTCATATTTCGGTCCCTACTGTGCTACAAAATCACTCTCCGAGTCATTATTGGTGACCACCTAATGTTCGGTCTCCTGGTTTACACTCTACTGGATTGGTGGACGGAATCTATATTCGATGCACCTACTAAAATGAAGAATCTGTTGGACGTCGTAGTTGAGTAATCCTCAGTGTACTTCACACATAGGTGTTCATGGCTATTCGGCCGAATCACACATTTCGATTGAAGGTCACTGAAGTTAACTAACTGAAAAAAAATTGTATGTGGTTAACAATATATATATTGATATCCTGAAATTCCATCTTACCGAACTGGAACTCATCGCTTCACTCCTCCTTGGCAGGCATCATTCAGACCCAAAGTACTAAGAATACTGTACAAACTATTGCCACTATTAGGACGACTAATAATGGTGATCTATCCCACTACTTGTGAACTGCAACATATCTCGCTTGCAGACATTTTACTACGTATGCTACACATCTAGCCACCAAGAATGAGTGAAGGAATCTGCGAATCACCTAGGCCTTGGATAAAGGCGGATTCGTTCAGTGCTAAATGATAAACAAATTCAGAACACGAACTGAATCTGCATACTAATACTGTACCGTCGAGATCAAGTTAGGAGACCGGTACTAAGAGTTTCTAGGCAAGTGATGCAATTCAAAGGCTGCACTAACTGCGGCCTCCGCCACTTGAGGGGCACTTGACCTTCTCAGCCTGATGACTATATTCTCTAAGGCAATAAAATCGGAATGAGCAATTTTGGGGACAGGTAGAGAAGACCCGGATGCCATCCTTTGTTCTTTAAAAATGGTGGATACGACGAAGAGAAGTCGACGTTGTAAAGATGCCGAGTCGTGTCGCTCTACGCAACTCTCCAAGACTTGCGCAACTTTCGACAAATTTGCCAGGACTCCGCTGGAGGCAGCCGTAGGAGATGCTTTCACCGTCAAAACAAGACACTCCGCGGACGTCTCGCTGATTCGGTCATGGCTCCCACAAAGTTCGACAAATATCCCCGAATGGCGACACAATTCCTCAATGTCTTGAATTAGACCATCCCCACTTTTTCCTCCACTGCTCCCAGCATTCCGGATTAGAAAAAATTTGCAAACAGAGAGTACCGGGTCCAGAAAATCCTCCATGCCCTTGGCGTGTACGAACTCCAGGAGGGATCCTATCCGACCTACTACTCTGAGTGCAGACAGGGATTTGCTATCTACTTCGGGTGCCGATGCCAGAAACAAGCACAATCTAACATTGTGCAGATTAATTGTAGACAAGTCATCGGAGAGGAACTCAAAAAACTGAGACACAAGTTTTAGCTGCAATATGTCAACAATCTTGATGCACTTGTGATCGAGAAGCATCACCAGGAGCTTGTGGGCGTACATCGGTATAGGGTCTTCATCATCAACCAACTTGGGATAAAGAGGTAGAAAATACTTCCCTATTATGGGCTCAATGTGTGTCATGCATGTTGGTCTACTTTCGGTAGCGGGGTTTTGGGAACTGGGTGACTCGCCGTCTGACGTCGATATGTCCTCAAGATACAACATCAGGATGTCGAAAAATATCTTGAAGCATAGAAACCTCATGTCCCCATCAGTGTTCGATTTGTACAGTTGAGAAAGACTCGGTAGAACCTGTGCTATAAATGTATCCGGATACTTCAGTACGACCGAGGATTGCTGGGATAGAACCTCGATGATTTGGAGTAGTGTGGATTGAAACTCATCATGACCCTGTGAAACGAGAGAAGCAAAGGAGTTAGTTCTATGATCGATCGCACCTTTCACCTGACTACATTTCCATAAAATTCGTCCGTTGACTACTTATACAAAACAGGATGAGTTTATGGCTAGCTAACCTGAAACGAGAGCGTCTCCACCTGTTTCAAGGCCCCAACAAGCTGCTTGATTACTTGCTCATTTACGAGCCTGCTCCTCAGGGTAGGACTATTGAACAAATGAAGGACAACTGGGAAAAGTGGAATTGAACTTCGAGGCTGCCCCCTTGAAGATGTGGAGCTCGGTCGTTTAGCACTTGACAGCTGCAAGATGTCTAGGGAGATACTATCCAGGATATCTGGAACAATACTTATGATAGTCTGTACCAGAGTTTCAACACACTGCTGCACATAAGGATCTTTCTCTTTTGCCGATCGCTCGATGACCGGCATCAACTTTGCATTACACAGAGATGGTAGCCATCGCCTATTAACCTTACACAGGAGCCCAGCACATACGAACGCTTTACCCCGCAGAACTTCCAGACCCTGCTCCAACAAAGCCATCAAACTCGGGACGAGCGTTTTCTCCTCCAATAAGGCCAGTAGGTACTTGCTCATGTTGTTAATAACGCTGCACCCTACCAGGGCCATGTTGAGAAGATTCAGGCTCACTTGCTGCTCCTTAGCACTTCCTCGAGCCAACACTACAACCAGATCCTTGAAGGTTACTTTTTCTAAAACTGACGGGATAGTGGTCGGGCTGAACCGTACCAAGCGCACAAGGCAGGACCCAGCAGACGCTCTGACAGCTTCTGGCTTTCCAGAGGATTTGAATGTGTGACAAAGGTTATTGATAACTTCACGACTGGTGAAACGAGATGCCCAGTCCCATCCTTGGCTTGAGATGTTCTCGATGGTCTTTAGGGCGTAGTGCTGAGTCACATCATCTTCTCCCTTCCTCAAAATTGACGCAACGAGAGCAATGGTGGTGCTCGAAACCTAGAAACAAGACACCAATTCGTGATGAGGAACACAGTGGGTTGCATTGGAACATTGGTATCCAGTATCCACAATACACAGGACAGCTGCATGGTTTAGTTTTAATGATGATACCTGCCATACTGAGGAAGATCGTCCATCTTTGGAACCGCTCTCGTTTGTGACGCCGGACCTTGGTGAGCCCTCACTTTGTGTAGCAATATAAAAGAGTAGCTCTCCAAGGGTAGCCATTGCACAGCGACGTACTTTCTCCTGCTTATCTCGCAAGGTTTCAGTCAGCACAGCGATTATGCCCGAGCCAGCTAAGTCGTCCTCTATGAGTGTTGCATGACGAATCAACAAACCCATAACAAATGCCACCTGCACTCTAAGAGTCGGCAGTTTCGACGTTCTTAACGTCTTCACTAGGAGAGACATCAGAGGACCATTTATCAAGATATTGGCAGCGTCAATGTTGCTGCACAGACTTTCGACATATCGTAACGTGTTCAGTTTATCATTTAGAGAAGAACTACCTTGAATGCTGGTCATAATGCGGTTGACAAAGGACTCTACCATTTCCGATGAGAGTTTGACAAAGTCAGAAAACTGGAGCGGATCAACGGGAAGGGTTCGAACATCGAAAGCGGTATCGGGAGTCTTCTCCACCCTTCTGCTGATCATAATAGGCCGGACAGAAAGGTCAGAGGGATGCCACAAGGCTTGTGACAGGGTAAGGGACGCCTTCGCTGGTTCTCCAGCAGCCTGTGATGAGGGGAGAGAAGAGTTCTTCTTTAAATCCCTCACGTCAGATGTCTGCCTCTGCAATTTCCTTGGAACTCCTACTCCAGGTGGCGTGGCTGCTACTTCCGACCTCGCTGCATCGTGTTTCTTAGCCTCAACCTGCTCAGGCTTTGGGCCACTATGATCATCTTCAGGATCTTGGTTGATCGGTTGTGCAACCTGGCAGACGGTAAGATCTTCTGGCTTCTCACCTTCAGGCTGTGCTGTTTGGACCAAAGAAGGCACTTGCTCTTCTGCTTTGCTCTCCTCGGATGGCACAGCAGTCGCAGAAGGACAAGTTGCTGCCTCTTCTTCATCGTCATCCACATCATTCTCATTGACCTCTGCAAAGTCCAGCTCTTGATCATGGTTTTCAATGGTCACGTCCGAATCATTGGCAGCAGGGGCGTTGGGAACATGTTGTCGATAAGACTCTCCCTGGCCTTCCTTTTGCAAGTTGGACTTCACAATTTTGGACAGTCTCAGCACATTAACAACTCCATTTGCCCTCGCAGGTTCACCTTTCAAGGGAGAGGCAGAAGCAGCTGCTCCGCTCATTCTTCTTGCTCTATCTGCTTCTGAACTAGGAGCATTTTCGACAGATCCAGCATCCTCAGAACGTCCATCACCGAGGCAAGCGGTCTGACTAGCACCCCTCTTCCCTGCAGAAGAATCTGACAGTTTGGAACTCTTGTCTCGTAACGATCTTTTATCAGGACTCGGAGTTATATCAGGTAGAGCGTTTCTGGAAGCAGCTGAATCGCTCCTAGGGGACCCAGATTTCTGTGCCATACGAAGAAAATTAGCCAACGCAGGTTGAGGGGGAAGTGGAACAGTTTGAATCTTCGTTCGCCAGAAAGGATGCTCCCGGAGTTCTGCCCATTGTAATCTTTTTGCAGGGTCTTTTACAAGGAGGCGGCCTACAAGATTCTGAAACTCACTTGTTGGATTACCCCGAAGTGGAGGCGGAGAATCGGTCAATATCGAATTGACTAATTGTGTGAAACTATTAGACACAAATGGGGGCCTTCCAGAAAAGCACTCGTACATAACACAACCAAGAGCCCATAAGTCTGAACCAAACGAATGTACCCCTCCTTCCTGAAAAAGCTCCGGTGCCATGTAACACGGAGTCCCTCGTTTCGCCTGTGGAAGCTGCTTCAAAAAACAAAGTTCGATCAGGACGACTACAATTTCATTTTACAACCAACTTTTGTACATACAGAAATAGATCTTGGACTTCAATCCAATATAACAAACAAACCCAGTTACTGCAGCTTTACAATTCCTCGTTTAACCAAGCAACACTCAACCCTACCTGTTGTACTGAGCTCTTCGAGATATCACCAAGTCGCCTTGCCAATCCAAAATCACAAAGCTGCATGGATAACAAACTTAATCGTGAGTTAATGCAGCTCATATAACGTAAGTACTGAATGTTAAATCAGGAAGTACATGAAGGGAGACTGATAGAGCAGAGAGAAAGTCGCACCTTCAAACGACCATTTTCATCCAGCAGGATGTTGGAAGGCTTTAAATCGCAGTAGATTACTCCTTTCGAGTGTAGAAATCTAACATGGAAAATCAGTATCAGAGTTAACAGAGCATAAACCTTATCCGTTCAGTTGAGAGAAAGAAAGGGCAGTGTCAGCGTCAGCATTGTTCACTTCAGATACAACCCACGTACTAAATGACATCAGCTTTGGCATTATCATGCGAGTTTCTCGCAGGACATGCCGCAGCCTCTTTGGACTCCACAAGTAAGAAGATTGAGACTAAGTTCGGCGTCGACAAGAGATCTACTGCTCACATTTTTTCAGCGTCATTACTTAAAATTTACTTACTGCAATGCCTGGACAAGGTCCCTTGCAAAGTCATGGATTGACTCCTCTGGTAGCCGTGTGTCCTGTTCCAAGACAGACATTATGTACTCGTCAATAACGAGACTTTCTAAGAGAAAGAGAAAATCACATGTCGCTTTTGATCAGTCTCGGCTTCAACTTGCGTTACAAGAAATCATTTTCCAAAATGAGTGCCACGAGATAAACCGATTAAATTGGATCCAGTCGGAGCTACCCTTCCGTAGTAACAAGTTATAGAGTACACACCACTCACTCTTTGTCTTCGATCATGCGTAGTCAGAACAGAGCATTGTGTACCACCAAAGCAGACATTCACATATACAAGAATCTACTCAATGTGCAAGGTGAATTTACAGAGTCTTCCACGATAACTTTAGGAGACAGGTCTCCTCGTTGAATCAAATATTCATTTGCGTTGCGGATGGCAATTACCTGTCGGAGCAAGGTGAGAAGATCACCACCTACGCAGTACTCCAGGACCAGCCATAGATGAGCAGACGTCTCATACCTGCCATGCCCAAGAAAAAAATTACTCATACATTTGGAGATGTGCCTACCAGGCAGCTCACATGCGACAGACCATTCAGGCGGAACATGGCATTATGATCGTTGCCCACTGTATCGTTGAATCCAACCTACAGTTCGAATCCCAAAAGGGGATGTTGTTGATTATAGCGTAGAATGCGCCGACAATAAGCAATCAAGCTACTGTACATCATTGCATGTTGCTAAATTCCAGCAAGCAGACACTTTCATCAAAAACGAGAATTCAATCCCAAAAATTCATCCGCACCAGGCATAAAACTTGAGAACATTGTGGTGGTCAAGCGAGTGGAGTGTCCTGACCTGCGTTGCAACAGGTGCCATTCGTGAGTTCAGAGGTTCAACAACGACTTCCACGCGAGCCCTTCTTAACATTCTCACACATTCAACTTTTTTGAATCGAAGCAGATAATTATGCATTGGGTCATGGGACTGACTACTAAGCAGAATTTCAATACTTGATCCTCAGGCATCGCAGTGCGCTTTTTTCTGATTCAGAACCTACCAAGCGAGAAGGTAATTCACCTCTTGTAAAACTCTGGTCTTCTGGGCTTTCTCTACGCTTTTGATAGCGTAGTATTCAATCGACTTCTTCTTCCTCCCTTTGTACACAGTCTGAATGAAGCAAAAGACAGTTAGCTAAACCTGACGCTGAATCGTGTGCAGAAACACTCATTCGTTAGGAGACGACGGTCTTCTGTACAACTGCGATAAGCTTTCCCATACCCGATTTGACACCTAGGTTCCCGGAGGCGACTGAGGTCGGAAGTAGAGCACTGTTCCTTGCCCCAGTCATCCAAAATCAGAGCATCGAAATTATTGGGAAGGAGCAACACTTGAACAACCAGAATAGGAAGGCTGGTAGTGTCCAAATTTACTCTCTAACATTACTTAGTTCTTCCCCGCACGAATCAACCAGCAACTGACATGGACTTGTGCTAAATCACAAGCTAAGCACAAAGACAGGCTACATTGTCCGAATGTCCTGATGTCTCAAAATCCAGCTGCTCATGACCTAGGAAGGAAAAAACACGCTGAATCAAACACTGCAATGTACTCACCGAATGTTTACCACGCCCGATCGCCTCATATATATGATACTGATTCATAAGAGGCGATTTTGGGGAAAGCGGTGCGCAAACTTGAAATACGAACTAGCCTTAAACCGCAATCGCTCCGCTCCCTCAATCAGAACAATGTTCAGGCGGGTGGAACAGGATATCACTGGCGAGTGGAAATCTCATACGTCCGGGCGGGACAAGACGCTGCTGGCACTCCGCAAAGAGTCACAGAAGAGGAGGAAGACGAAGAAGAGGAGGAGGAGGAGGAGACGAAGTCACTTCTCCACAGAAGCGCGAGCAGAGCGGTGCGCGCAAGGCGAGAGAGAGCGCAGAGAAAGATGGAGACGAGCGTCGATCGAAGCTGGGAATTGCCGACGCGAGAACACGCGCAGCACGCATCTGTCGAGGAAGCGGACGATGAATCATCGATTCATGGGGCCATCGCGCTGGTCGCTGTAGCGCCTGAAGTCGACTGCTCTCCTTCAAATGTTTTGCGCGGGAGGGCTTTGTTTGTACATTGTTTACTGGCTATTCCTCGGGAAAGTCTACTTTTGTTTCCTTGTGACGTCTACCGGCAAGTTCCGATTTCCGTTTCCCGTTTTGTATTTTCATATTGCTCCTTCGAATGTTTCGAACTTGCGGACCTCGTTCCAACTATTGACTCCTCTAAAAGCAAATATGGCAAGAAATCAATTTCTCTCTATTCCCTCGAATCGGGATGCAGATTTCATTTACTCTGTTAAGTAAATAATAAAATACCAAAATTATTGCAACAAATATTTGCAGACAGGTTCAAGCATGTGGATAAACCGAATGTATATAAATGTGAGTAGATACTAATAACATCATAATGGAACATACTTAATGTTATGCTTAATATGTTAGTTCAAATATATATTCCAATAAGATTTCTATTTATAAGTCAAACTTATGCTTAATGTATAACATTGGCTACACATTACCTAAATTTAATCTATACAATAGATTATGTAGAGCATCTCTTATCTATGATGCACAATATTTTTTATAAAGCAATGGAATTGTAGAAACTATACAATATTCTAAATACAATCCAAATCATTTTCACCATAACTATGCTGATTCATCTATTCTTCAACTTTTCACTTCATATTGATACCTTTACATAACATGAAAGCTAAAAAAGCAATAAAATAAACTCTCTATCTATAGCAAAACTCGGATAAATTTTTAGTGAAGCTTTACTCACTACATATAACCACACAAAAAAATCAATCCATTGAGATAATTGTACGTTCTTTCACACATGTGTAAGAAACGTAAACCTAGTATTTCTTAACCACATTTAGTGGTAAAGAACAACTGAATGAACCACTAGACATACCAACACTTCATCATCGCATGCAATAGCAAACATCTTATATCAAATTTCATCATGAATAGCTAAAATCTATTTTTTGAATCGAGAAAGATTCACATATTTGGATAACACACATGTAATGTTCAAATGTAATATGGAATGGATTACATCAAGATTTGAACTTGTCTTTACAAAAAAAGTAAAAAATGTGAATAAAAAAATCAATTTTTTTTCAATTAGTATGTGATGATATAGTTGCACATAAATATATTAGCATTACCATTATAAAGACAATACTTAGTTATTTCTTTATTTATTTATTTCAGTTAATATATGTGAGTAAAAAATCAAACTATATCGACAAGGTTAGTTACTTCCAAAGCCGAACAGAATACAGTTATACATGAGATTAAGATGAAATGCATTACAAAAGAGTGTAAAGTTTACAATAAATATTGTTTTAGTAAATTTGGTAGCCAAAAGTACACAAAATAATTAAAATTAATTTAAAATGAAATATTTTATGATAATACTCATGTCAAGATTAATCTCATATTTTGCATTCATACACTAGAAACTTGACAAGTTATCATACATATACTTGAAAAATGATACCACTTTGCAATTCAATCAATGCATTTTGTTATTAATCATAAATACTTTCACATATAAACAAAGAGCAAAGTATGTGTATGTATTCATTTTTTCAGTTTGAAAACATTACTCAAGATCATTTCATCAAGCGTTTATTTTTGTGATAAAAGCGTAGATGAAATAAAAAAATAATACTATTATTTTTTTAAACATATTTTTCAACTAAGTCATTAAAAATTATGTAACATCACATGTTGTGTCTATGTGGGTAGATGATTTGAGCTAAGTTTAAACATTTTTTAATATAATACTGTTATATTATGTTCAGTCAAATTTAGGGTGATGTCATGCATAGACATATGGCTTATTACAGTCTACTTACACTTTATATGTTAAGTGTTATACATACATGTATGATGTACATGAGGATGAATGGTTAATATATAGTTTGAAAATCAAAATGAAGCTCAATAAATAAATATTATTTATAAAATTCATAAAATTCATATGTATATATAAAATATTCATCATTTTTAAGCAATATAAATTAAACACAATACCATCAAAGACATTAGCATTGAGCATAATATGAAGACATGAAAAATACGTAATGTTTTCAAATATATTACCATACTCCAACAATTTTTTTGTCTGTTATTGAAAAAAAAGAAAACATGCGTTATCCTGAAATTTGATTGTATGACATTGTTCGTTTTAATATATGTTGTACAAAAAGTTAGCACTTTTTAAATTTCAAATTCTAAAAGTTAGTACATCAATAAATTATTAAAATAATTTCATAAAGCGGTAATTGCTCAAAAATATATTTACTACTTTTATTGTATTTTTTTTTATTATGAGTATATTTTAAAATAATGCTTTCATTTTTCAATTTTATTTTTTTTAATATCTAATGATCAAATACTGCGTTTAAAACAAATATAAATTTTAAAATATGAATGGCTATTTTAGCTAAACTTCACCTCAAAAGATATTGGAGAAATATTGAAATCACTTCTAACAGCAAGCCAAGTAGTAATTATAGTTTAAGTTAAGTTTATGTTTTAATCCTTGGATTTTATGATGTTCTTCAATGCTAGATTTTTACAAGTCGCATAGCACTCACAAATGTACATGGATGAAAATGATAGGAGAACAAGCCCCTCCAAAGAAGATCTAATATTAAATTTGGTGGCTGAACATTCAGTATTTCTCCAAGCTATCTATGATTATGTTTACTTTAGTTGTGCTTTATTTTAAGGTTACCTTTCATACACACAAATTTGACAAAGATATATGCTTTCATGCACAATCTCACATCACATGCTCAAAGGTAGTCTTTTGTTTTACAATGTCATCCAAGACAACCACAATACTCATATATAAATTACGTAATTAAGGTCCAAATTTCGGTGAAATAAACTTATGCAAAAGAAGTATTTGAATCTACCAAAAATAATTAAGTTGACATATGCTAATCTCAGAATAAAGGAAAATGTAGTGTATGTGTACTAGGTAGTGTGAGACAAATAACTTATACACTACTTGCACAAACAGTCCGTAAAAAATATAAAATATTTTTCAGAAGCTCCAACTGAAGATGAATGGGTCTATGAGAAGTAAGTAAAACCATTTTGACAGAAATAGAACAGTAGTCATTAGGGTATTTCAATGGATTATAGAATACTTAAGCATCATGAAACATATGAGCGGTTTCGAAGTATATCTCTATCATTTATAGACGGCGTATTTTAAAACAAGATCTCTCTCTCCTGTGAAAAAAGAACTAACACAATAGATTTTATATATTTTGAATCGGCGAACTACCATACAAAAGACGAGGCTCGAGACACAAGTCTCTTCACGCTGTCTAGTAATGGATCACATGAGATATGACTAGAAAACAATTTTATGCAATACAACTCATTTAGGATTTATATCTTGGAAAAAATAAGTGCCCAAAATCATGGACTAATCTTCTTTCGAGGGAGAAAGTGCTGTTTACACCATATTTTTACATAAACACAATATCACTTAACGTGCAATCACAACATTAATAAAAAAATCCTATTATCTTTGTCATTAGAAACCAGTTAGCACTACTCTCGCCTCTCTTAATGGATGAAACTACTTGGAACAGGTTCGTTTGTAGTTAGCGTTGATATGTGTGTAGTACACAAAACCTGTCTTTAATTAAAGACATGGTTGTGTGAATCAAAACTCATGGGCACATAAGTTTTGATGATAAAACTTTTTACGAATTTTCCTTAAGCTTGGGACATTCTGAGACAGGGTATCCTAGTGTTGATGTATCTCCGAAAAGTATTTCACGAGGAAATTGGAGGCCAGCATCAGAAACGATTCAGAGTTTCAAATGAACAAGAACAAATGGAGTCTTCATCAAAGCGAAGGTTTAGGGTCCACATATTCACGAGGGATCGACAGAGATCTTCAATCTAAAAGTAACAAGCACGGAGAGAATTGAAGCCCAAACTTGAATCAAGCCTACAATATATGATCATCGGATCAGGCCTGATCCGATGTCTTAAACCACAATAGTAGACAACATCGATGCTCAGATCATCAGCCCACGTGGAAGGCATGGTCTTGTATCAACCAGTGATCCAACTGTTGTGACTGAGCAGTAAATTTCAGTACAGTGGTATGCAACATACAGAAGTGATCAAACACTTCTGGCATCGGAGAAATATTTTATACGAATCTAAGCTATTTCAGCAGATGACCTGTGCGATGTATATATATTATACATCGCATCGCCTTGGATCGAAGGAAGTCGAACAAGGGCATAGGTAACTTGACGTCCAAGTTAAATCCACTTCCATTTTCGGTAGCATTCATTTGTCGAACCACAAGAGGAATGTACTTTTTTAGTGTTTGGATACAAATGTGCCAAACTTGACATTCCTCTTGGCAGGATGTCGAGAGAAAAAACGAACAGAACACGTCACTACAACACTCCGAGCTGCACATCAAATGTGCATGTATTTTGTTTGCAACCACTGTGATGACGATGCTTCTGCTTCAGCATATTCTGGAATGCTTGCCAATACCAAAATAACTGTGGACCGAAACCGACAGCCATTCGCCGTAAGAATCTTCGACGTCAGAGCTGTTGTGGGTCATACTCTTGCCACTGCCAGGTTTTGGTTTGCTCCTCATCTTCTTGTGAGGAGTAGTTCCTGGCTTGAGGAGGGGCGCAATCCTCGGGCCTCTATGAATCCAAGCGCACAGAATGTTCTTCTTCGCCATCTCATTCACTCTTCTGACCAGCTTCAAAATATCCTTCTTCGGTGCATCTTCGATCGGTTCCGGCAGTCTCACCTTTCTTAGAATTACACTTTCCTCGGACGACGACATTTTGGGCTTGTAATAGTGGTACTCTCTCCAGCCTTTGAATTTGCACACAGACACTGGTTCCCAGCAATTCGCTGTGAGAATAGGTTCCAGTTGCTGATGAGACCAGATCAGCCTCAGGGTCTCAAACGATAGTATGTACCGGTGACATCCGAAGTCTTCACTGCTGTACACTTTGTCTCTCGTATCCAAGCACGCCATCGTAACTATCAACGTCCTTTTGCCTCACTGCTGTGCCTCGTCTCACCACACCTCGAGTCTCTTTTCAAGAAAAGAGAACAGATTTGCCTTCCAAGATTTACAGAACACAGCTTCTTTGAGAATGAATGTTCTTAGACACGAGACAAAATTGGATACAGGAATGTGTATCTCACTCAGTGCTCGTCGACTTCTACTTTCCACCACCCCCGGAACCAACCAACTGACGAGGTCGATCTGTGATGAACTTCTCCGCCGTGCTGAGCTCTAAACTCAGTCGTGGTGATGGGTTCTCGACCTTAGTAGGTTCAACAAATCTGCAATAGACTCGAACGTGGGCATCAAACGATCAAATCCAGGGAGGCCCGGGTGACGTTGCATCGGAATGTTTTGTGCGACTCATTCCTCCATCGGGCATGGACATCGGTTCTCTAGTCAGTTGAAAAGTATCGGTTGAAAAACTCCATGTTCGACTGATCTCTTCCTTGAGAACGACATCCTCCGCGGCCCTGAATCGCTCGAACGGATCGTTTGGACGGAAAACAATTATTCAAATCTGCCCGAGCAAACGTTTGCTACAAATCTCTGTGAGCATTGGCTGAAGTATCGAAGGATAAGAACGACGGTCCTTCTCCGTGGCGCACTCGACTGACGATACTTGCGATTACGGGCTTCTCCTTGCGAGCTCATTGCGGAATGCGATTGCCGTGGATGCAGCTCGATCAGTCAACGGGAGGAATATTAGTCCGCGACTGTCTCAACTGCCATAACCAGCCGACGAATCGACGATCTCGGCATTGAACGGCGTTGTTTTCACTTCAAAGATCAACGACTCTCTCGACCAGCTGCACGCTGTTGCCCACTGTCAATTCGAGTATAGGCCTCCTTTTTGAATCAGTAGTTGGATCTGGGACTAATAAGAATGCAGTGAATGAACGATCTCACAAACATTCCACTGACACAATTATCTCTGAATGCCCTCGTCGCAGTCTATGGGGCTGAGTGTGAAAGCCGTTGTTGCAGTTCTGGCAGTGGAGAGTGAAGTCGTAGGCTGTGTGCCACGGATGGACGAACTAGCCGACGTGGACGTCTATGGTGAGATCGGATGTGCCAGCGTGGATGACTGAGCCCGATGTCAAGTCAGTACCGCGGTACCGGGTCCGGGTCCGGTCCTCGCATCCAGTTCGCATTAGCCCGTAACCTTTATGCAGCTCCCCCAACACTGAAGGGCCCGTCCTCACTCTCAGAGTTTTGGACCGATCGCAATTAGGACGTCGATGATTTCGGATAACGTACAGCTATGATTGAAAATCGCAGAAATCATCGCCGTCTATGATTTCGGAGCTCACTGACCGACCGCTTTTGCAGGTCTAAATCTTTCCCTGGTGATTTTGATCGCAGCCGACTGAACACTTCCCAGCATACAGGAGATCCACTAGCTGAATGGACAGCACCACTGGTCTTAGTCTTGTCTAACCATCCTCTACAACTCCAGCTGGAGCTGCAATGTACGAATGTACTACTTTTGTCGCAGGCTGCCACAATCGCAGTCTGAATTGCAGTTCCAGCTCTGATGCGTACGTGTCACCAAGGGCTTGCTCGGTTGAGTTGAGATTGCTAGGTGATAACAAATTAGCGAGCAACCAGTCTCGGCAGATCTGCAGGCTCGCATCCGAACAAACCTTTTTTCTCTTGGACCATTTCTCGTCCATGGACAGAAGCAGATCATTCATCGTCCTGTCCTACGAAGAAAGCAACAGGTATCGGTACTATATACTCAAATGTATAATATGATGAGGCTAGTCTAGTCAGTTTCCCGAACCCCCACCATCCAACCTTGAGGGATTCTGGATTCAAAGCTGGCAGTGGGAAGACTAGAGTTGCAGAAATTACTGATTCATATGCAGCCTTCCACTTATAGCAGGCACTGAAGGCTGCAGCTACTGGAAACCGTTCATGAGAGTACGTTTTAGCGGCAGAGAGGAGACCAGTACAGTCTGCTCTATGAAAGCGAAGGACCTTAAATGACTTCATGGTCAGACTTACGCATGCACTTCCTTTCGTTTTTTAGCATTATCCTTTCAAACTCGTGCCGGGCCACCTGGACTTTCTCTCAATGTTGAAGCCCTTTCCTGAAGCAAATTCAGACTTCAAAATTCAGACACCTGTTCTCGGACATCCTACTGAAATAGAAATGGCAAACCACCTGATCACTAACATTTAAGATGAAACCAAATCCGTGCTGCTGTCGTGTCAAAGCGCCCCAGCCCATGTATACGAGACCGTGAGTGAGAGCTCTGATCACCTCAATCCAGTTGCTCATTATGCTCGTCATGCACAATTTATCGTGCTTTATAGCACACGTTCAAATGGCGATGACATGGAGTCCATCGGCTTGGTCCACAACTCTGGGGAAGGGGTTTGCAAGTGCTCGTGTGTGCCGACACGTGATTCTTCCTGTTAGTAGGCTTGTGTCGCTGCTTTTTGTCTTGCCTCTTATTCAACTTCCGAGGATTTCTTTGGAGCTCGGGGATTCAAATGTTTAAAAAGTTGCAGATGACAGCGTGCAACTCTATGCCCGACGATCCCATTGACTTGCCTTGCTTCACACTCATCTACAAATGGGAAGGAATGTAAGTCAAAGGGGACCCTCACACGATCCGCATGCGTGTCACTTCAGTCATCAAGAGTTGAATGTGAATCTATGTGAATCTTAACAGACGACTTGTTAAAATAAGAGATTCCTATGTTCAAATTCATTTTGAAAGAAATTTCATTGTCTGTGCGAGTCAGCCTAAATCGAGGGGCTGCGGTCCGAAACTTATCTACTCGCAGCCTAACTGAACTCCAGGTGTGCACTCTAGTTTCAGATGGGAAGTACTGTGAAAGCATTTACCTACAGTGGCCACTCATTGGACGTAAGTATACACAGCGTTACCTGATCAACAATGATAAATCCGAACTCAATGACCCCGAGGTAAATGAAGGTATTCGAAATTATTTAGTAGCCTCCTTGTTGATTTAGAAAACAAAATCCTGATACGATACATCTACCTAATAGTATGGAACTGGATCTAGGGGTAAAGAAATTCATGCATCCGATTGAGATCAACCTCTGTTACTCTTCAGTCATGGGTTGTTCATTAACGATGCATCCCATCAACAACTCCTCCTTGACTGGCAGAAAAATATAACTTGAGATGGAAATGACATTAAATTTTAATTTCTGTTTTGAGATCCAAAAATTACTACGTTTTGAATTTGAGCCGGAAAAGGATTTTGATTTGAACTTTATATAAAACGAACAGAATATCGCGACATGGAGCCCAGTCATCGAGGCTACCTGCTATGGTACTGCGACGCTTTCAACTTTTGTTTGTAGGGCACACTTCGGGGGATTGCCAGGTGTCGAATATTTTTTAATATCAACGTAGACTTTCTTAACTGCGTTACGTCTTAGACGAGAACACTGGTCGCTTTCAACAGGGATCAGATATTAAGGGACTGGATTTTCAAATCTGAATCTGAATGCTTGCATCAGGTGATGACACCGACTAGTGCGACCTGTTCTGACGGCCTCTTATTCGGTTTCGGAATTCGTCTGCATACAACACGCTGCCTGGCAAAGTTTCTTGTAGTATGAAGATCTAACTTCTCTGTTTCCCTTCGTAATCATTTTGTCGACTTTCTGCAGATTAAGAACTTTAGATTCCAAGCGAATACACCTGAACATCTGACCTAGTTTCTGAAAAATGTTACATGAGGTCGGAGCTCGCTTTTCTTCGACTGCAAAAACCAGGCACGACCCGCATTTTTTAAACTTGATTATCCGCTTCAGTAATTAGATCAGGTGCCGCAGTTAAGATTGTTGCAACAGAGAAAGACCTACACGACCTACAGTAGAGTGGTTCTAAGCACGACCACCGTCAGCACGAGCGACTCAGCGTCAGTGTTTTATTCCTCGCCAAGTAGCTTCCCCTTCCCCACCTGCATTCACTTCGATTCGATCGAGTGTCAACTCCAGGACTAGTACTTAATACCTCTGTCTTGCTAGGTTAGCAGCGACCCAGCAACTGAATGAGAGGTTGTTGACATGGAACACAGTTGCAGCAGAGGCTATCGAGTATCACCATCACGATCACCGTTTCGTGACAACCACTCACTCATCAATGCTGAAGCGAGCCTTTCTCCTTCTAATGTTCGACCTCTGACCATTTGTCTGGTCATATGATGTCAACCTCAGAGGCTAGCGGACTACATTAGACCTTTCAATGTAGTAGTGTATTCAGTCGTCCATGATCCGTTCTGCAAGATGAGCGTGGCATGCCGTCACCTCTGCTTCTTGTATATGCAGTAAGTAGGCTTTGACACGACACGAATCGAACTTTGAGCATGCTGCTAGTGAAAGTTATCATTGACAGTCCAAGTGCTGACTTTGACGAAGCCTCAGTCCTGTGCAGTCAGTCAAATTCCTATCTGACATTATTTTAGTACGATCTCCAATTCAAGAGATTCTGCTGGTCGGTCGTGTTCTTCCGAGTCCATTTCGCCATGAAATTTCGAATTTGTGTTCGTTTGATTCTGTCGATCCAGCAAGAACTGCAAGCATTGAAGTTCGGTCGCTGTGTGTTCCAAATTCTGTGTCACTATCAAGTCTATCGAGATGATATCACCGGTACCGGATGACGAAAATCAACTGCCGGTGGAAAACATTCAGGCCTGACGTTTTTGCCGTTTGACGTCTTCTTTCCCTCTCCATCTATAGTTTCCAGGATCGTATGGTACGACAGTCGATCTCAGGTCAATCTCATAAGGTCAAACGGCATGGCTTGCGAACTGTAATTCCTCTTGCTGTTTTATAAATCTTCGCCCCTTTGAATGTCGGGCTGGAGGCTTTTAAAACCAGCTGAGCTCAGTTCCACATTTTCGTTTGGAGCGTTCGGGGGATGAACAAGATGAACGCAAGGTCTTCGACTTTCCTCGCTTCTCTGTTGGGATTCCGAAAGCTCGTTCATCTGACAAGCCTGTGCGTGCTTGGACATTTGACATTTGCGCCTGGCAGCGGGCTCCCTCGTCTTGGATGGCGATCTCCTGCATGGATATGCGGGGCAGTACCAGCCCAACTCGAAGATCATCCCGTTCAGTATCAGAGACCGACTCCCTGGAATCTGCCCATAGGCTCTTTGCACAATATGACCTCCAGAGCAAATCTCGAAAACCTCTCCGATTTTTACTGCCAGTAAAAGTACCTGAAGCCCGAGGGAGACTCGAGGTCGTAATAATATGTCAAATCTTGTGGCTTTTATGAGCGAGCTTTGAACTTCCTTTGAAGCAATCTGACCACATGGAGATCAGTTTGATATGACATAATTCCTTCGACTTGATTCAGCACGATCGGGAAGTGATGATTGTGTCTGCGAAAAGGATCATAGCAACCGATATTCAGAACATGAAGAATTAGCAATTTGTGATTTGTGTTGAGCTGGCATGCAGACTTCTCTAACACTTAAATCTCGTGCGGGCATATAGATATCTTTGCTCCACCATGAACATTCGGTTTGATGATGATCGTGATCTTTGAGAGGATATGCTCTGAAGTGCAGCTCGGATCAACAAAATCATCTCCACTTTTTCTTGTATCTGATTCGGAAGGAGGTCCTTTGGAGGAGGGCGAGTAACACATATTTTCAGCGATATGTTTATGTGTTGAGACATAACAATATACTATTACCACTTGTATATTATCACATAGGTCGAAAGGATGATGTTGAAGCTTCTAGTGATACCTTTACACGACAAAAATCATATTTCCAAGAGCAACTGGTGGGATGTCCGAGAAATACAATAAGAAGAAAATAGAAACTGTAAGGAAAATTTAAATTCTTCAAATGCATGTAAGGGATGAAATTATTAATACTGATGATGCCAAAAGGAAAAATTGAAATTTGAAGAATTTAATCTATATGTTTTCGAATACTTGTGAACATGTATTGAATATTAATTTTTTCGTTAAAAATTTGCAAAATTGGACGCTTACAAAGTATTTGTAAGAAGTATTATACAGGAAAAACGTTACCAAAAACTGAATTTATTATTATTATCTAATGAAAACTATAGATAAGATGAATAAACTCATAATTACCAATGAAATATAAACTAAAGAACAAAATCTCCTCATATTCTCATTTTCTAATATACGAATAAATAAGTTACACCTAAAATAGAAGATAATATGAAAACAGTGTATGAGAGAATCTGTTCACTTTAAACTAAGAAATAAACAAATAAAAAAAATTATTTTCAATCTAAGGACATTACATTATTGTAAATTAGTAATTGAGTTGTACAACACGGTAAAATAATTTTTGGTTTATTGTTCTCAAATATATGTTCTTGACACTTTCCCAAGGTTATTGTTCTTTAGCCGTTATATGAGTCTTCACTCAAACTGAAAAAGAGTTTTTAAAAAATCTCAAATGACGATTAAATAAGATTGCAATCAATCCAGATAATAATTATTTCTGAACCTTTGCTTTCTTACTGATGCCATTATTTATTTACCATTCTTTTCCACACAGCTACTAAGTATCACAAATTTTATCTCATCACATGAACCAATCTCGATTATTTAAGCATCAAATCATCATTCAGTAGCGTACTCTCTACAAAATTTAAATTCCATGTGAGTAAATTAGCCTTTTTATTCCTGGATAATACAGAGTCTCATGAATCACGTTAGGTGGTAAGTATCAGCCTTTATGGCTGTTCCTTAGCAATCATGCAGTGGCCTCTTAAGCCACATCAAGGCACTTTGCTCACATCCAGTTGGATCATAATACTCGTTTTATTGGATTTATCTTACACCTCCCATTTCTACTGTCTTTGGGTTGTTGTTGTGGCCTTTTCCTGCCGTGCTCACCATTTTTGTAGAACACTAAGTCTTCGGTGGGAAATCGGGCCCTCACATCACATCACATCACCTCACCACACCACAGCAATGCATTGCCTTGCCTTGCCTTGCCTTGCCTTGCCTGATGGGCCAAACAACAGACAACTCAACAAATCACAACTTCGTCGAGAGATCGAAACACCGAAAGAAGGGCCGGGAATTCCAGCAGACGAATGTCAGGCAAGAGGCTGTCACGAGCGAAGAACAGTCGAGGGCAGGTGCCGGTTTCCAAGGGGGACAAAGTCAGAGGATGATATATATCGGGTTTGACGACTAAGGTCGTCTCCGGATAATGAATGGCACGGTCTCGAGCCTTGTCCGTTGGACCAAGGAAACGCTTCCGGAGCAATCAGGAACGGGCACGTGTCGGCCGCGGAAGGCCCATATCCGAACCCAAACCCTCCGAGATATGCACGAGAGGACCAGCACTACGAGCCACAAGTAGGCAGATCATGGCGTACCGCCACGTAAGCTCCTCGCGATTCAGGGCCTCCGCGAGCGCCACGTGGCTGCCACGGCGGCTTCTTCGCCGAGCGCCTTGATCTTTCGATTCCTCGTCCTCCTTTTGCGACGGCGATGAAGTTGTCCGAGGGGGCGGGGACGAGTTACCGCCCGAGGACGAGGAGGACAAGGAGGACGAGGAGGAGGGGGAGGAGGAGAACATGGCAGGGAGCTTAGAGGCCGGGGCAGGCAAGTCAGCGAAGGGAGGATCGGCCTCGCTGACTCGCCGGTGGATGGATAGTCGAGGAGGTCACATACAAATCTAGTGGTCGGACTGATTCGCCTCGGAGATGAGAGGACCCCGCACAAGAGCGCCTCGAGCCATCGCCATCGCCCGAGCGCACGCAATCGAGACGAGGTGGGGGCCACGAGGTCGACCGTGAATCGATCGATCGCTCGGTGGGTTCCATGGCCCCACACTCTCGCAATATTTCATCGGATCTCATGGGCGCCAGACCTCAATCCGTATCCGTTCTCCCGTCGCTGTCCCTCTGCCTGTGCCTGTCCCGTATCAAGCCCAGACATCCATCATCGCGCATCGTTTCATTCCCCGGACCCCATAGCAATTCGTCTACTGGGCACGAGGTGGAGGTGGTTGCCGAGTGTGCGAGGGTAGGTGGTTTCCATGGGCGCTTTGCTACACGTGAACTAGAAGCAGATCCAGCGGGCGGGCGGGTAGATAGATAGATAGATTAGATAGAGGCCGAGGAAGTGATCGAGGCCTTTTCTATTCCGGGTGGATTGCGGATTTGGAGTATCGATAGCACGTTCGGGATTCGCTGAGCTCCCGGTTATCTCCCAGCTACTACTTCGGCGGTAGGAATCTTCCTGTCGCGAATGTGCTCCTGGATGAGTGCACCGGTATGTGTTCGGTGTACGGCACCTCCCTTCGCTTGCTGATCTTGTCGTGCTCCCCGCTGCATTCGGTTGTTTGTTTCGATTGCTTGATTGATCTCGTAAGCGCTGCCCCTCGATGCTTCAAGGAGTGGTCTGACTCTCGCTCGTACTTTCGTTTGGACCCAAGACGCAGGATGGGGATGGGGGTGGCATTCCATCGAGTCTTTGTGTTGCTTACATGCGTGACTTGTGTTGATCATCCATCAGGTTTGGTGAGGAAGATAAGAGCTCAACATTGGCAGAATTTTCCTGGAAGAGGGTGAGTTAGTTCGGCTGGGAAGAGAGTAGTCGCAGGAAATTTTGTTGCTGGCAAACTCTTGCAGGGCCTCAAGGCGATCTTTGGTGCTGTGGAGCACAGGAGGAGCACGGGTTTAATATTTCCAATTGTGTGCTTCGAGTGTGGGAATTTCTCGCTTAGGTGAATGGAAGCATGCACTCTGCGAATGGCGACTCTTCTCCCGAAAGTAAATGGTGGGTCCGGTTTTCTGGCCGGGGACGGGTCGTCGTCTAGACTGATGCTGCATGTGCAAGAGCAAGTGCGTTCGATTTCGGGAGATGCGAAGCTTGTGAATTCAGTCCGTGCTCAGAGTCTCCCACCCCAAAGTAGGCCTTCCGCCGGTGCAGCTGCAACGATTCTTCGTGAGGCAGTGCGGGAGACAATTGTCAAGTCAATTAGTCCCAAGCCGACGCAACCAGCCAGGGAGCTCACCAATTTTCAGGGTCAGCTGGTACTCATGCGTCATGGTAAGTTCCATTTGTTTGTCACAGTAAAATCTAACTACCAGTGATTCAAAATTAAGTTTTTTTCCTCCTCTCAGATTTTTGTTTTCCTCTCGTTTTTCTCTGTTAACCATCTTAAGAACTAGATTAGAGATATCAAATATGCCTTAGTGTTTTATCGAATAACACAAGTCAGGTTTCAAATGTGTTGTTTCGGTGGTGCTCTTACGATAGAAAACTGTTGGAGGACTGTAATTGATGGAGTTGGGAACACTAGTTTCAGTCGGTGATGCAGCAATGGCCTTGAATATCCATGTTCTCGAAAGTTCCTCTCAGTGTTCAAAATTTTGCTTGACCAACTTGTGATGTGCGTCCAAATGTTGATCCGACTCTGAGTTTCATACAGTTCACATGCTGGTGGTGCAGGAGAGAGCATGTGGAACGACCTCAAACTCTTTACTGGGTATGCCGAGCTTGATTATCAACTGAATTTTTTCGGCATCTTCTGTTCTTCCGATTCAGTTGCAATTCTCTAAAGTTGTCATACGTGTGACCAATATCAGTCGGAGACCCAGGAGTTGAATGTATGTCTGTTATAATGACATATCTTGGCGATGAACCACAGGGATGTTGACATTCCTTTGACGGAGAAGGGGATAATGGAGGCACTGGCAGGTGGAAAGGCCGTCAGTGAAATCGATTTCGATATCATATTCACAAGTCGTCTCGGTCGTGCTAAACAAACGGCCCTGATAGCAATGACTCAGGTAAGGAGATACATTTGCTTCGATTACCATGGCTTTTTCTTATTTCTCATTTATCTTGTCCTTTCTGTCTAATGAACACATCATCGTCGTTTACCTCCTAGTCTGGTCTATCGAAATATAAGATTGCCAGTGCATTTTGCCGAACTGCATTTTTTGCAATCGTCTTGTTTTGGTCACTAGCGTTCATAAATAGCACGGTAATCGAAAATTCCTCCTTGATTGAATTCTGGGAGGACTTCTGAACGGCTTTTTAATAGCCTTCATTCACGAACTCCGTCATCGAAACACCGAAATACCTCGTTGAAACATATCCAATGGTCCAGATTATATGAGTCATTCTGATTACTGATGTAAGAACCGTCGTAGATATTCCTCTTTTCGACAAACATCCTGATTGAGCTGGTTGCCAGCATGGTTCCCAAAAATGTACTGAAATGCGAGGATCAGTTCCATATTTCCCTATTGCAAGTTCTCAATGAGTTTTAACTGTTGTTCGTTCATTAGTTCCTAGTTTCGGTAGTATTCTCACCGCAGACGAGTGAACGCAAAGGCAGTACTTCATAAGGTTATGTCCTGTGGGATGCTCAGCTCTTCGAAGACAAAGGGTATGTTGAGACAACGTACCCTGTAAACAAGAGCGGGAACTGAAGAACAAATGTATGGACGGTCGAAAGAAGGGGAGTCCTAAGAACCACCAGTAAGTGTTTGACGACATGATAATTGTCCTGGACCATACTAGCCTCTTTAGTTCAGCACGAAGATAACAATTGAAGTGACACTCTGAGCTTACTAAAATTAACATCTATCAGATCCCCGATCGAGACTATCAGGGTGGATCATATTTTGAGTAGACACTCTCTTCGAAGATCATAAAATGACCAGTGGTAAGCCGAATCGGATCTGACTCGCACCAAATAATTTTACTTCTCTGGCGAAAAGCGCTATTTGTTGTTGAACCGCTTATTCTGACTAGCTTTCCAACCTGTAGTGCCTGTACAAACCTTCTACTCAATCCTTTATAGGTGCTGGCACATAAAGCTAAAACAGGGTTGAGCCGGACCTGCTTCCACTAGTATATTTGGTTTATGATTATAGAGAATCAATCTTGCGGTATTCTGAGAAGGTTTCTGGCATTCATATCTGCTTGAGAATTCCCTCAAGTGTCGTCCAGCCCGGCAATTCGAAGGCATGTTCAAGGACTCTCGTACAGTCACTGAAAGTCAAATGGATTACAAGATATATGGTGATCATCAACCTTTCTACGTGAGTTTCTCAGGCCACTAATTTGTGCGATTGTTATGGATTCAGAACGCGTACAAGCGGGTGCCAGTGCTAGTTCGAGGCGGTTATTACGGGAAGGGCAAAACAGGGGATGACAACCGTCTAAGATTACGTGATGCTGCTGCAAATGCGTTAGAACATGCTTCATGCAAGATGGTTCCAGTGTATGCAGATCCAGCGCTAAATGAACGCTGCTACGGTGATCTGCAGGTACGTACATCGAATGATTAACATTTCTGTTTTGAGACTACGTTGTGGTCAGGTGTTTACTTTAACTTCGGATTTGAGGATCTAAGAAGCACATTTGACACAGGGCTTGAGCAAGGAGGCAGCTGTTAAAGAATTCGGCGAGGACACTGTGAGGAAGTGGCGAAGAAGTCATGACACCAGACCACCCAATGGAGAAAGCTTGCAGGTAAATTTGAGTGACTATGTCTATTGACCATTTCGACACAATGTGATCGCCTTCCACGTACAAATTGTCCTGCAAGCTAGAAATTGTCGGAGTACCTTCAAACCCCGTTTACAGAATTTACCGCTCATGGTTGGAACTCGTTTGTAGCTCTCGTGAGATTCTCACCCACTGTAGTACTCGCCTTGACACTCCGCGAGGCCTGTATTTCTAGATCATGTTCACCATTATAGATCGCTAAACCAGTTCTCGCACAGTAGTGAGTGGTGGAGTCTGAGGCACCATGTACGGATCGATCAGCAATAATATTGATGAAACCAAGTCTCGTCTACGACACTTGTAGGCTGTGCTTGTATGTGAAACTCTAATGAGCTGAATGGCCCTAGGAGGCATCTGTTGAGTGATAGGCGTCGGCTCGTTTATTCCCTATGACATCTACCGACAATCAGACAATCTTATAAACTGGGTGTTCATATATCTCTGATTCTCAACATAAAATGATACTCTTGATATCAGTAGTATTTATTAGGAAACGAAGCCCTGCTTGCTTGCAGTGGTTCCATGCACAGCATAAACTCGGATGTCACCTTTTGTACTGTGTCCTGAACTGAACTTAAACTTGCCACATCGAATCACGCCTGAGATGCAACTTTTCTGTGTCTTGCAGGATACGTTCATTAGATCAGTTCACTTCTTTCAGCAAACGATAGAGCCGCGACTGAAGGAAGGGCGAAATGTACTAGTTGTCGCTCACGGCAACGTCTTGAGATGCATCATTTCGTACCTTTCTGGTCTCTCTGATGAGGAGATGCTTCGACTTCAGGTAAGACATGTGTGCTTTCTGCATCGTTGAAAAAGTAATATTTGTTCGTTATTGAGGATGACATATCGCAGATTGACAGTCATCGTATCTGTGTTGAAAAATCTAGGCTGTTGCAACTGTTATCACAGTTTAGCCTGATGAAGATGATGATTATGCAGGTAGTTACAGCTTTGCCTTACGCCTACACATACGACGGAAACTCGTTCGCAGAGTGTTGTGTCATGCCTCCCAATGATCCGAATACAAACCATCCCAAGAAAGGTGTACCTCTGGGAATTTCATCTGTGCTAAAGAAGGGTGAGATCGACTCCCTGATATGACAGCCATCTTCATCTGAGTGCACAATCTTTATTATTCCACAGAACAGCTGGCAACTGTGAATAGCTCTGAGCCTTTTCATGTGGGACTGACGATACGAGAAGAGTTTAATGTAAATGTATCCGTAGATGCCAGCTTCTCCCAAATCTAGTGTAAGTTTGACTCCTTCGGAAAATCGGGAGATGTAACAGGACAAATGTACATATGATGGTAACAATTGCCGGAGTAAATGAAAAGCGTAATCTACTCAACCACCAACGGTGTAAGACGTCCTCCTCCACGACAAGTGAAGGAAAAAGGGCGAAACAAGAGCCTTGTTGCATTTATCGAACAATTACAACATGGTTATCTTCTTTACCCCATTACCCTTTTAGTGGCTTTAACCAAGTTTCACCTCCAAATTTCGATCCACACCAAAGTTCTCTCGACAAAACCGAAATGCTACACCATAAATTCCTATTTTCAGCCAACTTAAACCCAGTTTCGAATGGAGACGAAGGATCATTCAGCTAATCGAACTATTTGAACGTATGACATACCGTGAGCCCTGTCACAGAAGTAACACAAAAGTAGCCACGCGTGCAGTGGAGCAATGGCTAACATCCAACATGATACATCACCATATCGAATATCATATGGTCCAATGCTCGCTGCACGTGCAGCAAACTTTGGAGCCTATGATGTTAGAAAAAGGTCAACAAGCACATCGATAGAAGAAACAAACTATGGATCAAATCATGAGATGGGGAAGATACACGTTTGTCTGTAAAACTTACATGTCCAGAAGAGAAACCTCAATTCATGATATTAAAAAATTACTCACAATATATAGCAGGGCGCCTAGACCGTAGGGACGAAATATCACTTTTTACTCCACGAAAATTTTGGTCAAAACTTTGGAAATGTGGAGTGTGAAAATTGATTTAAAAAGAACGGAGTCTAGACCCAACAGAATTCATTAGATGGTTATAGATATTTCAAACTATTACCTTTATAAATTTCTTCACCACGTTGCTTAGAGATTCATACGACTTGAAAGGCGGAAGGTGCTAACTATCCACTAACGATCCAAGTCAACCAAAATTGCGGTTTGTGTGCTCTATTCGAAAGTAAATTAGAGACATATTTGGACAGCACGCTATTTTCACTTAAATCCTCTATGTCGTCCAAAAATTCAATACTCTTTTTGAGCAACATTTTGCATTCAGAAAAAAGAAGAATCTTATTTTACCATGATCAAAATTAGCATAATATTGATTGATAATTCAACATAATTCAAGGAATAGTTCTAATCATTTCAACTAGAATTTTTTTTTAATGTTCGATCGTATGAAGAAAATCCATAATGCATCTTCGTCAACATCTGGTCCTCTTTAATTGCTTCATCATATTATGCTTATAAAGCAATGAAATGAATGCATAACAGTGTATAATACTGATCATGAAGCTTTACTGCAAACTGCTGCACATGACTTATGCGAAAAAGGCAAATTGCGTTACTCTTGGATATTGAAGAGCAATAGTACCATAAGTATAGGCCATACTGTCTTGACTCGGTCGCCTCTTGCTGTCATGCTGCAGCAAAGGGAGTGTATTTTCACCAGAACCTGGCATCTGAGTTTTATCTACAGCTGGTTTCTTTCACAACTCCTTCCACTCGAGCCGTCAACATTCTTCTATTGACACCTCTGCAATCGAGAACCAAGAAATACAGCCAAAAGGATGAGGGCTGCAATGAGGTCAACCTCCAGGGGTTCTTGCACGTGAGAAGCTGATGGAGAAACTGGCTTCGACCCTTTCGAAGAATGAAGGTGGCAAAGTCAGTTTCGAGAAGCTCGTGTTGAAGAAGATGGAGGGGGCCTTGGTGCGTTGCGCTGCCCCCTGCAAGGCGTACATGCAGACTGAACGAGTCTGATTGTTAAGGCTTTTGAAGAGGGGACTCGACGCTAGAGGCGCAAGGGTTGCGAAACAACTCGTCCGCTGAGATCATCGTCGAGAAGGATTTGACATGCAATCATATATCGTATCTGCCAAGGGAGTACACTGAGACGAAGAGAAAATGCATATTGCTGCTGTGATGAATCATAAAAGTCCAGGCCTGCAGTTTCATGTTGATGGAAATTGACAAAGAATTTCACATTCGTCGAACACATGTGCCACCTGAAGCATGCAGTTCAGAGAGTTGAAACCAGCAGTCATAGGCAGATCGAAGCACGGAACAAACTCTCTACTGTCTACGACTGGCTTGTCACAGACGAGCAAGCCTGCTGTCAGACTGAGGCTTGCTGCAGGTTTTCCATTTGAAAGCCATGTTCTGAGGGTGAGATCATCTTCACTGGATCATACATACACTAGATTGTGACACTCGTAGGCGCTTTATCGATCGTGCGTGGCCTATATGAAATGGGCTCCAAACTTTCGAACGTTGCCTTGAGGCTTTGGAACTGCGGATCCTCCACCATATGGTTTTGAAGGTTGCACTTGCTGGTTGGTTGGCTGGCTGTCTAAAACCTCTAATACATAGTTTACAAACTTAAGAGTTGAGTCTTAAGACTGGACGGCTGTTGAAGTAAGCGAAATATATTCTTCCACATATGAGATGGTAATGAAGGCACTCTTCAACAGTTGCAGTAAACAGCAAGGTGTGTTCATCACAATGTCATGTGTTGTTCAAGATTTGCTGGGATGAATAAACGCGACCATTCGAATTCACCATCTGTGATCGTCATCGACGATGAGTCTGTCAGAGTCGAGTGCGAAGGAGTGTGAGGAGAGTCCTTCTGACATCTCTCGCGCTGGACCGGAAGCTAAAGTAGTAGCTTCTGTTTTCGTTGCGATGGAACACCGAGGTTCAACCCAACAGTAAAGATCGTCGGCAGCGGGAGCTGATCCTGACCTTGAAAAATGACTGACCCGGAAATTGTCCCATGGAATAGTAGTCCTAGGTGCCATGACCCATCAGGGATGAAATATTCCCAGATTCATCCGTTGGGGAAAATGGGAGCCACTACATATTTGGCTGTAAACTCTGAATGCCCTGAAGGTCTCATGAGCTCACGAGGTCTCTGCGCGTGGATTTAGATGCCTGGATCAGAGTCCACATTCTCCACGTGGAGCTAACTTCGCAGCAGCAGCAGGAGAATTGTAGTCTCTTCCCCGTCACACATAAGCTCATGATTTTTTTTAAAAAAGCTTCGGATTTGCAATGTAATTCCAGATTGGCTCCCTGAGAGGATTGTGGGAAGTGACCTGCTGAATGAAATGCTGCAATAAGGACCACCGAGTTTGCTGAAAGACCAGCACGCTCCACGAGATCGTGTTTGCCAAGCTGAAGCGAATCGATCCCAGCGGAAGTCGAGAAAAAAAATGCAGGGAAAGCGCAGTGGAATTTTTAAAGTAGTTTCCAATGACAAATTAAGGCCTCGGTGTCCACCTTAGAGGTCTAGTACAGATGAGCCGGAAGAAGTCATTTCCCGATCTGCGGAGTGAATCACTGCATCCATGGCAAATGTCGTGTCAGTTCCAGAATAGCAAGGATCGCCACGGACCTGGACGCGAGTGAAACATGTAAGACCTTCCGAGGACGAGGAAGAGGCGGAGGCAAAGCTTTATAACCTCGGGAGAAAAGCCGATCTCATCACCAAGCTATCATCAGTTGCAGCAGAAGCCGAAGCTGCAAGGGCGGACAGCCTTCTCGCAGCTTCTGCAGCTTCTTCCTGTCAGCTCGAAACGTTCGAGACTTTCGACCTCTCAAACGCAGCATTGTGGGGCACGAAGTCTCTGAACATCCAATCGGATTTGATTTGTTTGCTTGTTGTCAAAAAATTATTTTCAGTCGACTGTGACTCCTTCGTTTCTGACTATGGCTGCTTACAAACACGAGAGGGCCACCGGCCCGGCCACAGTTCTAGCTATCGGGAGAGCCACTCCTCCAACAGCGTACCCGCAGAGCGAGTATCCGGATTTCTTCTTCAACATCACCAACAGCAACGAGAAAACTGCTCTGAAAGCCAAATTCGCCCGCATTTGTGAGTTCTCCTCCATCTCTGTCCATGCCATGATTCCGTCTGAAATTGTGTCACCAGCTCGGGACTGACTGACGGACGCTCTGACTGACGGGGGAACCGGAAACGTGCAGGCCAGAATTCCGGCATCAAGCAGCGGTACTTCCATTGCACGGAGGAGATCCTGAAGGCGAATCCGGCGATGTGCACCTACAAGGACGCGTCGCTGGACGTCCGGCAGGACATCGCCATCCGGGAGGTGCCGAGGCTGGCGGAGAAGGCGGCCGTCCGGGCGCTGGAGGAGTGGGGGCGGCCCAGGAGCGAGATCAGCCACGTCGTCTTCGCCACCACCAGCGGCGTCAACATGCCCGGGGCCGACCTCACGCTTACGCGGTTGCTGGGCCTGAACCCGAGCGTGAACCGCACCATGCTCTACCAACAGGGTTGCTTCGGGGGAGCCACGGTGCTCCGGGTGGCCAAGGACCTGGCCGAGAACAACAAGGGCGCGCGCGTGCTCGCCGTGGTCAGCGAGCTCACGTGCGTCACCTTTCGCGCGCCCAGCGAGGAGCACCTCGACAACCTCGTCGGCTCGGCCATCTTCGGCGACGGCGCCGCCGCGCTCATCGTCGGGTCCGACCCGGCGCCGAAGGTGGAGATCCCGCAGTTCGAGATCCACTGGTCCGGCGAGACCATCCTGCCGGAGAGCGACGGCGCCATCGAGGGCCGCCTGACGGAGGCCGGGCTGATGTTCCACCTGCTGAAGGACGTGCCCGGGCTCATCTCCCGCAACACGCTGCCCATCTTCGAGCGGGCCGCGGCCGTCGCGGGGTCGCCCGGGTGGAACGAGCTGTTCTGGTGCGTGCACCCGGGTGGCCGCGCCATCCTGGACGAGGTCGAGAAGGCGCTGCGCCTCAAGCCGGAAAAGCTTCAGGCCACTCGCGAGGTGCTCCACGACTTCGGCAACATGTCCGGCGCCAGCGTGCTATTCGTGCTCGACCAGATGCGCCGGCTCTCTTCTGCCGCGACCGCCGCCACGTCCGGCGAGGGCCACGACTGGGGCCTCGTGGTCGCCTTCGGGCCCGGCCTGACTGTCGAAGTGTCCGTCCTCAAGGCCGTCCCCGCGAGCTCCGCTTGATCCATTCCGCCGACTTCATTTACGTACAGTTCCGTCTGCACGGGCATAGTCAGAACCAAAACCGCCGCGAGCGTAGTCGTATTCCACATACCTTCAATTCTTCTGTGAAAAATATCTCTAGAGATGCTAGAGGAGTTCGTTAGCTACAAATTACGTGAATGAATTCATAAATCCTGTGGGTATAAGAAGATATCACATTGATCTCGTGGAGACAGGAAGGAAGCGTAGAGTAGTCACTTCATTTGTAGAAATCATTCGGAACTGAGCCATTATTTCTTGAACCCTCAAGGTCCTCAAGAGTAGGATGCACTTGCTAGATTTGGGGAAAAAAATTGCACATATATTTTTTAAGTTGTTATGAAAAAATTTATGAGCCAAAAATTAAACATCCATATTTTCGTATTTTTCTTCCCGGTTGTAACTGGCACTTATATCACCTTCCTTTTCCAGGATTTTGGGAAGCTCCAGTTTGGGCTATTTGCACGGAAACTGCCCCTGGGCAGAATGCTTGCAACGAGTACAATGGTGATCAAGGGTTTCAACTAACACTTGAAATTTTCCCCGGACCATGAACGGTGATATATGGTTGCACATGGGAAACCAAGTTTAAGGTCTCCACAAATCCCATATCATATGTTGAAAGTTCAAAAAATCAGGTTCATTCTCAAGTGTAATATCAAAAGTTGAATCAAGGGTAGTGGTTGTTGATGAGCCCTTCTTCTCCAATCACATAGGAAATAAGCTCTTCCAACCAGCCTTTCAACCATGATTAATTTTTCACATTCTTCCACGACAATGGAGTTCCCTAATACACTTAACATTAAAGATAATCTAGATACATTATTTTGTTGGAAGAGTACGGTTGGTCTTAGTTACTAAGCGGTCTGCGTAGTAATCAAGTGAATATGTACATAATATTTTGTAATCTCTTATTTAGTTACTTCCACGATCGACTCCAGTAGATGACTCCATGACAGTTTTTAAGATCACATCTCTTTGCGAACATTATTTCAAATGGAGAAGTCCTCTCATACAACAAAAGTCAGAAACATTTATCATATTGTTGGTTTATTTCCATGATCGAAGTATTCACTTTTGGTGAACCCTTGATCCATTATTTATGCGGTTCATGAAATAAGCTCCATATTGATATCTGGAACCATCTCGAAAGGTCTATGCATCTACCATCGAGGTTTCAAATTGCAAATATAATATCGTTTGTTATTATTGTACTTGACATTTGCAATATGATGTTCAGGGTTTAGGGTTGCAAGATGAATATTGATCGACCTATGAAGATATTTTAATCTTTGGAAAACGCAAAATTTTAAATCGGATCTACAGTACTATATTGTTCCCTTTCATAACATCCCATAGCCCTTGTCTTAGCTCCAGACTTGTATCCAATCTTGACAAGCAAGGTACATGTAATATTATATACTGCTCACGTAATAAAGCACATGGTAGTTGCCACGCTCGAAATCCTAGTTACCTAATCAAACTCCATCTTCCATCATGTTGTTTTGATGTCATAGTTTTAGAAAAAACTTTATACCAGAGAGTAGTTTAAATATTTTCTCCATGTAAAGAACTCAATCATCTGAATTATCATCCTCATTATGACTCTATTTAGACGGTATGACAATCAAATAATGATTGAAGCGAACAATCATTCTTCTAGAACCTCAATAACATGCTCAACCTTCACTCTTAATAAGAGATCAAATCGGCTTAGCTTAAAACAAATATCATATAAGATTTTTCCCTACTCGACTTGTTACAAAACGCCATGATTTATCACACATTGACGTGAAGTTATTGGGAGTTAATTCGAATCTTTGTTAAGTTTAGTTAGTTAGACTAGTCAGCTTGCTACTATATAAGGGAGCTGGTCGTAGCTTTAAGGACTACGTGAGAAGTTGGATGGTCAATATTGTAGCGCTGGTCTCATATACATCAAACAAACTTATGTTGGGTGTTGAATCAGCATTGAAGACTGCGGCACCCGTGTTAAGGGTAATCAGCTTTTATCATACCCGCGTTGATGAGAGGACCAATTATATGTGTCCATTCTGACCAAGCAATCATTCACTTTCACAATGTATGGATTCAATCCCTAGAGTTTTACAAATTTGTTTGTATTGAATGGATTATCGATTGTGATTGATAAAGTCTATTATATGAATCTTGATGATTTCATATGAATGAAATAAATAATTGTGTGATCAAATGACACTGAAACATATGATTAGAATAAAACGGGCATCATGAAGGCTATGATAACTAGTTATGATATTGTTAAATACAATGAACTCAATAACTATCTACTATGCAAGTAGCTATTCAAAATCAAACTGAAGATTTATGGATATATGTAACATGTTGAAATCTAAACTTTCCATTTTCAATGACAGAAATTAGTATACTTTTCAGTAGCAAGCTTTTAAACCTGATCATATTACATCTTATATTTTGATTTTTCAAAAAATAAATAAATATACCAATAAAAGTTTGCAATGTGAGTCATTTGAGCAAAGTATTCATTTCAAAATTATTAAAGAGGTTTTACATCTTGTGGAAGTTGATGATTTTTAAGTTGAAAAAGTATGATATAAATATTTAATATTGTTATATTTGAAAAAAATTGATTTTGAGTCTTTATAATTTCCAAGACAAAATCAATAATGAAAATAATATTCTTTTTTAAAGCTCAATTAATGTATTGTATAACTTATTTTTAAAAATGTTGCTTCAATTTTGTAAGAATACAATCATTTAAAATGAAATAATAAATTTTTTGTTGACCTATGTGCAGGCATGGTTGGATTAGGCGACCGTATGTATGGTAGGTTAAATTACTTAAACTATTTGGTGTTTAGGCCCTAAATTAAGGTGAGTTTGATTTGGCGCCTACATATTGTAATCAATGGGGAGATGACACCTATGCAAAATTAACAGATTTTTTAATTTAATTTAATTATTTTTCCCAAATTAATGTAATTTTATTAAAAAGAAAATTTTTATTAGACTAGATTAGGCTAAATTAAATTTTTAGAAGTTAGATTGGCTTAAATTAACTTTTAAATAGACTAAATTAGCCTAAATTAACTCTTTAAAGAGACTAAATTAGCCTAAATTAATGTTTTTGAGGAAACTAAATTAATTTTTTTGAGTAGACTACATTAACTGTATTTACTTAATTTAGGCAAGTGACTATTAAAACCATGTTTGCCTATGTGTGATCAAGTTTTGAAGAATTTTGTTTTAATTTTATAAATACAATCATTTGAAGTGAAATAATGAATTTTGTGTTGATCTATGTGTGACAAGGGTGCTGATATAACATTAGGGTTTAAAGAAAAGTTCAATCGAAACGAAAACACAAATTTTGAAGATGAATGATGCTAACAATGGTTTTACTTTCATTTATGTAGATGTTATCAACTAGTACAAGAAGATAAATCCATTCATAATGGATTGGATGGTTAGGATGAGATGACGAATATATCTAATGAGCACACGGTTTGCTGACGTGTCTTTCTCAACTAACACACTAACCAACACGCTTGATCTTTACATAACAAGCACATTGTAGATCCCAACTAAGATATTCCACTAGCACACAAATTGTTCACATGACATTGTAGATCTTCCATTATCATCGATTGTATTAAATCTTGAATAAATTTTACTTTAATTTTAATTAATTAAAGATGGTTACAACTAAAATTTAATCGAATTTATTTTTTGATAATTCATAACTTCATAAAAGCAAATTTTTTTACTTGCATTCAATATACAATCAATCATTTGGACAATTTTTTACTTGATTATTCAATGGCAAGAAGCATCATATTTTAATAAATTTAATAAATTATTTTTTTTCATAAATGAAATAAAAAAATTCCAAATTTTTATGACAATATATCTTTTACGCCTCTTTCTATAATTTATAATTTTTTAATTAAAATTACATATTTTAAATATTTAAAATTATATATATTAATAATTTTTATATAAAATTTTATTACAAAATTTTATTGGTCTAGCATGACAGATTAAAATACTTGTTGTGTTTGTGTTGAGATTGCATCATTATGAATGATAATTCATTAAATATATTTTAACATTCCTAGCTTTTCATTAAATAGAAATGAAGAGTAAGTTAAAAATTTTATTCATTTAAAAATTAATTTTTTTTCCATAATAAAAAAATTGTAACAATTTATTATATTTTTCCATCAATTGAATATTATCAAATTGCAAATTTCAATGATTTGAGATTTAATTTTGAAAGAGCAAATCGAGTCATTTGTCAAGATTTTAGAATGTAATCTAGCTTGATAGCTAAACTTAGTCATGATCAGGATAATATTGAACAAATATTATCATAGAAACTTGGATATTTTGAATTATTTTTATCATTTTATAGATTATGATGTTAATTTTAAATTTTTAATATGCTTTATATGATATATAATTGATTTTCATTTACTGATGATTATATTCATGAGAGCATTATAATTGAAATTATATAGAACTTAAATATAGATTTCATAATTGGTATAAAATTCAAAAATTATATATGTTTTTTGTTAGAAATATGATAAAATTATTTATTTCAAAAAAATATTTTTCAAAATTTTTTTATTTTGAAATAAATATTGTTAAATGTGATTCAACCGTTTGAAAATAAAATCATAATTTGCTTAACAATAAGCTATAAAGTTAAAGTTAAGTACTTTGCAACTTATCAAATGACATTGATGATATATAAATTGTAGATTTATTGTAATAAATATAATATATAGTTTTTTTAATACAATTTTAATATCAAGTGATTTTATTTATATGATAAATAATCAACCTTGTAACATTTAATATATTTATCTTTCATGAGGGACTTAATTCAAAATTATTTAATGAAAATTTCTTTAAAATTTAACTTGATATGAAAAACATAATAAATTTATTATGCGACTACATAGATAGAATTTTTTCAATAAATATTAAAATTCAATATCATTGATCTTGCTATCGCCTCTACTACTCCATCGTGATAGGAAGATAATCATTTACAATGAGATTGTAAGTACTCTTTTGACAGATCATCTTTAGCCGAAGATAATGTTATCATCCAGTGTCCATCCACTTCTTCCTAGACGGCATTAAACGTGATTCGAGGTTGGTCATGTTCGTAAAACGACAAGGATGAGAAACGTGTTAGATTGAAAGGAAGATCCAAGTCCATGGTTAAGGTTCATGAGAAGAAGATAGTAGTGTGTTGGCGATGTAACAAGAGTGACCACGTCAAAAAAGATTGCCAGGTGAAGAAGATCAAAGACGTGAATACCTCTTCATTGGCAAATGTGACGGAACATTTTGATCCCAAGAAGTATGAATTGCTGGAGTATGATTTATGATGTTAAAGATATGGCCTATACAATTTATCAAAATTTGTTGATGACATATGGATTATTTATAATGCTTGTTTTTATTACATATGTCGCATAACAGAGTTTTTTTGTACTTTCTCAGATCAAATAGATAAATTCTTATGAGCAATGATCAACCTTTAGGATTAAAGGTGTTGGATTTTTATAGATCCAACATCTTGTTTTTCCATGTTTGATGGAATCAAACATACACTAATTTCTGACATGAGAAAGAAGTTAATACACTCTTGCTAAGTTAGGCTTACAAGGCATAGAGTGGAGCTCTAAAAAAAGGCGTGTTAGACGTTAGATCACATGATAAGATTATCCTTTGGGTACACAAGCACAATGATCTGCACATGCTAAATGAAATTACCATCTATGAGGAAGTTCATTTTACTAGATCTTAAGTTGAGATGTCTCATGTATGACATTCTAGGCTAGGACACATGAGTGATAGGTACATGTCGCTCATTGACAAGAAAAAATTGTTACATGGTTTGAGTAAAGCTGATTTGGCATTTTGCAAACATTGTATTAAGAACAAACATCACATGCAATCCTTTGGCGTTGGATATCATAGTTCCAAGAAATTATTTGAGTATATACATAGTGACAAATGGGAACCTCTCACATAGCTTCACTCTCTTGGAAGTTGTACTATGTATCATTTATTAATTATTACACAACATCTATTTGCTCACACACAAGTTTGAGTTGTTTCCAACTTTCAAAAGTTGAAAACAACTCAAATTAGTCTAAGTCTCAACTAAAAGTTGAAACTTAGATTAGACATAGTTGAGATATTTGCGTACGAATAATGAAGGAAGATACATTTTAAAGGATATCAAAGTTATTGCAAAGAGTAGAGTATTACTTGCCATCTCATCACGGTTTATACTACACAACAAAATGTTATTTTTGAGAATTTTAATCAAACAATGTTGGAGAAAGTGCAAAATATGTTGAATCAATTAGATTTATCATGTGAATTTTGGGCCTAAGCTATCAATGTTGCAGTTTATTTAGTAAACCTTTCTACTTTTAATGAAATCAATATCTTGACATCGTTTGAATTGAGTCACAATCGAATGGCTGGATAATATTGTTTGAGTTTATTTGTTTCAACTACTTATACTTTCATATCAATGCAAAATAGAACTAAGATCCTACATCCAAGAAGTGTTGTTTCCTTGGATATGCTAGTGGCGTAAGCGGTTACAGACGATGAGATCCAGTAGCTTGTAAGGTTATTGTCAATAGAGATGTTACTTTCGATGAAACCAGATCATTGAAAGAGTAAGAGAATTTTGAGGCTTCCCATACTAACAAGAAAAAATCTCCTTTCATGGTTGTTGTTGAAGGAGAGTCTTCACTCACGGATGTTGTTGAGTGAGAGTTTGATCATTATGTGATTAATGATCTAACCTGAGGAGGAGCACCTGTACACCCATACAGTGGAAAAAATTCTTGAGCAATAGGTTCTAGAGGAGTAGGTTATCGTTAGTGAGGCTGACGTATCTACACTAGACGATAGAAATCAACCAGAATCTTTTGCTAGGAAATCATCAAATCAGGCTAATAGAGCTCCTATCAGATATGATGAATGTACTGATTTATCCATTCTTGAAGATCTTGATATAGAGGATGATGCTGACACTTTATTGATGTTAGAAGAAAGCTCATACACGAAAGCTCAAGCTTCTATCAATAAGCTTGAGTGAAATGCTGCTATGAAATGTGAGATGCAGTCGCAGATTGATGACAAGACTTGGAAGTTAGTTGAGCTTTCTAGAGTTCAAACGTTGATTGCTTGCAAGTCGATATACAAGCTGAAGAATAGTCTAGCCGGTGATGAGGCAAAAATCTTCAAAACTAGGTTAGTGGCTAGAGATTTCACATAGAAAAAATGTATGAACTATAATGAAGTTTTCTCACCTATAGCAAAATATGTTACAATTTGTTTGGTATGTGCATTGGCTGCAATATTTAATCTTGTTATGAATCATATGAACATAGCTACAGTTTTTTTTTTAATGTTTTTATAAGAATAAGAAATCTACATGAGACAACCAGTTGATTTTGAGATAAAAAGTCATGAGAGATTGGTTTGTAGATTGTTGAAATCATTATATGGACTAAAACAAGCTTCTAACAATGGGACACGCCCTTTGACGTATTCAAATGTCACAAGATTTTTCATGGAGTGTATATGATACTTGATTCTACATGAACATGATTGATGAGATTTTCAATCTTGTTAATCTAGTACTCTACAAAGATGATATGCTAATCTTGGCAGAAAATCAATCCGTGTGACAAATGCAAGAACCAATTGAAGTCTACTTCAAGATGAAGGATATGGAGTATGCGAATAGAATATTAGAGAAAAACATTCATAGCGATTTGATGAAGAAGAGTTTATGGTTGAATCGGGACGGTATATTTGAGAGGTTGAACATGGTAGATTCTAAAAAAGTATGGATTCCTTTGGCAACACATTTCAATATGTTGCCAAAGTATAACCTAAATCCAATGTGTTTAACTTCCTTTGGACGTAATCCCCTAGATAAAACACGTACTTGTCACGCATCTAGATCTTCTTGTGGAATTTGAAATTACTCCCCGAGTTACTGGAATTGAGTGAAATATCGAAACCTTTTATCAGAATTTAAGCATCACAATGTACATTTGATTTCATGAAATTATGTAGATGTGAATTTTTTATGATAAACAAAATATAATTTTACATATCTAAAAGTGTGCATCAAAATGTATTCACAATAATTTTACACATCAAAGTGTGCATTACAATCATATTGATTCAAGATATAAATAAATCTATGTCAAGTCTAGATAATTTTTATTGAAGAGTTGTAAAAATCTATTTTAATTTGGATAAAAAATAATGATATTAATATTTTTGTTTCATGATTTTTATGAAAAATATCATTTTTTCATTACATTACGTTGATGAATACTATCAATAAATTCTTGAAAACAAAAATCACAACTAGTTATCAGCTGTACTTGAAAAGGTATGTATTAGTTGAAAATTACTTTTTAACTTTAGAAATAAATGATAAGTCATCAATCTTATCAGTTAAAAAAATCAATCAATCAAGGTCTCAAGTAATTGCATTCTGGTACGACTTTAGTACATTCGTATATGTCCGTGTCACGCTAGCAATCAAGGTCTCAAGTAATTGCATTCTCGTACGACTTAAGGACATTCGTATATGTCCATGTCCCGCTAGCAATCAAGGTCTCAAGTAATTGCATTCTGGTACGACTTTAGAACATTCGTATATGTCCATGTCACACTAGTAATGGACGTGATGTAGGGTTTGTTAGTTCTCATCTGCGATTTTATTAAGGTGGATTCCTACGAATTCATTATACAAGGACGTGTTTTCGTTCCATTGTAAAAAGAGGAAACTCTTTTGCATGATGTAATGGAATGCAGCTATTTCCCATGACATTGCTATCCCGGAGAACATGCATGCGAGATTTACATTCCTTGATCCAAAGGCGCAAGCTGCAGTACATCTCAATCCTAGTTACTGGGGTATATATGACTCTAAGACAAATGAATGAAGAAGGGTATCACATCCGACAGTATACGACTTGGAGTTTATATCATATTAAGAGTGAGATATGAGAGACGTCTTCATGCACGAGTAAAATCACCAAAAATGATACACATCTCTCCCTTTCCTTCTACTTACAACCCATCTTTTTCCTCACTCCCAGCTCAGTCTCTTCAAGCTTTTCTATTCTCAAAAGGCCGTTCCATGCATCGCGTGCCTTCCAACAGCACGAAATAGCCTGAAAACTACTGAATTGCAAACAATGCTGAAGCCCAAATCGCAAGTAGAGATTTGCGATTCCGTGACCTAGGAAGGGATAGAAGATGTGGCAACAGTTCAACATTTGCATGTTGTTTGTTCATAGGATCCTACCAGTGGGCATTGCTGGCCCTTTGTGTGTAGAATCAGCAAAATTTGTACATGTACCTCCGTGGGCTCCGTGAGCCATACAAGAAGGTACCAGAGTGCTTCGACATATACGAGAAGGTTCTAACTTCTGTTCGGCAGTGATACTAGCGACACTCAAAAATTTGGCTTACTGGTATAAATATACAATTTGGGTTGACGGACGCACTGCCTCCACCAACTGGTCCAGGCTGCAGTCAAGATGTCCTCGGAGCTATGACTCTAGCAACTACTCGGGATTATGGGAAGAACTCAATAATCGATACCAAGATCACACAATAATCACAACTAACTTCTCCTCAGAAGTGCTTTCGACGCGGTCTTTTGCTCAGTTCGGCATACTTGCCACCCATTAGCAGCAAGATTTCTTCCCACAATCCTGCAGCTGAGTGCCCTGTGATTAAGTCGGTACTACAAGCAGCAACACACCACAAGCCCTGCTCTATTTCCTTCTTGAGTTGGTCTACACTCCACCCTGAGTAGCCGAAGAAGAAACGGTAGTCCAGGGGGCGCCTTCCTCTCATAATCTCTTCTAAACCACTAGCAGCACCGTAATAAACACCCGGTATCACCTCTCTATATCCTTTTACTCCTTCGGTACCGTGAAGCAAGAGAAACATGTCTTCGTCCAATGGCCCCCCATGATGTACCTGCAAGATCCCAGTACAACATCTGAGACCTAGTGTAAACATCACACCCATGTATTCTACAGAAGCAAACGCTACAAGCTCTACACTCGCTTGCGATGACAGTCAAACGTTAACTATAGGCCATTCGAAATCTCATGCAGAGCTCGAGATTACTACACTCCGATTTACACCTAGTATCTAACAGTTGCACCTGTCGGATACTTTCGCTTATAAATGTCGGAAGTTCGAGCATACCTGGCAGTTACCAAAAAATTTCACTAGAGTCCTGTCTTTGGGCTTGATATCCTTGATTCGACAGGAGAGAGGCCTATTGAGAATAAGCCCATAAGGTCCTTCACGCGGATTTGTTGACCCAGGACTCAAAAGCAGAATGACAGATCGTTCAAAGCTTTGCTGCCCATCAATCTTATCTGTTGCGATCAGTACACAACCAGTTTCTGGCGCTAAGATGGGATGAGCCCATCTCTTGGGCAAAGTGCCTTCCAGGTCGTTGTTAGTGGCTGCCGCCGTACCGTCCGACGTCTCTGTTTCTTCAATTTCCGAAGTCTGCTGTTCACTCACCACTAGTCTGGCACGGAAACTTCGCCAATCAGATTCAGGAGGTTCTGATTCTGGTGGCGAAGCTCCAGGGCTATCAGCATCCTTCTTTGGAACTGGTGAAGGGTTTTGATCTGATGAAGATTCTGATTTCTCATCATCAGGTACTGTGTTTCCCTTGTCTTCATGGGCACTTGCTTCACATAAATGTCGATAACCTCCTGGAACCAAAAACGCGTTAAACATACATAAGACTTCCCCTGGTTCTTTTAATTTTGAGTTTGTGTTAGCTCTTTTCGTGAGAGCAAAATTACATTTTCCCCCTAGTCGTCATATACATTTCTACTCAAGTAAGAAAACATGAAAGTCATGAAGCACTAAGTGGTGACATGAGCCACACAACTGATGAACTCATTCTCTAACTTCGAGATGTTAAAAGGTGCGCGATGTCAGTTTCACTTGGGTTTCATTGCGCAGATCTTAATATAAACGTAATCAAGAAAAAGAAAAAATAACTCGTGAATTATCTTCTCTGCCGGAAAGAACTTGATCGGGATTTCGAGTTCTTCCGAGTTTTTCTCAGAGGTTCGAAAATCATCTCAAAATGTTCGGTTACCGAAGAGCACGAGCTGAGACAGTTGGAGGCTGTAAATTCGAAAGTAAGGAGTGCGGGTAATGGAATCTAAGAAAAGCTGCCGCCTACATATGATGCCATGTAATGAAAGTAAGGCCTCGCTTTTCATCCATCAATTCCACCGGGTGGCCACAGATAGCCTCATTCTTGCACGCGAGCAATTTGAACATGCAAGCCATAATAGGGACTCACCACGCGGAATTCTCTTGCCGTAAAGTTGAAAAGAACGTCTTCTCATTCGGCTTTGTCCAGATCCTTGTGCGAACGTCTCTTGCGGCTGCATCCGATAACTCAAAATCATGGTCGACATGACATTGGTCAAAGACTGCTTCCTGTCGAGATGTACAGCCCGTCTTGAAAGAACATCGTAAATGCCGCAACATTTCAAATCAAGTTCCCTGAAACTCACTAGCCTGGAAGAAATGAAACAAGCGTCTTCGCTATGGCATCTTCCAACAGAAGAAGTTTTGTGAAGACGCTGCAGGAAGGATGAACAGGGTACCCGAGCTCGACCGCGACCACTTTCGACATTGGTGAAACATCCGGTTACAGTGAGAGTTAACACGGGCCGGCCCAGAGAAACGTCCTTGCAGGAGAGAACATGCCTCTGTGCGCTGCTGTTGGCCACTGATAGCAAATTTGCACATTTGGCTGAAAGTACAGGGGAAGAAAGAGTAGCCCGAGAGGGTTTGTGGGGGCTTTGATTTATTCTCGATATTGTGAAAATTGGCCCTCTTTCGAGCGAGCAAGCTGACTCCATTGCAGACTACAACAACTTCGATCCAGAAACGCACGATACCACACCCAAGGGAGCGAGCCAGCCAGCAGTCGGACGCAATTCAGAAGAAGAAGAAGCACACACACTACAAAGTTCGGCAGTTCCGCTACAGTGACACATGGCCGGCTAAAACCGATTTTTCTCTCCTAGGAATCACTCTCGCTCACTCCGCACCGCCAAAACGCTACCTTACTAAACTCAGACATTGAGCAGTGATGGAAGTGTCCCGCCCTTGCTCCCTTGCCTTGCCTTGCCGTCAAGGTGGCACCAAACTGCTGAGAAGAGACGGAGCTGATACTCTGGTGTTCGGAAGGCTCCTTCTTCTTCCTGGCTCTCCCTCATCAAAGGCAGAAGCGGAAGCAGAGGCATATGTAGAGGCTGATGATGGCAATGATGACGCTGGGAACTGCATCAATCATCCCCCGAGAGCCCCACCAATTCACTACAGACTGCCAGCCCTCTAAAGGCACCCGAATATATCGGAAAATTCGCAGCCAAGATTCGGGACGAGTCCGAAAGTCAGTATGCGATGGCAAGATCCGAGAGACATGGCATTCGAGGCAGGCAATTCTTTGAAAGAACGGTGGAGTGCCCCGATATTCAGCGATTCCTTCCGCAGGCTGTTTTCCTGGTCCCCTTGCCTCGGATCCCCTTGCCCTCGCCTCGGCACGCGTCCGGTCGAGTCCAGTACAGTCCTCCCTCACTCCCTCCCTCCCAGCCAAGGAAAGGGAAGGTCCGGGTCGGTTCGGTTCGGCCCCTGACTCCCGACGTGCCTCCACTCTCGCCCTCTCGCCCACGACACAAGCGCTACAAATTCATAAACAATCGCTCCCTCCTGATCTCCTGATCCCTTCGAGCATCCGAGACTCTGCCTCCCTCCCTTCCTTTCTGCCTTCGCTGTTGCTTCTGTTCGTTGCAATGTCCTGAAGTGGCCGGCGAAAGGTCACGGCCGGAGATTTCACTGCGTTCAAGCCTGCCTCCCTCTTCACTGACAATCGATCAATCCATCGATTAATCAGCCAATCCTTCGATCGATCGATCGATCGACTCACTGACTCCTCCCTCCGCATCGGGCATCATCCACCGAACGAAGGACCGAATGAGCCGACCCGTCGGGAGCGGAGCGGAGCGCTCGCGGTTCTTCGCTCGTCTCGTCTCTCGTCTCTCGTCTCGTTCTCGTACCGTCTCTTCTCCGGGCGGGCAGGAGTAGTTGCTCCGCGCCTCTCGCCTCCCGAGTCCGTCACCATCCGCTCGCTCGTTCACCGCTCACCGATCGCACCCGTGACTACGTCAGCTACTGCACCGACGGCACGGACGAGCCCAAACTGCGCCTTTTACGTGGTTATCGATGTCTCATAGTCCCGAGGAAAAGGGCACCCTGTCTCGGGAAAGAGTTCGACCTAACACCTCTAATCTTAGACCTCCATCAGGCAGTCACTTCCTCTAGTATATTATTTTCTCTCCGTAAATTATTATTTCTGGTGATAAATGCGGTATAGAGCATAGGAACCTCGTCTGGTAATACCTTGGCTATTTTATCTCTTCATTTGAAAACTGATGAATGTGCTTCGGGTAAACTTTCGCAATAAAGTTTCCCGCAGTCGATAATATGACTGTCCATATCACGTCCCTCCCTATTTGAATTAATTAAAGATGTAATAAAGGTATAGCGTACGTCGTAGCATGACAAAAAGGAAGGGTACAGCTCATCAAGTAGTATAGCAGTGGAAAGCAATTTACTCTTCTACCGAAGGCATGGACAAAACCAACTGCGGCTTTCTACTATTGACCGACGTAGTACTTGACAGCACAGTAGCCGAACTTACCAAATTGGCTGAGGGTAAGTCGGGGACAGGCACGAAACTGCGTGACAGAGCCGGGGAGCATCGACTTTATGCGCCGTCATCCGGGGAGCAGCGTCGGATCTCGGCCAAATTAGATGGACACAGTAGCACGCTCGCCGACTGGATTACACAGTCCATCGCAGTCATGGTAAGGTTGCTACAGCTGTGAGCGTAAGGCCGCAGTCCCGTGACTACCCATCCCTCCCTCTGTCGTGTCCCAGGTTTCCGGAGCACTTTGCTAAGTTTAGCGGAAAGAAATGCGGAAAGCGAAAGCGAAAGCGGAGGGAGGGAGACGGGAACTTTAGGAAAGTAAGGGAAGGGAAGAGAAGATGCGGACGTGGAACGGAATCGTCAGAAGATGCCAGATCCTTTCCTATCCACAAGAGTGTTCTGCGAAGGAACGGAATCAACCAACTCTCGCTCGGTGGGCCAGAAGATCGTCCCAGATCTGTTGGGCCGAGCCTTTGAGCCGGTAAGGAACCGACGCGTGTGCCACCCTCGCGCGAGACGACTCCAGTTGGGCACCTCTGCTCGCTCGCGCTGCTGACTCCTGACCAGACCTTTCGGTACTGACAGACGGATCTTTTCCTCCGTCACTGGCCACTGCGGGTTCTGCGCTTTGTGCAGTCAGGACGAACGCAGTTGCGCGCGGGAGCCTCCAGCTCAGCCCAGCCCAGGCCAGCACCACCTCGAGGCTCGAGGAAGAAGCGAGAAGCAAGAGACCGAGCGATGGTGCACTATAAGATGCCAGTTCCGACTCGATCTTTGCTGATTGCTTTAGCATCGAGCTTTCGCATGGGAGCCACAGGGTGCGCGAGTTTTGGGCTTGTTCCTTAAAATTGTCTCGGAGTGGACGTCGGTGGTGGTGGTGGTGTTGGAGCTGGTGCTGTATGTTGGGCTCGGGAAGGATGGAAGGTGTGGAGTATGAGAATGATGAGCATGAGCGTGAGCGGGAGAATAGCGAGGGGCTCGTGGCGGGGGGCCGTGAGATTGCGTCGGAGCGGATGATGAGTATGAGGGATTTGTTGGACGAGTTGGATGAAGCGGAGACGAAGCCGTCTCCGAGGAAGAAGAAGCGGAGGAACAGTCATGTGCAGAGCTCGCTCGAGGCGGTTACTTCTCGACAGGCGGGGCGACTCGTGAGCCACTTGATGGAGTCCGTCGAGCGGGTGGAGCAGCGGTATCAGGGCACGGATGACAAATGGAGGGCTAAAGAGTGCCACCATCTGTGTTCTTTTCACAATTCAACTCTCGATCCTCACCATCGCAAGCTCCTCGTCACCGACATGCGTGCTTCTTTCTCTGTTTTGCCACGCCAACTCAGTGCTCTCATCGTCGCTGACCCCAATGCTGCTTCTTAGATTCATTCACAGGATTTTGCTGCAAAATTCTGCATCTTTTCTGGCCCGAATTGGATATCCTTTGCCTCTGCAATCTGCACCGAAAGAGCAAAGCACCAGACTAGAAATGCTGGGCAGGCGCAGGCACGGGTGCAATGGTGGTGCTTCAGTTTCGGATGGTTTCATGGTTGTAAATATGTAGAAAAACTTCCTCCAGTGTACAGGATCCAACCGGCAGCAGCACGGGATGATCTATGTTGCCTCGACCGAGTCTGCAGCAGCGGATCCTTATCATGCAAATGATCTGGCAGAAAGCAGACTTAGAACCAATAGCGTATTTGCATCACCATCCACATCAAGAAATTCGTGAGCAAGAACAGCCACCGTGTCCGGTGAGCTGTATGAGCTTGGAAGAGCAGGCGCAGGCAGATGTGGGAACGTAAATCTCATGTCCACAGGAATAATTAGTCGATGCCGCTACTTGTGGAGGTGATGGTATCGTTCTTGCAGATTGAGAACTCAAATTGTTGGACACTACGACTCGGAGTTATTTGGAGATTGTACCAAGAACTGAATCCAGCCAGGAAGGTCTTGAATGTACCATGGCTGGGAAGTGAAGAGGCGTTAGAGAGTCCAGGCAGGGTTACGAAGCGCCTTCCCTCGGTTGTGAACTACACCTCCCATGTTGTACTCGGCAGGCGGCTGCTGCCCGATCTGTCAAATGTTTTGAATCATTGAGAACATTGTAGGATGTTTTAATGGAAGTTCTTCGGTTAGGTGGAAACCTCATCCCGTCATCACCTTGAACTTGTGATGCAAGTATTTACGGGACGGTTGTAACCCAATTTTCAATAAGAATTCCAGAACTCAGAGCATGAGCAAACGTTACTTTCTCGATTGTATTTCAACAACAGGTTGTCATACTGAAGCCAAAAGTGGACTTATAAACGTCAGTGTAGTTGGTCGAGTTCTGTCTGGTTCGCGATTTCGGTGAAATTCCTACTCGATCTCGGATGAAAAACTATAGCTTCGTTCACCAATTTTCCCACAGCTAGTAAATTAATTGAACCAATTTCTTAAACCAAGGCGATTGTTTTAATGACGGGAGTACATAAGAAACATCGAAATCTGCGAGGATCTTGAGACAACACAGACTGTACAACATGCCCACAGCTTACACCGATTAAAACTCACCTTCAACGTGGAAAATTGTTCTTTTTATCTGACAGAAGTAACGTCTGGACAGGCTTGAAACCTTGCTCGCCCACTATTTAAGATACGGAGGGCTCTTCAGACTTCACAATGTGAACATGCAGAAGTGGCATCAGAGTAGACATACCGGGTTGCAAATCTGTCCAAACTTTTGCAGTGCCACATGTGCCACATGTCCATGTGGCCACAAATGGTAGTGCTGCAGTCCTTGCTGCAGCCTCTATTCTCCAAAAACTTCAGCCCTGTGTACGTTTGCATTGCACGTCCTACAGATCAAGACAGTATTCAACTCGTACACCTGTATTCAGTTCGGTAGTCATGCGGATAGGATCGGCCACTATATGAGAGCCCATCACTACTATATGGGCAAAACACAGATCCACATGGCACGTACACGCCCTGCCTCGAGTCTGCATAGGTTTTGAGTCTGTTGTCCACGGCGAGGACGAGATACATGGAGAGGACGAAGTTGGATGTCGTGACGGGCCACGCAGACGACGTCTACAGGCTCTCGGCCCTAGACGATTGTGTTTCCTTGTAAACTCAGTTGCGAGGATGTCAGAGCAGAGAGAGAGTACAGCATGTGGCTGATTAATCTATCTCTTCATGCACCAGTAACTAACATTGAACACATCTTTGCTAGATCCATTTCGACCGGACGTCATCATCATCATAAATCGGGACGAAGTGCGAGTTTCATGAATCCAAAATCGATGTATGACATGTCTGCTCAACTAAATGATTTTCTCCTGGATGAGACAAGCATTCATGGACTTCACGTGTTCAAGCAAGATAACCTGAAAGGCTAGCCACTTTCACAGATACCAGAATCGAAAACAAAAGTCAATTTCCTCAACAAAATGTTTCAGCCACCATCATCTTTCCGATCCAAATGAAGTGTTTGCTCAAGTACTCCCATCTATTAAACAGGGAGGGGATCCCGACCTTGAAAAGTCATCATAATTACAATAAGAGGAAGACAGCATCCCGGCTTTACTTCACCCCTTGAAAGAAATAAACAGCAATAGGTACGAGGAAAGTTTGGATACAAAATCCGAAAATTTCAAGGAATCATTCATGTACATCGTAGTACTCCTCCCTATCTGAGCAGTTAGTTTCAGCATCTGCTGCGTTTTCGTCATCCCTTTCATAAGGTCGAGAAAGAAACTCACAAAAGGTAGGTAAATGATTCAGACCTCGAGTTCGCGAACGCGTCCTGAGGTAGAGTTATTACGTATGGACACACTTTAAACAGCCGCATCCAACCTGGGCTCTAGAGAAAACCCGAGTACACTACGGGCATCCAAATAATCGTCAAGAGTGCATCTAGGAAGCCACCACCAAGCGTTTCTGTACAGATTACACATGAGCATTTCTTTGGCTCGATAATAAGTGAAACAGATGTGATCCCCGTGGGCAACGAACAGAAAATGACCACCAGGAGGACCACTTGACAACTCATGGAGCAGATTGTCTGGCATCCTCAGAACTTCTACCCACTCCCTTTTGGCTTCATCAAGGCGCCACACGTGAATACTCTTGATACTTCCGAACTCCTCGATACCTCCGACCATCATCAGGCATCCCCGATTTTCAAACAGCTGCGGACAGGTCAGACAAGGAGGCATGCGTGCTCGCAGGTCTTGCCAACACCCTGCATCCACATGGTACGTGGACACACCGATACCGGGACCGAACGTCAAGCAGTAGAGGATACCGTGCATGTAAGCTGTTCCTACAACGAGCGCCACCCTTCTCCGCAGACTGTCGGTCAACTCCCATGAGTTGCTGATTGAATCGTACACCTGCAACTTCAGATGCTCGCCTTCTTGGGCGACCAAGATTTTGTAGCTCTTCTTGGCAGAATCGATGACCATCCCTACGATGTAAGGATTTTGCATCCTGAGCATTGGCGGAAGCTTTCTTCGAATTTTGGTGATTGGATTGGACACATACAGATTGCGGTCTGCCTTGGTCATCGGATCAACGGCATACCCATTGCGACCTTGCGGAACGCTTCCACTCGTACCTCCCAAGCAAAGCAAACCTCCCGCGGCGGCCAGAACGACAAACTGACTGAGCGACGGGCCCGAGAGAAAGCACGACAGCGGCAGAAGGTGCCATTTATTGAGCGACGGATCGTAAGCAGCGTACCTCTGTTGAAAGAGATCAGCGTACATCAGAAAAAACGGTGCTTGCGGGGGCACTTCAGCACAAAGCTGAAGAAAACTCGGACTCTGTACAAGGGAATTCCACTTCTTACACACCGATCGCACACGAAGAAAGCTCGGCAGTGGCAACCATGCGAGAATGCTATCCATGAGATGCTCCGGAAGCTCGCTCCACACTTTTGGGTCCATCGCCACGTTTTCTTGCTCCTGCACGTCCATGTCAAACTCCGGTGACACAAATGTCCCATCCGACGTGTGGCGCAAAATACCTAATCTTCCTGCTTGTGAAGTAGAACAACCGTTCCCTCCATCTAATCGTCCCAACGCGCCTCTTTCCAGGCTCGAGGAGCCCGGGGTGTCCTCGTCTGTTGCCATATCCTCCACATCGACGGGATTGAGTAGTGTAAGTCTCTTCAGAATACCTGCGCTGCTGTCGATAATGTCTTCCAGCGAGGGAGACAGAATGTGATCCTCCATGGCTTTTGAAGAGCTCCAAGACGTCCCGCTTCCTGGCTACTATGTCCGCTTAGGGTAGTACCAGTATGTTCAAATTTACAAAAATGTACTCAAGTAGACGTGAATTATGCTAAAGATAAATTGGTTCCTCTGTTCACAGCATCACGGCCATTCACCAAGAGTCTGCTTATCGAATCCCTCACACCGTAGTCACACTCGCTTCGAGTTGAACACCGACATTGATGACGTCCCGCTATCCATCTCCAGCGAATCCACCTACTCCCCACACAATCGGGCCTTCTCGGATGATACCAGTCCAATGCTTCAACTATAATAGTACAAAAATTTACAACCAGGCCATACCTTACAGCTGACTTTGAGAAGTGCAATTTCCCTGACAACAAAGATTAGAGCCTAATGTTCAGTGTTGGAGACGAGAAATCGGAATTCCTCGATACCCTAGTTTTCGGGAGGACTTTCTCAGTGAGAAACCATGCATCTTCAAGAGACAAGCCGCAATGCGCAGCACGCGGCAGGCCTGAAATGGAACTGTGGTAGTAAAGGTTTCGCCGAGACTATCGAATCACTCATTCCCCACCACGGAAATCTGCAAAGGCAGGAGACACTCCGCACAGTGCAGAAGAATGCAAGCACACCTAACAAACAAGACCGTCCAGCGACTAGGTCCTCACACAAAGGAATTGCAGACAGAGAAAAGGCGGCACCGGAAGCGGAGGAAATCAAGTTCGAGTACTCTCGCTCAGGTCCTCAGGAAAAGACTCGAAAACTCTCAGCGTTTCCACGGCATCGTGATTCCACAATGTCAGAAACCCGGCACAGAGAAAAACCGACTGAAAAAAGCGTGGGAAAGAATCGCCAAGCGAAAACAAGACACGAGGCTGACAACGGAGACCGCATCGGGGCACTCAAACACTAACTGACACATTTCGAAAGCGAACCTGCGACAGGAACGACCGACATGGGAGAACGCGAACGTGGATTCTTCCAAAACGCACAACGCATCAATCGCCCGGAAGAATGACTGTTCTCAGCAATGAGGCCGAGAGAATTCCGTCGGCATGGGAGGTGGTGGGTGGGAGAGCACCGCAAGCCGCGCCAGCCCAATCGAGTGATGCAGCAGTCGGCAGAGCAGAGCATGGGAGGGCAGGGGAGGGGAGGGGAGGGGAGGGCAGATCAGAGGGCAAGAAGAGAATGTGCGAGAGGACGATCGATTGGTCTCACCGGAGCGAGGGAAGTGAGCAGAGCAGAGGACCAGCGGAAGGCATGGTGACGTGGGCGGCCTCCGACACGTGGCGAACAACAATTGTCCCTTTTTCTGTCCACGCCGTTGATGCTCCGGTGGCAGGAGTGGGGCAGGCACAATCAGCACAGCGCCTTCTCTCCCGTTCTCGTGCGTGCACGGAGAGAAGATGGCGCCCCGCAGAGCCTCTTGGATCTTGCTCCATCGCCCGTTATGACGTCCCTGCTTTCCCTTCTACAGGCTACCATCGCCAGCTTCTTCCAGAGCCTCCCTCCCCAAGCCTGCTGTGCCCATCATCGATGCTCCTTCCAAAGTAAGTGCAACGAGACTTTGTATTTGCATTTTCATAAGTTTGTCTCCGTTCTACGATCGACGAGTCGGGAGGAAACATCGAGTGCACTTCTCGGGTCGGTGAGACTGGAGCAGCTTTCCGCTTGGGATCAGTGAACTATGAGGTTCCAAAATTTGTCATATGTTTTGAGTTTTCATGGAGTGTTTTATTCATGCATCTCTTGCGATCACGTGGACGAAGCTGGAATCGGAGGTGAAATAAATCAAGTCATAATGGTTGAAATCTTCATGTACACTCCCACAGACGCAAAATGCTGCGTGTTAACGAAATCTTTTTGTGTAAATTGCAGGCTTCGCGTGATCTTCTGTGCGTGTGAAGTCCATACGAACAAGAAACCGAAGCGATATGGAAAGTTTTGAACCTCCTGAGATACAATTTGTCATAATACGTTACATGCGACTCTTAATCTCCTGCACATTTCTTTCTTTCATATTGCCAACTGCCAGTGTTGTCTCTGGAGAGCCAGAAATATGTGTTCACAGCCAACCTACCTTTCCTAGTGGATTCGTCACATAGAAGAGTACATTTTATCGAAGAGAAAGCTCCAAGGGCACCATAGATTGCGATAGATCATTAGTCGAAAACAACTAAATCGTTCATGTGACTCAACATGAAGAAACAAGCGGAGCAGGTTCCGAGTGACGATTCATGCGCTTGTCGGTTTGCACGAAGCAACAACAGTTTCAGCTCTTGGAAGAACCACCATCAACGAGAACAACATTCTTCATCGAACCACTCGCCAATCAATGTTGCAAGTTTTGCACCCCATACAACTTATCCGACCACCACCCACCTAACAAAAGTCCAAATTTCTCTCATTATGGGCATGCGCACCTATTGAAAATCGATCACAGCAGAACAAGCAGCATCCTGAAGCCGAATGAAAGGAGCCCCACAACTAGGGTTGGAGGCACAGCAAAATATTTTGAGGCATGGCTAAAAGGCATGCCCCATGCCCCCAGGCATGCCCGTATTTAAATACGTATATTTACGTATTTGAAAATGTACATCCATGAGAATAAATTATTTTGTAGAAGTAAAATGGTTGAAAAGTTCCCGAAAATACGTATTAATTTCTTTGTATATACAGGTATTCAAATACATATATTGACGTATTTGAAAATGTACATCTATGAGAATAAAATATTTTGTAGAAGTAAAATGGTTGAAAAATTCCAGAAAATACGTATTAATTTCTTTTCCATACAGGCATGCCTGTATGGAAAATCCCGAACGAGGCATGCACATGGGCATGCCCCCGTGCCCTCGCCCTGGGGCATGCCCTTTGAGGCTGTGCCTCCAACTCTACCCGCAACCCCATTGCCAAAATTCGAAGCAATGCTGCGCTCCGTGAGCAGCGCGGAACCAGCCAGAGCACGGGCCGCGCTTTAGGAACGACTGGAAACAAGGGACTCGTCGAACGGAGCGGCAAACCGCGCTGCAAAACGCGCTCGCCCCCTCTACCCCACGGATTCAATTCACGATCCCGCAGCGTGGGGACGCGACCGGCAATTCGTAAAAGGAATTCGGAAACCCTCGTAAACACCCGTCGGAAACCCTCGTAAAAGGTGGTCGAAGGAGGGCAGGAACCGGAAGAATATGTTCGGGCAATCCACGGGAGACAATGGACTCGTCGAACAGGGCGGCGAACCGCGCGGTCGACCCCGCTTGCCTCCCTAACCCCAGTTTCCTTTCACCAGCCCACGAGACAATGTTGAACACGATCCCGCAGCATAGCCGAGGCATCGGGGCTTTTTTAGCACTCCCTCCGCGTGAGGTGAGAGCGGGAAAGCCCCGGCGGAAAACCCTCAATTCCCCTAAGTGGTATCCATGAGTTTAGGGTTGTGGGAGCTCGACGAGGAGCGCCCTCGAGCGGCTGCGCTGCGGAGAATCGCCCCGAACTATATCAACCTATCGGCATACCCTCCTTCATCACTACGAATAATCGAATTGCGGTCAATATATACAAGCTTCAACTCTGGTTTTCTCTGCTTATGGGTTTTTTTAGATTGTCTATTTTGAGCCTTGATAAAACCTAGAGTAGTTAGCCATAGATTAGTGGCATCAGAACATGGATTCCTTAGCATAAACAACCATTTTTAGCATCTACTTTTTCTGATGGTAAGTTTGCTTCTTTGAACTTGAACCCCATTATAGTTTTCACATTTAAGACTTTTCAAAGATCACTTTTTCACATTCCACACCTATTTTGAAGGATTCATGTATTTTTCAACATGGTCAATAATAAAACTCAATGTACATCTGGGAATTTTGCTTACCTCCTACATATGAAGCTTTGTCACACAAGGGAAAAGCAAACTTCATAGCCAATATCTGCCATCTATTTAATTTTCCACACATTGTATAAAGTCTGTTTTCAAGACTCAAACAGAGTATACATAAATAATTTAGTCAAATTTTAGTAAACTTCAATTAAATTAATTTTCAATATCTGAGTGATCTTGAGTGTCTTCATTCAATGGAAAAATTATTACACCTCTTCATAATTCAAATTAAAATATTTTTTCATCTTCGTTTCCATACTTCATTTGAGAAGTTTATTTATCAATTAATTTCGCAAAGTATTATCATTTTAACAAGTAAACATGCTTAACACATTTAGAAACATCAACATCGTTTTTTCAATAATTTTAATTTTCTTGAATATTTTTAAAATGTCAATTTAGACGTATATGTTTTTTTAATTATTTTATTTACTGTAAATTTTAGGTTTTTAGTTTTGATTATTTATATTCATGCTCTTGTAATGATATTAGATACATTTTTTTCATATCAAACATATAAATTGTATGGTTTTTCTTAAACAAAAATCATGAACCTAGAAAAACTTATAATGCAACAGTTTATTTCATTTGCCAAGATGAAGACAAATTTAGAACTTAAGGAGTAAAAAATTGGAAGATTATGGGACAGATTCAAATGCAATTTAAGGTTTCAATAAAGACTGTTTGAACTTTTAGAATTTAGAAGCAGCTTTTTAAATCTATTAATAAAAAAATTAAGAGTCAAACACTAATCTACTTATCACGAATTTTGGATGAATACAATGAATACATTTGAAAATATCTTTAAAATAATCATTAAAAATATTCATCAAAAAATAAATTTCATCATGTAATATTTTTAGATTTTAGATTTTTTTAATTATATAAATATATTTTTATATAAAAATTAATTTATATTATAATAAAATAAAAAATATTATTATCGTGAAAATTATTGGCACTATTTATTTTCTTTTATTCTTGAAATTTTAATACTAAATTTTTTTATGTTTTACATGATTTAGATTCAAAGTTGTATCTAAATGAAAAAAATATTTCAAATGTAATGCAGTTTCTAGTGTAATAAAAAATTATTTTATGTGTAGAAAATTAAAAATTCATAACAAGGAAAAAAAACAAATATATCAAGTATTTATAATTTTAATAAACAGAATAAATTATTACTTTATCAATTTTTTTGACAAAAATTCAATGTGAGCTTGAATTAAATTACAAAAATATTTTCGAGGTGATAATATTGTTGTTATATCAAATATTACAGTACATAGATAACACATAGACACAAAAATCACATTCATTTTTGAAATTCTGTTTATGACATAACTACAAGAAAATATTTATGACATAGAACTTACATGAAAATCATGTGATTGAAAATGTTTAAAGATTTGATAGTTATCATTAAAAGAAATCCTAAAGAGACAATTTGAAATGAAAAATATGAAATTTAAATTTAAATTTATTATTATTATATATCAAAATATAGAATTTAATTTAAGTGTTAATTCTTTAATTTTCCAGAATCATAATTGATTTAATGGATGGTGGAACTGCATAGCAGTACTAAAATTGAAGAATGAAACATTATAATAGATCTTTTTTTGAACTTAAATTTTTTTACTTATTTAAAAAATTTACATGTAATGATTTAATAATTTTAATTTTAGTGTTGTTTAATTATATAAAAAAAACTAAAAAATTCCTAGTGAAGTGATTGTTGCATCATGGTGATACATCAAATTCAAAAACAATGTAGCAATTAAAAACATATTATGTGTTCAATTCTGAGAGAGAAGTACTCTATGAAAATTGCAATGTTACATGAACTAGATATTTATTACAATTAGTCTGATATTTGTAATACACTTCAGAGTATATATATATGATGAGGATTTTTTTATCAATATCATTAGTTAAAAATTTATACATTTTAGCCAAGAATATAGTAAATGAAAATATAAAAAAAGTTTTGTTATGCCAGAAATGCCAGAACCAAGAAAAAAAATTGCCAAAATTAATTTTAATTCTAGCATTTGCCAGATTTTACGAGGTGTGGGTTGTGTACTATTTTAATGTCATGACAATCTTATTTACTCACGCACTTGAATGAGACTACGAGCAAGAACTTTGATGCTAAAATGCTATATCGAGAGTTGGGTGTATGCAATTCTTGTCGTATTTTGTTATATGGACCTATAATAACTAAAGATGTTTGTACCTGAAAAGTCCATGGCTAACTAAGCACTCTAGTCAGATGTCTGAGTTTACTAATGATCTATCTCCACAACTTTCTTTGTAATGGTAATAAATCAAGCCCGAGGGACCCGAAGGGTCAAAAGGCTAAAAAGAACACAAAACAATCAACAAATCAAAACCAAGGGCAAAACCCCCTCTAAAGCGGCAAGAGTTTACTACCTTTACACTTTTGTAACACTTTTACTCTTTACTACCAGACAACCTCTGGTCATAAAATAAGTGAAGCCATACAGAAACGAACGGACATACTTACTCCACTGTACGTCCAGAAAGGCTAGAACAGACAGATCGGTCCGACAGATCGGGCCACTGTCAGGAAAGGTCGGACGATCCGGATTTCTGGGATTTCGTCGAGACCAAGGGGAGAGGCCAGATGGTCCCTGACAGCCCAAAACAGCCTACTACCACTCCATGCCCTAGGGCCTTTGTGCTCTCTGGGGAGGAGATTCTTAAACATTAGAGGCCAAGCACATCTGGTGGTCAGTAGTGAATTCGGCGGGTGATGATACGAGTAAATGACGGAGTCCAATTACTGTATTTAAGAATCAGCAACAGAGTTTTTATCTGTGGCTGAAAGTGACTCATTATGTGGTCGCACAGTTGATTCCATGATGTTCTTTCATCAGTTTTACTTTCCTTTGATCGAGTGTCTAGCTTTGGCCGAAACGAACTTCTAGCACATGGCTGGACCCTACTCTCATTTTGCCTCGCTTCTGATTTCACCGCATCAGGAACACATCCAGTTTTTAAATATGCTTCTAACGTTCACATTCTCCCAATATCGATGCACGACTAGGTGCCTTGATAGATTGACAGACAGATTGGCCGGTACGACATCCACACATAATATTTATAGAGATCCAGATCTGAACTCGGAGCATGCTGGCTGGGCATGGAAAGAGTGAAACAAAGGGTCCTGTGACCTATCCATGTCGTTAATTTTTTTTTTAAATATAAAACTTTTTCATATTTGCCATTGAGGTTTGAGGTGTCTTCCTTTGTTCTATAAGCTATGTACTTGGCCCCAGTTCCATGGGCCTCCAGGATGTTGGGGATACTGTGGGACCAAGGAAAGTGGTTTCTCTCAGAAATATCAATATAGTTGTTTCTCATGGTTTCGGATCATCACACAAATTCTGAAACTGAATGATACGTTTACTGCGTTCGCTCTTTTCAGATATCAGTAATTTAATATGTATCGTTTGCTCTGTAGATTGGGACTAGTGTATGTGGATAATGGATGGATAATGGATAATCGTGGGATCTTCCTCCGCTAAACCTTCATCATGGGGTTTGCTGCTTCTGGATTCGAAAAGGCGCCGTGACGAGTGCAGGGCCTGCGATTGTTTGCATGTACACCATCTCATGCACTCTTAACGGTTTCGTAGAACTTTTAAACAAATCTGTCTTCGATCTGAAGTGCGATCCTCTTCGATTAACAGGAACGTTTGCTACTTTCGACTTTGTCTAACTGCAGTACTTTGGGAGTTGTCTATATCGTTGCGGTAATACATCTTCTGCATTTACAGGAACACTGTGGGAGAAAGAAAAGAGTCAAACACCTTATCGAAACAAAAACTGTATAGATGCGTTATGCCAACAACCAGCGATCACACATGGGGTTTAGCATGTTAAGAATTTACTTCTAGCTTCACTCTGTCCAAGGGCAAAGAGAAGAGCTGAAGACATTGTCATAGAAGCGGCTACATATTAAGCAGGTTGAGAATTCCCCACAATTAATTTTTCTTGCAAGTGAAACTAAGACAATACAGAGCATGCAGTTAGAGAGCTGTCTGTAGATCTTGGGAAGTAAAGGGTCAGTTGCATGAGCAGTCGCATCAGACCACGAGAAACGTATGATCATCGTAGAGCAGGTAGAATAAACGTCTGAAAGCTGACAGCAAAAGACAACTCTGACGGTCAGGTGCTAAGGGGATCTTGCTTCGTAGCTGTCTCTTTCACTGTCACAGCGCAAGGAATATTTCAGACTGGAAGCGAAGGTGCGATATTGATAATTTCAACTGCTTTTGGAGACGTGATATGACCGGTCAAAAACTGGTGAATGTGAAGTTCTCTCCATTCCAATACTGCCTTCTGTTCTTTCTTCAGCTCTTTCTTAAATGGAGAAGAGTGAAGCTCTTTACTATGTAGACATAAATCCTGAAAACTTATTATTGTTCCTGTGAGTAAATACATCCTTCCACTCTTCCACTTTGAACATCAACATTAAAATTTAAAATTGTCCTTTTTCACTTGAGACTGTAGCACAAAAAAGTATATAGTTTCTGCGTTTCGATGCAATTCTGATGGAAGAACCACGCGCAAATGTGACGTCAGGTTGTGGACAATCTGAAAGCCAAAAAACAGCGCACACTAGCACCTACACGAGTAGCACGGTAAACAGTGCATTTCCTGGATGTTTCATTTATTGCCTTGTGTATCTGTGATGCAGCAAGAATTTTTGACATCTGAAGCAAATTCTGGGTCTGAAGATCGAGTACCGTGAGAGTATCCGTGTGTACAGATTTCAAAAGACATGTGAATCCTCGAAGATTTCATCTCCACGTGAATGGTGGCTTAGCCATAATTTTTGGCTAAGCAGCGGCAAAAATTGACAGTGATATGAACATTTGGCTAATTGGTACAATAGGAGCCTTGAGAGGTTCTTGCTTCATACGACTCACTACTCATAGTTTATCATAAAGATTCTGTTTCCTGGATTCCCTCGTCAACCTAGGAACGTAGCAGTAACCAAGACCAGCCAGGATCAGAGCTGCAACAAAGCCGATAGCTGCAAACACAAAGCATTCCTCGAATTTTGGAGCGTCCTGTCCAAGAGCTCCTATAACAGATATGGTGATAAGATTTCCTGCAAAATAAGTGTCCCAGTATGTCCAGACATTACAGACATACATGAGAAATATTCATCTTGCAGCTTGTTGATGATTGCAATATAGAAAGAAATAGGATTTGAAGTAAGACAAAAATTTCCTTCGTGGGGCAGGGCAGGGGCAGGGCAACTTTACCGAAAGCAATGATGGTGTGCATGACTCCAGAGACTGCTGATTTCATCGAGTCGGGAGCTTCATGGTAAGTAAAGTGCGCTATTGAGACCAAGAAGAGGGTATCCGAAGCTGCCATAAGAGCGAACGGAGGGACCTGCCAAAATATTGAGATGTCTGCCTGTTCTGCTCCATTCTTTCGAAGGTCGCTATCTATGACCATTTCTAGGATCCCAGACACTGTAAAGGCTGTCGAGATCGTCAATAGAGCCAGCACTAATTTCCTCAAGCTGGTCAGATTCACGATGTACTTGTCGCAAAAAGGATACACCACCATCTCAAACAGGGGCATGAATAGTATAGTCAGAACTTGACCAATGACCTGCCAGAAAAAAGTTGATCAGATATCTTCAGTGCTCCTAACTTCGAATCAAAAAGGGCACTTCGGTTGAGTACTGAAAAACCAGTTGAATTTCTAAGAGAGCTCACTTAAGTATAATCTTCACCGAAGAATGCTGCTCAAGTGCTTCAGCAGGTAGCCGACGCGAAAAGGATTGCAACCATGTTAACAACCAAGGAAGTGCTATATATTACATCTTCTCAAAAACTGAAGCTGGGAGTTTGATTAGAATTAGAGAAGAAGGCAGGGTTGATAAAGCAGACAAAGTGAGAATAATGCAGACGTCTTACCGGCATTTGATCAGGTGGAATTGTCCAGTCGCCAAGCCAGGGCAACTGGCCATTCATTCGTCGAGCTTGAAAGACCCACGTTGATCCACCTTGAGCAGCGAGTGCGGCATATACAATCAGTGGGAGCAAAACGATTAGTGCAGATAACAAGGCTTTATACTCATCCCAGGTGCGCGTCGGACAATCCTCTGCTTTTGCCAATCCTCCGTCTATCAGCTTGGTGTGTTCCCCTACTGATTCCTGACAACTCTTGTCACCCTGCTTAATGGAACTCGATCCTTCCGAATCAACATCGTCTCTGCCTAACCAGAAAGCCAATGTCCCAACAGTCTTCGACACCAAAGGCAGCAGAAAGACGTAGAAGTAAGACCCGGCGCCTTTAACTCGAATGATGGGAGTGAAGAAAGTACTAAAAATGTAGCCTGCTTGGCTGCCCATCATAATTGTCGTGAGGTATCGCTGACTGGCAATTCTTTCTTCGCTCGAGCTGGTAAGATCCAGTTCCTTGTCCCCTGACCAGCCTCCATATTCCAATTCCCTTCTACCTCTTCTTCTCCTCTCCACCGACTCCTTCACCTGCTGGCATCCGTAGGTGACGAAACACGTTTTGTTGGCTCCAAATCCTACAGACGCAAGCAACAGACCTGCAAATAGGAGGAACGAAAAGGCTGAGAACTGTGGTAGGGCTGTTAACACCAGCAGCAGGTAACCTCCGATTTGCATTGACGCAAATAGGAATGTAGATAAGTATACCCCCTGCAGGTAGAAGAACGGAGACTATTAGGGACCAGTGAATCGTAAGTTTTGAGGGCACAAAACTAGCTTCCGGATTTAATTGTACGCGTAAATTTGTGGAGCGATGTGCAGATGGCTCGGAATCAAGTTAAGTGATACTTTTTCAGAGCTCTACCGGAATAATGGTAAGCGGTGGTTAATAGAAAAAACTCTTAAGAACCTTTACAAAAGCTATCTGGTAACCTCTGAAACAGAGAAAGAATTTCACATCTGTATTGTTTTTCTCCATCGAAGAGCTCTCTAGAGCAGCTTGTGAATCGACCGAATTGCTGATATCTGAGAACGTGAGGAGTCATCATCTAAGGTATGGAATTACATAGATGTCTGTATATCAGCCAGGTAGCAGTCCACTCAGATGCTTGCGGTCACCATCAACATGCAAAACGCACGAGAGTTCTTACTGAGAATGCAGTAGGAGCGGAGGCTCCATCTTTGATACAATTAAATCATTCAACTTTTCAAAGCACATCTTCAAGCATTGTCTCACAGCAAGTGTTGCCTCTCTAAACTGGCTGAAGTAAGCAGATTGCAACGAGGTCCGTCTTACGATATTCTCATAAATTCTAGCTCAAGAAGACAGATTGGGTTCTAGCTCAAGAAAACAGATTGGAACAGGGTCCATCCTACGAGATTCTAATCGACCCCAGCTCAAAATGCTTCCCGGTATACTATCGATGGACTGAAGGTTTGGAGCTGGTTGATAGTCGTGAGCTCTGGTTAGTTTCATACATCATGTCCAATGATCGGAGTCGCTTACCAGAAACCCATGGCTGACAAGGGATCCGGTAATGCCTGATCCATAACTGCAGTAGATGAACAAGTGCACGAGCTGTGCCGAAGCATTCTCGCTGAAAAGTAAGCCCTCCAAGAAAAAAATAGCCAGCACTGTCGCCACGGCCTTATGAGCACATGCATCCGCGAACTCGTACAGCAAATTGTATTTTACAAATCGATCCTCCAGCATAAGCTTCGGCGGCTTATGCTCCATCAGAGGTTTCAGCTCCTCCTTTTCTCGGGCCATGACATCCAGAGGCTCAGACGAACACCAGTGTTTTCTCCGTGTCCAATGTTCTCTGGCCTTCGGTTGTGAATCTCTTCGGTCGATCGTACAGACGACGATCCGGCTGAGAAGCTGGGGCCACTTTATCTGAGTCCATCATTCTGAACCTACAGTGCTTATCAACACTGCGCTCGATTATTGAAGGTGGAGTGCAGAGTCGGCGTTAGATTCTTTGATACGGGAATTTTATTGCATGTGAGGGTACGTGTTTCTACAACCACGGATTGCGAGACAACTGCCGGACATGTCTGCAGACTTGGAGTAAACTGCAATGTCGGTTTGGTGATTCATGTTGAAGTTCAGTTTGACTAAAACTTGTCCAGCTCCGATTGATCAGCAGTTATGGTTCTGACATTCAAGAGGAGGACAGACTTGCAAAGATCAGACTGCCCTTGCAGGAATATTGAAGTCCCCGATAACAGTAAAATATAAGTGGATCTGAATACCCCCATGATATATACGTGGATGAATCACGATAGTACCGACATGGCTAGGCCCCAGTAACATCATAAGATGAAATATCTCATGACTTTGAGTGTTCGAAGAATATGTAAGGAGTGCTTATACCTTTCTGTAACCATAACTTACACTAGACAATAACTTGGTTTCACAGAAAGTGGCAGGAGGTGACAAGAAGTCTGTATATATCCTGGTACTTTCGATACTTTGCATGAGATTCCACTTGCCAACTCCCAAATATGTCGCATACAATGCGACTTTGGATGAAAGCTAGAATATTATATAATATTATTGGTATACGTGCAAACGATCTCGCGGTATACTTTACCGACAGTTTGGTTGGGAAATCACTTTAAAGTTCATGATCACAATTCTAGTATAATTGTACTGAAACTATCAACATAATCCGACAAATTTCCCTTAGAATATAGAAGCGAAAGATGTTTGAAACTTGCGTAAATCAGTATCGAAACACTATACAGAGGTTGTTAAAATACAGAATGGAGCATATTCAAACTGAAAATATGTATTTTTTTATTCGTTAGCATAAGGGCAACAAACTTTTGAAAGGTTCAATCTGCAGGATGAAATAATATAATATAAAACTTCACAAGTGACGTTTATCCAATAAGGAAATGCTTGATACAAATTTATTATGTTAAATGAAAAAAATTGTTCATAAATCCTGAAAATTTCCTCAATAACTTAATAGGTTTGATCATATTTTTTTTTGACATAATCTCACTAACATTTAAACATGTAGATGATGTAATCATAATCAACTTGTTGAATAGTGGTGAAATACTTAATTTTTTTTTACGTAATATCAATCCAGAAAAATCACGAATATATATTGTAAAGTAAATTGTTATTATTCCAAACCAATATACTCTCAAAGGTATAAAACTTGATTTCTATCCTGTAAAAATTTGAAATCTTAAATGGTTCAAAATTTGCTTAATTTTAATTCAACATGAATAAAATTTTAAATGCATATTTAATCATTGCAGATTAAAAAATTAAATTTTAAATATCCATAATCAGATTTGTTTCGATGATTTTCATGCTAGGTCTTATCCCATCACATTAAGTTAAATATATTCTTTAAACTATGTGCAAGAGGATTATCAACTTACTTTGTTCTAAACACAGAAAATACGTGAGTCAATACTATTAATATTAATACTTGATCTGATTTAATTATAGTTTGTTTTGATTGAGAGGAGTGAATAATAGATTAACCTAAATTTGGTATCTTCCTAGTCAAAAATGGAACCAATCCAGGTTGTGCTCATTTACAAGCACTTGATTTTTTGTCCATAAATCACGCGCGACGTGTGAACAGTAAAAGACGAGAAATCATACCCATGCGCTCTGCTCAGCGTAAATCCGCAATCTTTAATTGAACCTGATGATATCCGGATCCAGACGAGACGTGACGCCCTTGCTTTAACAAGCTTTAAAGCTCTCAGCCAGACAATGGTCCAAAGAGGCACGGAGACAAGTCAGCACAATTTGGTTGAGAACCCACGAGGATTCGCGATGTGTTTAGTATTGTGCAAATGTGCTGCACAAGAATTTTAGATTCATGCAGTAATTTTCACAAGATTCATTTTAGGTTTTTTTTTCTTAATTTTGTAATACATTTTCTTCATTTGGAAATAGTTTTCAATCAGCAATTATGGCGTCTCGATTTCACCTCATTGCGCCAAGGGCAAAGATAAAAATTTCATAAAGTTGAAAACATGAATCAAGAAAAAATTTAGAATTAATTTTTTTTTAGATTATCATCTTACTGAAAGAAAATTCTTGTGTATAAAGTTTTTATAAAATATTTTATTTATAATTTGAAATTAAAATTAAATAGAAAATTTTGTTCAAAATAATATAGAATTAAAATTTGATTCTTAAAAAAATGTTTATTCGAAAAATGTTTATATATCTTGATGAATTTCTAACATTTTAAAAATTTCTTAATTATTGTACAAAAAGTAATTATTACAAGTGTGAAAGTAATCTTTTAATTTATTTTTATTTCAATAAAATCTTTATTCTTGGAAAATATTGATAAGTTCATATTTTAATAGATAATTTCATTTGTTTCTAAAAATATGTATGAGCACATTTTTAAAATATTATTTTTAGTAAATAATTTATAAAATATATATGTTAATTAGAGAAATAAATATTTTTTTAAATAAAAAAAATAATTATTTAACATCACTTATTGACATTTGTGTTTATGAAATTAAATGTTTGAACAAAATGTTAAAATACATTTAATTTCTTCAATAAAAACTCTGTTAATATAGAAGCTTGAAATGCTTCTCAACAAAGAGATAAATTTCAAGATGTAATTATGCACTTATAGTATTTTTGTTTTTGTTTTATGATGTAATGATTTTGTTGCAGCTATATACCTGATTTTCTTGTACATTGAGTTCGTATGCATATGGAAGTTAAATCTCCAACTAATGCATAACACATCAAGTGTAAACACAAATTCAGTTTTGGTTTTTTCTAATTCAAATTTTGTGAATAGTCAGTATCAATATAGCGTAGCCTAGCAAGGAGTTAACATTGTCTAATAAATCATCAAATAATGAATCATAATATTTAATATTCTTCAACTCTCTGACAATCTATTTCACCGATTTTCAATGCATCTTTCCTTGATTGAATATGTGTAGTCATCTTATTCATCACTAGTGCTATGTTAAATCTTGTGCACACCATTGAATACATGAGTTCGCCCACAACTTTTTCATCGTAAACATATGACATCTTTTCTTGTCAGTGACATCTGTTCATCATTAAATCGTACTTTTTTTAAATGTGATGTCAAAGGAGTACATATTCTTGTAGTGACTACCATGTTAAACTTCTCAAGCACATATTGAATGCATTTGTTTTGACTCAAGTTTATTCTCTTCTTCATCAAATTATTATGAATTTATATATTTAATATACTTTTTAACTTACTCAAATCCTTCATGTTCAATGTATACTTCAACTGGTTATTGCATATGCCAACGTCAAATTGATTCTTTGCTAAGAGTAGCATGTCATCCATTTACAATACTAGGATAATAAGATTGAAGTTTGCATTATTCATCTTTTTTAAATTTAACCAAGGATCAAACACACTTTGTGAAAAATCTTTGTTTTCATGAATCAATTCCAATCTTTGTTTTCATATTCCATTGTTTATGAATTTGCTTCAATTCATATATTGATTTCAGCAATTTACAAACCAACATTTTTTGATATTTCTTATCAAATCCAACTAATCATATTATGTAGATTATAATCTGTAGAGATTTATAAAGAAATGCAATAACTAGATACATATCATTCATAACTAGACTAAATATTGCAACAAGTGCATATAGTAGAAGAATTGTCTAATATTTTACTACATGTGAAAATATTTTGTTATGATTCACACATTTATCTTATGTGAAACCTTTAGTCAAAAACTTGACTTTGAAGATTATACTCTTGTTATTTGTTGGTTTTTACTTCACCTTGTACATCATCTTGCAATCAATCAAAGTTTGATGGCTAAGAAGTTCAACTAAGTTCCAAGTCTTGTTTTCAATCAACAACTACATCTATCATTTCTAGAAGCATTACATTCAAACTTATTGACAAAAGCTTAAATCTCATCATGAGAAAATTAAGACTTGAGCTTAAGTTTTTCAAGATCAACATCATCTTCAATATCAATAACACTATCTTCAAGAATGTATGAATGATTTCATTATCCTTACCTTGCATAAGCTATATTTATATGATACAATGATCTCATAGTAAAATTTTTTGATTGATTTATATTGTTTGATGCAGATACTTGAGTCTCATCAACAATAACTAACTACTCTAAATCTTGATGTTCAATAATTTACTTCATCTGTAGTGGAGCTTCTCCTTGTGTCACATAATTAATCATATGATGATTAATCTAACTCTAAACAATATTTGTGAGTGAATTATTTTTTTTGTTAATAAGAATTTGAGAACTCTTCTATCTTTCAATTATCTAGGTTCATTGAAAAAAATATTACAATAGACAATAACTTTATCGTCTACAAAATCCCATAACCTATAAACCTTCACATCACTAACATATCTAAGAAAATAACACTTCTAAGATGTAGAATCTAATTTGATTTTATTTTTTTTAGGTATGAGAGAAAAAAATTAACAATAAAAAATTTCAAACAACTATAATCTGCCATTCATTTATGTCTAAAATCAAACAATGTCAAGAAATTAATTGCGTTAAAAATAGAAAGATTTATCAAATCTCTTGAATCCAAAATTTATATGATAAATAATATTGTCTCAACATACAATAATAAGTTTAATTAATTATTTTTTTATTAGCTATTTGACTAAGAATATGTTAAAGATAAATAATAACTTTATGATTTGATATATTACTTAATATATATCTTTTTACATTTTATTTATGTTTGAATTTAATAATACTTATTTTTTAGTAAAATTAATTTAATTTAGCAATGATTTAAATATCAATTAAATTTTTTGAATTTTTTAGGTGATGTTTTATTAAATGAGTTGCATAAAATTTATAATAATTTTTATAATTTATTTCTGACTCAAATTATGGAAAAATCATAGCACATGATTAGATTATTTGAAATTTCATTTCTTATTGAAGGTCTTGAAATTAATACGTAAAGATGAAAAACTTGTTGTAGGAATTTAATGAGAAAATCATGAAATATGCTAAAACATTAGCGCAAGTAATCAATGGGTCGCAAAATATTATGTTGCATCTCTCTATTTCAAATTTAATCAAGTTCATTTTCAAGGATAGATTTAACTATCTAAGATCAGTACTATTTCATGCATCAAACACGATATTTTTGGACAATACAGTATGCAAGTGTCTCAAAAAATATAGTGTAACATTTTTTTTTGACTAGATGTTTCAAAGTGTGCAAGCTTTTGCACATGGCCCACACTATGCACTCTCTAAATACCTTGCTGATAGAAAGGAAAAGAAGACTGTTTAAATTGGATTTTTTTTTCAAATTGGAACACGTAGAATTGATTGTACTTTCAATCTCTACGTTCAACTCTTAAAGGGAGATAATCATTGGCGTGTTCAAGTTCGCAATGAGAACACAACCACAAACCTTCTTTGGAAACATTCCGTTGAATGAAATGGAAAATATGAGATGGAAAATAAAAAATGGACATGTCTTGTTGCCATGAAAATTTCCGCCAACGCGTTAAATTTAACAATTTGGGATGCACTGATTTTTAAGCCTTTAAGCCTTGAGAGAGAATAAAAGATGTTCTCTCAGGAATTGAGGCGGCATAAACAAGTGGTCGAAGTATTCAGTCAGTCAACCGTGAAGGCCATTACCAACTTAATCCAAGTTAAGCACCCCTGGCCTTGATGACTACAACAAGTGACGAAACAAAGAAAGAATGAGAGTGTGTGGATCTTTGGCGGTGGATTGTCCATTTCTAGTGACATACCTTTGATACCCGTGTACAGAAGGCCGTCCATTAAAGCAGATGAATGTGATCGTCATGGCGTGGGGAAGCGCAAACAGGGCTTCGTTATCATGCACATGACTCCATCCCACTCCCACGATCTTTTCAATCCTCACATACAGCACGCTACAAAACACGTTGTGCGGTGCATACTACAAACACTGCCCGTAGCCACATTCATGAAGGCAAGACACACTCACCGGTGACACAACCCATCATGTCTAAAAAACTCTCGAAGTAGAGGAAGCGTCAGCCAAGTGGATGACAGAAAGGATGGTATGAAATCATCACCTAAAATTAGTACGAAACATTTTAAACATATCATGCGGATATTTCGGGCCAGACGACAGAGAATGTAGAACATTCTATCGGGGCAATGTCTGAATTATAAAAACTACAATATAAAACAACAGTAAAACATAAAGTTTGGCTGGCATAAAGTTCACAGACGATGGGAGTGTTTGTGGTCATGAACTGAGTTCCTCAACCGAAGACATCTTGCTTCATTTCAAAGGTGTGCAGTGGCTGCAGTTTGGTACGTGCAGCACATTCCTAGGCCTTCCGTTATAGTTTACAACCGACATTCAAGGGCAGGTTCGCATGGATTCAGACAGTTCTGTTATGGCTAGGGCGGAATTAATGATGGTTCATTGGGACTTTAGCGACCTCATTATTCACCATTGCGGTCAACGAGTTGGAATGGTTGGGACATCTTCTGATTTCGATCCGATGATGATCGATCGGAAGGGCAGAGCCTCGATTGCCGAGTTACAAAAATATTTAATATATCTTTTCTAAAATTGTGCAACGACTGATAGCACCGATGAGGCATGTGCAATTACAGTTTAAGAGTCATCAACCAGTGCCACTCTATAGTGGAACTAATTAAATGGAAGACTAGACCAATTTTCAATATACCAATATTTTCATCACCGGGCAAATCACAAATGAAGAACTTATAAAAAATATAGATCGTGCCTAGGTAGGTGAGCACTTTGGAGTGTCGGAAGCAGAACTTAAAAAAAATTATAGATCGTGCGTAGGTAGGCGAGCACTTCGGAGTGTCGGAAGCCTCCGTTCGTCCAGATGACTGAAGCGGACTTCGCAGGCGTTGACCACAGATCTCGGCCGAGATTCCAAATCCTGGATGAAAGTTTGGTGCAAGAGTTTATCTAATGTGGGATCATCTACTCCAGCAGACTAATGATTATCGAGCAACCACAGTCTTAGCGTATACATTCGATGCCGCAATTGAGGATGAACCTCCATGTTGGAACTCGAAGCTCTCGAACTCTGAGTCATTCATTCATCGTCTGGAGGACAGTAACTGCCCACCTTTTGAGGCCAAGGTTCGATGCTCGGATCTCTGGATCTCTGGATCTCTGAGAACTGTCGCAAGCATCTCGTTGCAAGGATTCGATCAGCAAACGAGACTGCGAGAATCAACCTGAACCTGGAACTTGGCAGCACTCTGGGAAGGGGAAGTAAACGCACACCCTCACGCGTGAGAGTGATATACATGCATTTGAGAGCCTGATAACGAGAACATCTCATGCATCATGCAGATCAAGCCTGGTGCGAAATTTGAGTTTGTGACCGGCCAATCTCGGCCACGATGATGGAATTTATGACATAAATAGGAAAAACAAATCTGTGCAGAATTTTCTTCTAAGCACCAGCATGTGCAACCGAACCTTGAGGACTTTGGCAATAATGGCTCCTTCCGAATGTTGTCTACGAAAGTCGTGACTAATCTGAGCTTCCTTTCCAATTATGAGGGATGAATGTGACGTCCTATACCCAGCGGCGGCTAAAATTCACACCTAAAATCGATTTGCACGTTCCTGGCATCACACAATTTGTTGCTAACGAGCTCCTCGAGCTTCTCGCGGGAATGTGGTAACGGAAGAAGCGACCGACTACGCAGTCCGACAGTTCTGGCGTGTCAGAGTCCGACTGTGTCCGTGCAGACGGAGATGTACGTGGTTAAAGTCGGGGGAATGGATCAGGCGGAGCTCGCGGGGACGGCCTTGAGGACGGACACTTCGACGGTCAGGCCGGGACCGAAGGCGACCACGAGGCCCCAGTCGTGGCCCTCGCCGGACGTGGCGGCGTTCGCGGCAGCGGAGCGCCGGCGCATCTGGTCGAGCACGAAGAGCACGCTGGCGCCGGACATGTTGCCGAAGTCGTGGAGCACCTCGCGAGTGGCCTGAAGCTTTTCCGGCTTGAGGCGCAGCGCCTTCTCGACCTCGTCCAGGATGGCGCGGCCGCCCGGGTGCACGCACCAGAACAGGTCGTTCCACCCGGGCGACCCCGCGACGGCCGCGGCCCGCTCGAAGATGGGCAGCGTGTTGCGGGAGATGAGCCCGGGCACGTCCTTCAGCAGGTGGAACATCAGCCCGGCCTCCGTCAGGCGGCCCTCGATGGCGCCGTCGCTCTCCGGCAGGATGGTCTCGCCGGACCAGTGGATCTCGAACTGCGGGATCTCGACCTCCGGCGCCGGGTCGGACCCGACGATGAGCACGGCGGCGCCGTCGCCGAAGATGGCCGAGCCGACGAGGTTGTCGAGGTGCTCCTCGCTGGGCGCGCGAAAGGTGACGCACGTGAGCTCGCTGACCACGGCGAGCACGCGCGCGCCCTTGTTGTTCTCGGCCAGGTCCTTGGCAACCCGGAGCACCGTGGCGCCCCCGAAGCAACCCTGTTGGTAGAGCATGGTGCGGTTCACGCTCGGGTTCAGGCCCAGCAACCGCGTAAGCGTGAGGTCGGCCCCGGGCATGTTGACGCCGCTGGTGGTGGCGAAGACGACGTGGCTGATCTCGCTCCTGGGCCGCCCCCACTCCTCCAGCGCCCGGACGGCCGCCTTCTCCGCCAGCCTCGGCACCTCCCGGATGGCGATGTCCTGCCGGACGTCCAGCGACGCGTCCTTGTACGTGCACATCGCCGGATTCGCCTTCAGGATCTCCTCCGTGCAGTGGAAGTACCGCTGCTTGATGCCGGAATTCTGGCCTGCACGTTTCCGGTTCCCCCGTCAGTCAGTGCGTCCGTCAGTCAGTCCCGAGCTGGTGACACAATTTCAGACGGAATCATGGCATGGACAGAGATGGAGGAGAACTCACAAATGCGGGCGAATTTGGCTTTCAGAGCAGTTTTCTCGTTGCTGTTGGTGATGTTGAAGAAGAAATCCGGATACTCGCTCTGCGGGTACGCTGTTGGAGGAGTGGCTCTCCCGATAGCTAGAACTGTGGCCGGGCCGGTGGCCCTCTCGTGTTTGTAAGCAGCCATGGTCAGAAACGAAAGAATGAATGAATGAAAGAAAGGAGAGCTTAGTTTGAAAAGAAAGGGACGACAACAAAAACGCAAATTGCAAATCGACTGACAGCTCGGAGACACTTGCGGATGCTGTGGAAGGCACTCTCGACGCCTCACAGACTGTGTCGGAGAAATGTCGGTCTTAGAAGAGAGATGAAATTTTTGGGCTGACAGGATGCAGCTGCAGCTGCGAGAGACTGAAATTGGAGCGCCGATGCTGCGAGCGGCTGCAGCTGCTGCAACAGACGATGGCTTGGCGATGGTTTGGGCTGCGCTTGCCAGATTATAAAGCTCTGCCTCCGGCTTCTCGTCCCGAGCTCACTCACTCACGTTTCTCCGACGTCCACGAAGAATTCCGTACCGGCCTGAAGAAGCAAGTTCTGGATCTGCGGAGAATATCACCGTCTGCCTGGCCAGTGTCGTGTCAGGTGAGTCAGGTCCGTGCTCGGTCAATGCCAGGCAGTGTCCGTGCCTCTGATGCAGGGATCGGATGCATGTCACTGTGCGAGACGGATCGCCTGGAATTCGCAACTTTTCACGATCCGATGGTGCATTTTGAGCGTTCATCGAACTCGGTGGTCTTCACTGCCTTTCATGCAACAGCAGCAGCAGCAGCAGCATATCAGATTCGTCAGTCCTCTCGGTGAGCCACGTTCGGACGTACGTCGCCATGCCGTAGCTTTTCTGAAATCAGGAGCGTGTCTGTGACGAATGCAGCACGGAAGGACGCAAAGACTACAATTCTCCTCCTCCTGCTGCTGCGAAGTTAGCTGCACTTTGGGAGGGGCCGGGAGGCTGTGCGTTCTGACCCAGTCTCCCAGGCATCCGAGTCCATGCAGCACAGACCTCGTGAGCTGCGTGGCTTCTTCAGAAAATTCCCAGTTCGCGGCCCACTCTCCCCGACGGGTGAATATTGGAATCTTTCAACCCGGTCGAGTCATGGCAGCTGGGTTGCCTCTGTGGGAAAGAATCAGTGCGAAGATCGACCGGATTAGACGATCGTCCAGGTCAGGGGGAAGCTTGGGATTCCATCGAGATGGCTCAGAAGCAACTAATTTCGCTCTCTGTCCGGCACGAAGGATGTCTTTGACTGCTCTCCTGGAACATGTAATCATGCCTCCAAATGAAGAGTGTGACCCTCGACTGAACCGAGCTGTAGCGTGGTTGAGCATCCTCACAGCCGATCACAGCACGTAAATTCGAAGGATCAGTTTCATTAAGCCCATCCAATACTGAACAATATTCCCATATGTACACCCGTCGATGATGTTTGCTTTTCACCGAGCAGGCATGAGAGTGGTGATGATTCGCTACCATCTTACTTACACTTGAAACTGGAAAGAGCAAATGTATGATCGACTCCCGAATTCCGAGTTCCGTCTAGTGACTGTCGAATTTATGAACTCTGGTGGAGGTTTCAGAGGAAGAAAGGCAGACATGATTTCTAGCTAAACACACAGAGGCAAATGGCAATACTCAAGTGCATGCAACGTTGTAGATTTCGTGATCCAGTGATGATGATCTCAATAAGACTACAGTCCCTGCCCCAGCCCCACCAAAGTCATAGACCGGCGGCAACAGCCATCAGGATTTCCACGTGCTCTCCCACAATAGAAATACGAGAGTTTTTTCACTAAAGATATTGATACGAATCTTCACAAGTTTCCTTCCCTGGCAATCGCGACGAACGTATGGCCTGCGAAAAATTTCGTCACCTTGAAACAGTAGGCTCGTTATGCTTCCATGAATCATCTCGGCAGGTAATCAGGTTCTCTGCACTCCCTTGGCAGATACGACATGGTTGCAAGTGCATTGCAGTTCCTCATGACGCTAATGTTGCGGACGTCTGGTTGCTTGACTTGACATGCCAGTTTTACTCTTCAAATTCTTGACAGTCGCTGTGAATCAATCTGCATAATTGAAGGAACAATGACGACCACCTTTCATAGCCTAGGTGACATGTCACGACGACTCATGTAGTAGACATTCATGTGACAGACAAGATACAGTCTATCGTGTATCATATTGGATTTACGTTCGCATTATTATGAGTTGTGGAGCAGAGGTTGAATTACAATTAACATTCCTGAGACCTCGGTTCGACTATTTTGAAGAGTAGCTAGCCCAAAACAAAAAATCTTGGAAGTACGACATGAATTTTGTTGACTGTAATCCAGTGTTCAATGCTAGAATGATAAAGTCATGTATGATTTGAAATTTAAAATATGCTTCTACTACTGTGCTAAACTTGTGTTGAAGACGATATATTATTATTTTTTATTTGACAGCTATATATGAAACTTTATTCTGAAGTGAAGTAGACTTCCTAGGAGGAACTGTCAGGCCCTACCTTTAATCCAATCGTCTCCTCGAGTATTGAAGGGTTCCCAAACCCATGAAGCACAACCGTGCAGGCCACTTCTTCTGGGTTCATTTATGGAACGAGTAAACAGGGCGAATCGCTTTGACAAGGATGGATATGTGTGGACAGGGTTTGAAAAAGTCAGTACTGTTCTTTCTTCAAGAGTTTCATCTTCTAAGTGCGGTCCCAGTAATTGTGTCTTGCATTGAAAGGATGATCACTAGTTTTGACGCATGGGACTTCGCATTTCTACTTCTCAGACTTTGTCAGGCCACAGGTTGAGTTCAATACTGAATGACAGATACTAAACACCGACACTTTTCCTTGCGTTGAAAAGGATGATCACTAATTTTTCACGCATTGGACTTAGCATTTCTACTTGTACTTCTCAGTGTGACTTTGTCAGGCCACAGGTGCTAACGTTGAGTTCAATACTGAATGTAGACAGATACTAATTCACCGACACTTGTTTGATAATCTTATTTATCTGGAAAAAAATTATCACAGTACATCTTAAGCAGGCCATTGTTTTCCATGTTCGGACCGCAGTGTTAAGAGGATGCACTGCTTCAAAACGTGTAATCGCATGAAGGCCTCGAAATTAGTTGCAGGCCTTAGCCTCCTTAAAAAAATCACACTGCTCCATAGTACGAAGCTCGTCATGTAAAAAGTAGGCAGATGAAATGCAACAGGGGTTTAGGAGGCGTTTCGAGGCCTATGACAACCACTGGCATGGGCAGAAACAGAACTTTGATCTTCCTCGTTTATACAACTCATCAAGCACTGTCAGAGACAAAGCGTGAATCTATATTACAGTAAATCCTCTACAATGTGGCCTAGTGCCTCGATGCTCAGCAAATTACCACAATCCAAACGAAAACAGTTTCTTCACGTGTCTGCACTCGTCTTCCTCGAGGCTTCAAACGGAGCTGAACAAATAAACATATCGACCGCTTGATCATCAAATGTAGGTGCAAGTAAAGATCTGAGCGCGCTCTAGCTCGCATGCTCGACGCTTCCGGCAGAAGAATAAGTACATACTGTACACCTCACAGCAGTTGCTAACCTAATATAGTGACAGGAAAATGATACAGCGAGAATTGAGACGGGAATGGAGGTCAGAGATGGGCCTGGCTCAGGCAGAGTTGGTGGGAATGGCTTTCAACACAGAAACTTCAACAGTCAAGCCGGGTCCGAAAGCCACAACTAGCCCCCACTCACATCCTTCTCCAGTGTTGCAGGCATTCATGGCAGCCGATCTCTTGCGCAGCTGATCCAGTACGAAAAGCACACTCGCTCCAGACATGTTGCCGTAATCGAACAGCACCTCCCTCGTGGCCATCATCTTCTCGACCTTCAAGTTCAAAGTCTTTTCCACCTCGTCCAGAATCGCTCGACCTCCAGGGTGCACACACCAGAAGATATCGTTCCAGCTCGGAGAGCCGGCGACTTCCAAAGCCTTGTTGAAGATGGGAAGCGTGTTCCTGGAGATCAATCCGGGCACGTCCTTGAGCAGGTGGAAAATCAGCCCAGCTTCAGTCAGTCGTCCTTCGATGGCGCCATCGCTCTCCGGCAACACTGTCTCCCCGGACCAGTGGATCTCGAACTGAGGCTTCTCCAGCTCCGGCACGGGATCCGAGCCCACCACCAGCGCAGCCGCTCCGTCTCCGAAGATGGCCGAGCCCACGAGATTATCCAGATGCTCCTCGTGAGGAGCTCGGAATGTGACGCAAGTCAGCTCGCTCACCACCGCCAGCACTCTTGCGCCCTTGTTGTTCTCGGCCAGATCTTTGGCCACTCTCATGACCGTGGCTCCTCCGAAGCATCCTTGCTGGTAGAGCATGGTCCGGGTCACGTTCGGATTCAGGCCCAACATCCTGGTGAGAGTGAGATCTGCTCCCGGCATGTTGACCCCGCTCGTGGTGGCGAAGACCATGTGCGTGATTTGCCTTCTGGGTTGCCCCCACTCCTCAAGAGCTTTGATCGCAGCTTTCTCCGCTAGCCTCGGCACCTCCCTGATGGCGATGTCCTGGCGCACATTGAGCGACGCTTCCTTGTACGTGCACATGCACGGATTGGCGCGCAGGATTTCTGCGGTGCAATGGAAATACCTCTTGTTGATTCCAGAGTTCTTGCCTGCGGACGGGATAGCGGGAGGTCAAACTCGGAGCCGACTTCAGAGCTTCAGAGGATCGCGATAGGCTCTGCTGAAGTTTGCGATGGCAACATTCGATGGATAAAAAGAGGAATCCAGGCTTTGGCTACCGGAATCCTCGAGGCAGAATTGCACATACGCCCTGAAACCTAATCCCGATAACGACGAGGAGCAAGAGGAACTTACAGATGCGCGCAAACTTGGCCTTCAATGCCGTTTTGTCGTTGCAATTTGTGATGTCGAAGAAAAAATCGGGATACTCGCTCTGCGGAAAAGCTGTGGGCGGATTGGCTTTGCCGATCGCCAGAACCGTCGCTGGCCCGGTAGCCCTCTGATGCCTGTAAGCAGCCATCAGAGCCTCTCGCGGAGCAGAGCTCAACTATGAGATTTGAATCCTACACGGCAAGACGCACTCCGACTTGTCTGCGAGACAATTCCACCGATCAACTGACGAGCTCGACAAGCAATTCCAGAAATCGTATGGGCTTCCAGTCCTCCATCGGATAGATCGAAACAAGAACACTCAGAGATGGACGAAAAAAGCAGCAATGGAATTTTCCGCGAAAAGCTGAATGGAACCACTCACGAATTTGCCCGAGCCGAGAAAAGAAGACTTGAGTTGAGCTGCGTTGAGCTGAGCAGCAGCCCTCCTCCAGTAAGGTGGGATGGCAACTGTCGGACGCGAGGCCTGCGGAGTAAGAGGTCAGAGACCACTGTGATCTCCACTCTCGTCGGACGAATGAATGTACCTTCCAATTCTCTTTCCACAATTTTCATCCAAATGTGATAAACTTTGCTCTCGCCAGCAAGACAGCAACTCCTAGAGCCTGAACCTCACTCTCCGGCGATCACTTCATCACTGTCCTCTATAGTAGCAGAACCTCCAGAGGTCGTTCCCAGTAAGTGCCGGCCACGGGACAGTGAGCGAAGCTTCCCGAATTTGCAATAAAAAATGCCTAATTTTCTCGATGTCTGCAGAGTGATTTGTGCAGAAATTTTCTGCAGAGTCCATTCCCGTCACTCCACTCTTGTCCACTCCAGTACACGGCGCAGAGTCCCCACAGACGTGTCAACCCAAAAGGAGGAGATATTATGAGGCGGATGGGCCCTTCTGGTGGATCTCCGTTGGGGTTCGCGCCGACCGACTGGACTGGAGTGAAACTGTCGGAGATACGAAAACCTATTTCCCCACGTGCTCGGGGCCCTCCTGCTCACATCCCTCGCCTCGCCTCGATTTCGTACATCTATCTCGCAGTGCGAATTCTCGATGAAAGTTGATGACGCCTCAATCTCGAGGTCTGGAAGCGTAGATTATTACTTGGATAAGGCTATTACTTGTCGCGGCCCGAAAGTGAAAATGTCACATTGACATTTTCACAGCCTTCGTGGGCACGTTTGCCGTCAAAGGTCGCGGAAAGTGCGAAGAATTATTCAAACGCGGGTTTCTCTCATGCTCAAAATCATCGGTCGGTTTGATTTGGGCACCTCACTGCGGTTGCAGATGAATTTGGCTTCTTCCCGATGGCTTGAACCAAGCAGGATACTCGTCGACGCTTCCTCTCATTCGCTTAAGCGGAGGCCTGGTGATCGCTCCTTCAGGAGATAGATTCATTACCTTTTCATCTACGTTCTTTCCTTCTATCTTGACCGTCTGCTCGGGCACAGGCCCCACTTTAAGCTCGACGGACTGCGTATCGCCACTTTCTGCCCAAGATGGCGCTGATGTCGAGAAATCATCACTCGATATGGAAATAACCGAAATATTGTCCTCTTGATCGGACTCACCTTCGGCCTCGATCCCCGCAGCAGTGAAGGCAGATGCGCTTTTCCGCGACTGCTCGGAAATTCCCCCGCAAGATGTTTCTCTCTCTGCGGTAGTGCTCGCTTCTTTAATGAGCACAGACTCCGCAATTTTTACATGGAAATCCGGATTTCCAGATTGCTCGGAAGCTAGTGGTCTATCTTCGTTACTGCTCACTTCCCTGCTCCTACTCGGGCCTGTCAAGCTAGACCTGGGGTGGGATTTCTCAGACTGATCCGACAACACTTGCGAACTAATGCCTACCAAGTGCAATAGTTTTTGAACAACAGGGTGAGATTCCACGTGCCCGTTATTAAGGAGACAAATGTCCTCACAGGTGAAAAACACGGAATTGTAAGGGTTGGCGAATTTCTTCTTGTGCGGACCGGTTATCCAGTACGCCTCGAAAACACAGGTGCAACGCTCTTCTTCGTCGTCGAAGGTGTGGGGGTTTCGAGCGACATTCACGATTCGCGCGTCGAAGTACTTCACCTCTTCTTCCTTCTCGCCGTCTTCTTCGTCGTCGTCGTCGTCGTCGTTGTTTTCAAGAACGGCCCGAGCACAAACGACCATTCCTTCTTTGATGGAAAGACATTGCTCATCCTGAAGCTGGGATGACGAGAGTCTGATCACATCCTGGACATTGCCTGCGTGTTTCCTCAAGTAGGCTATGTCCCAAACCTCGTCATCCTCGTTGAAGCCGTCGTACCGCACGAGGATGCCGTCGTCTAAAATCTCGACATCAGCATTATACCACGCCTCGTCCGCGACACATTTCACTTCCAGCTGCTCCGGACTCATCAGGAACCCGACTGGGATCCAGAATCTAGATCGAGCGCTACCAGAGTTCGACGCTTTCTTGGCCAGGAATTTCGTAAGGATCCCGAGAGGGAAATCTACTGCCGGGGAAATCTACTGACTACATCTTCCAATCGCCAGAGGCGGGAAGAGGAGCAATTCCTTCTTGAATTGCCTAAACACCAGTCCCGGCCCCACTCACGGCCGATGGGACCGCTTCGCCCTCTGGCGTCGGGAGAGTTTGAATTTGGCACTTGCGAAGAGGACAGCGGTTTGTCGTCGTTGTTGCCCCACGGGCGTCTGTCACACTGACTGACGCCCGTGGGGCGCGTGACTGTCGTCGAGTCGCGTCGCGGTCGCAGGCAGGCCGGCCTTGCATAGGACCGTCGGTCCCGGATCCCTCGCCTCGTGCCCGAGTCCTGTCGGTTGGGTTCTGTACATGCTCCGTTATGTTCGTTGCTTTCCACGTCACGTGCTGATCCGAGTCATCTGACACGCGACTAAATGTGTGATAGTCAACATTTTTCAAAGAAGGGGACGCTCGAGATCTCCACAAACCGAGAACCTTCACAAGCCAATTTGATACCACAAGCCTATTTGATACCACAGCTGATGGGGGATTGAATCCCGTGGAGTAAATGCATATGAGCAACCTATCGCTGCATGGCCTGCATTTCAGAGTTGCGATGTTGGTGTAGCTGTTGATGAAATTGTATGCAATTGACATATTTTGACAGTACAAAAGACGTGGTAATGGTGATGATGAAGATGACCTAAGAAGTGGAAATCTGGGAATCTTCCTGTCGGTTTGATCGGATCGCTGGCCGTCATTATGAAGGATTGATGACAAGACGATGGATTGGAAGGGATGGCACAAGAGTGTAAATGGGAGTATTGAAATTTTCAAAGGATCCATGGCAAATACAAATACAGATAATCGGCCTCGTCCCTTGAGACGTAGTCTAGACCAGGTGTAATTGGTAATTGGAAAAAATTACAGACGCCAGATGCTTTAGTGCAGAGAAGACAGAAGGTTCGTGCAAATCTTCTTCTAAAGTACAACAAAGAGAGCAAACTACATCATTGTCACAATCTGAACTAAGAGGTATGTCCTCCGTAGCTGCTCTGGCACTCCCATTCTTCTGTCAAACAAAATGATACCTATTGTAATTCTTCGATGATCTACAAAACTACTTCATGTACTTGTTCAAAAACTTCCGATGAAAATCATTCCTAATTGTATCGTTGATGAAGCGCTTGGCGATCTTCTGTTCTCCTCGTGCTTGATTTTTGAACACCACGTCATCGTCCCACCTGCCACAGAGAAGGGGGAGGTCAGCCCAATGAAATTGTCAGAGGCTCTCCACTCAATAGCACACCTCCGACTTTCAACAGCTTAGCATAGGATCCTTCATTTGACTGCAAAAGGAACGACGAAGTCGACTTCATCTGTCTTCTCTATTTACGGTTCCTTGTGCCCTCCACATACGTGAGTGGCGCGCAGGTGGCTATATGGGGTCTTCCCATCGTTTATTTCATCCATTTGGCCCCCGTTTTCCCTACAAAAGTTGATTGTTACGTCCATCCAGCGTGATCTTACCTCCGCTTGACTGCAAACGATGTCGGGTTCAGCAAGGGGTTGCCTCTAACCAGCTCCGACTCTTTAACCCTCATTTCTTCTTCTTGCAGCTGGCGTTCCTGAAATTATGTACGTAATACCGACAGTTACTAGGCCAGATAGAAACATGTTGGACCCAGATCAATATCATCATGGACTCAGATATAGGCCTTACCATCTTACATCTTTACTTAAATTAAAAACTGAAATGTCATTTGTCATACGCAGCAATGACTGACTGAATGGGCGAAATCATCTTCAGCGAAATGAGCAGATTTGACTGATACAAGCCAGGCCAATACAGAAAACCAAAAGCTACCTTTCGTAACTTCTCTTCAGCTCGCTCCTTCTTAATGCGTTCCAGTTCAGCTAATAGTTCAGCTGTATCATCCTCGTCATTATCACTGCAAGTAATGGTCGAAAGTATGGGGGTAAAAGTTCAGTAAGAACAGATCACGTGACCGACCAAAGGCACTCCGAGTCACCAAAGTACAGTATCATTCACGAACAAATATTGAGCTCAGTGGGTTAACTAGAGAAAGTAATGTTGAAGGACGAAAGAGCACGAGGATGTGCACCATACATGAGCAATAATGAACTGACGAGCACGCACGGAACAACTGAAAGTAGAGCAGGATTTCGTAGAAGGTACACATAAACCTAACGAGATTAGGAAATATACATACATCATAAGAATCTGCAAGAAACTTCGAAAAGAAAGGAATAAGATGTGCTCTTTAACCTCTCGTCTGACTCGCTCTCGACCTCCACATCCGAATCATCTGCATCTATATTCTTTGGAGCTTGTTTCTCCTCGGTATCTCGCTTTGAACCTGCTCAAATCAGGCGAATACTCGTACTCAGATAATTTTCAAATCAACTGGCAAGGGACTCCGAACTCCTGCTTGGACTACAAATGTAACCAGTCTCAGATTTTCTTGGCAAATATTATATCCCAAGAGCTCAAACCAAACAACTCTGGGAAACAACGGGGTGATCCTCGTTCCCTTGACATGGGTATCAAATCCTGGATCAGTGAGCATACCTTCGAGATAACCAGCAGTTGCAGATCCCTTCCTGTGGTCTCGGTCATCTGCTTGAGCAAACAGATATATACCTCATAAGTACACGGTTTCAATATTTATAATACACAGTCGTATTGCAGCAAATTTGCTTGATTACTAGCTACCATACCCGAAGCTTCAGTCTACCAGGCTGTAATAAAATACAAGTATTGGCCTTGTGATACATCAACACTGCATAATGCTTGCGGATGTGGTGTAAAGGTCAAGATTCTTATTTATGGCATACCATCTGTTACTGAGCAATAAATCTTGAGGCTAAAGCGAATTCGCTCAACAGACAAGCTGTAGAGAATCCCAACCCCTCATCAAACACTCCATGATATTTTTCCATTGAATTTCAAGAGCAAGCTTACCGTAGCCTCTATCCTTGTCCTTCGAAGAAAAATGCCGACGTTCCCGGTCTTCAAGCTCGTCCCGAAGACTGCGCTTACGCAAATCGTCGGTAGTGTCTTGACCGTCTTTCCTGAGAACACCAAGCACAATCCATTCGTCATGCTTAAAAGTTGCAATTTATCACCATACAAGCATTCAAAGTTAAGCCAATTAGCAGACAGTTGAAAAATTCCTGAAATTTGGACACCACCAACACAGGAACATGATCTGAAAAGTTTTTATCTATGAAGTTTGTCTACTACATAAATGTCCACTAACAATTGAAAAGTTACATACTGACAATGGATTGAAGACATATGGTATGTAGGGAGGAAGATTAGCAAGATATAAGTATTCATAGATTAAGACCTCTTCAGCTGTAAAACTAGAGAAGCTCCGAGGTCACAGCGGCAGACATCCGACGAGTGCAAGACTGGCAGAGAACAGAGAAATCGCAACGGAACCGTAATTCCAAATTGGCAGCAACATGGCAAATAACCATCTTCAAAGATTTCAAATTCTGTGACGAACTCTGCCCTAGACGTCCTATTTCGGTCGCGGAGAGTAAGACATACAAACCTAAGTTTCAAATTGGTGTGGGAGGCAAGATCACGAGACGAGTATTTCTGCGAAGCACCAAACATACGCACTCCGCCCTGCTCATGTCCTCCTTTCGCCGGCGCCCACGTTGGCCGCGCAGCAGTCGTCATCGTTTCCTATCCTCTCCGCTGAGTCCACAATCAGCCCCGATTTCCTCCTCAGCTTTCTAATTTGTATGATATAAACCCTGGCGACCAAGTTAAGAGTGCAATCGTCGATATCACACTCTCGACATCCACATCCTCAATGACCTAGTGATCGAGGACTTGATCAGTGAGAAACAGGTAACACACTGATCTTCAGTGCTCGACGCAGAAGATCGAAATTCCTCGATACCCTAGTATTCGGGACTTCACCGGTCAGAAACCAAACATCCCCACGAGTGAAAGACCCAAAGTGCAGCCCTCTGGAAGACAGAGCAGCAGAATATATGGTGACGTGTGCATCTCATACACGTGGCAGTATATAATTGCCTATTTTCTGCAACTGAGTAAGCAGCACAGGTGGAGGGAGTCACATCAGCACGGTACCTTTTACCTTTCTCCGTGAGTGCAGTGAGTGAAGATGCCCAGACAGAGAAGCATGCGCAACTCGATTGACTCACTTACTCATGCATTCTTGATCGAGGCTATCGACGTGAGGTCTGTGCAATTCACGGGAGTCAAGGATTGAACCGCTTGCCTCTTAACCCAAACTCCAAAGGAGTCAATCTTTTTACGCTGCGTAAGTAGAGCTTCAGTCGTTAGTTGCAAGCGCAATGAAGTTTAATATTCCAGTTGATTGTATTTGACCGAAAGAAATTGAGCTATCCATGAGCAGGTCGAAGAGGCCGTAATCGGGCTATGAAGGACCTAATCCTCACGCATGTGGCAAATATTGTGCGTTGACATGAAATCTAATCAAAATATACGTGATTAAAATAAAAGTTCAAGAGTATGCAATCATGCGATTGGCTGATTAGACCTTCCTCAGACCCATACTAACAATTACCAGATGTCAAGTTGTTGATATCATGGAATGCTGGAAAAAGTTGGATTCATTACATTATGATGCCTCTAGTTCTAAAGTGGTGGAAAAATATCTGACAAGGTTCGAACAGTCGCTTGGAGGGACAGTAATCTTGACAGAGGAGGTAGGAACATACAGGCGTGATTCAAAATTTTGATCCGCACGGAAATTTTTCAAACGGATTATGATAAATACAAGAAACAAGGGGACACATTTAGGGCACGTAGCGCAACGTGTTCAAGTTTGAGGTTCGGCGGTGTTTGAGTTCGAAGTTTAAAGTCCATGAACACTCACTTCGAAAGTTGCTTTGCCAATATCAAAGGCGAGATTTCACTCCGTTGGATTACTGCTAGGCTGACTCTTGACATGCCGAGTATTGAGATATAATAACTCCTTAAAGTTTCAACGTTAGATTTTTGAGTTTGAAAAAAGTTTCAATACCGAATATGATATTGCATTTCAGAGTTTCCAGCCGAAGTTAGCAAGGGACTGAAGTGAATGCCATGCTCAGGTTTGTTTAAAAGTTCGACCGTTGGACGCCGGACTGTGGGAGGGATGAGGTTTCAAAAGCAATCATCAAAGTGTACGATATTCATGGAGTACATAAAGTACATAAGTGTGTGTACATATATATTTATAATCATATGTGCAGCGCAATGCCGCGGAAAGTAATGATATTCGCAAGTAAAATAACAAATCCATTCTCATCCATGATGCGGAGGATGCCCAGAAACATTCCCTGAGTTCATTTATAATCCGGATAGTAAATACGGGTTCATCCAATATAGTCCACATCGTGAAGGTTTAGACAAGCCAAGATTGTCGAAGTTCGCCGGTCTTTCGACCGTCACCGTAAAAGACTGACCGGGAGAATCGCCTGTCCGTCGTCTCTTAATTCTTATATCAAGAGAGCCTTTCAACTCAAAGCTTGTTTCGAATACCTCTAAAATTTTGCCGGTAAGTACTTCCAAAAATGCAAGACCTAACCCTGTACGTGTTTATATCCACAATTCTACTCTGCTGGAAGATCTAAGGTCCAAAATATACCCTAGTAATCGTTCATACTTGAAAATAGCATATGAGGAAATTACGAAGAGTTGAACAAAACTTCTCTTTCATTTTTTACTTTAATATTTCCATCTGTATCATTTTAATCGCAATGCGGTTTTAGAGTTTTGTGATTTTGCATGTGGGAAGACATGCATGATAGAGTGACTAGCATTCATATCAATTTTTTTTGCGCCGGGGACACCTTAGCTTGATTCCTTATAGTCACCTAGTGTGAAGCGCTATACACCATGTGATGTATGTCATATACTTTTGATCTCATAAATGTTACAAAGATGCAATACGATTGGACTACTCGGGAAGATACTGATAGATAAGATAGAGTACATTAAAATTTCTTGGGGATCATTCTTGCCAATCGATCAGATCGTGGATTACCATCCGAATCATAGTCCATTTTAGTACTTTATGAGATTAGTGCTTCAAGTCCATTCTCATTATCCGGTTTAGAGTAATCTTCAGCTACTTTTACAAAGCGCAAAGCTTTGGTAAGATAGAGTGAAAACACGATTAAGGCAAAGATGAAAGCAGCCCACGATGAACTCGAGGTTACTTTGAAAAACAAAAGTAACGATCAAGAGAAGGTTGTCTGAAAACAAACAAGGGCGTATATGGAAGTAGATGAAGTCTCAAGAGAAGATTCTAATTCCACCCCAGATTTCTCCAATCAGCTTTTCGTCTCGGTCTCAACTCAGAAATCCGGATTCTTGCTCTTGCTCGAAAGCGAAGCTCTTTGTTGAAAAGGACGTCAACCAGAGTTGGAGTAGCTTTGAGTGAAAAAGAGATCGATGATAACACGAACACATTCACAAGTGGAAATAAGGAAATGTTCACAAGAGCATAGGAAGCACTTGGTGATGCTGCTACCCGAGAGAGGTTGCTTGAGGGAGAAATTGGGTACGGTGCTGACAGTGGGCGGAGGAGGAGGCAGTGGTCACAAGAGAGGGGAGAATAGGGAAATGCTCGGAGAGTCGAGGGATTTATAGCAAGGAAGGATTGGAGTGACAGACATGTTATTGCACGAGGGGCGACGGTGCTGCTGGTGGTGGTTTCAGGCTGTTAATGTCAACGATGAAGACATTCAAAACTGCCCGTCAGCTCTTCTAGATTTGATCCAGTGATAATTGAGCTGCTAAAGTGGATCATTCGGTGTGAATCGAGTCGCTCCAAGTCAGAGTACTGTGCGGTCGATGACATGATTCTCAGAGAGATTCTTTCGATGACATGATGTGCGAGCTGAGCTCACACATCTTTGAGCGGTGTGGCCGGCAGGAAATGTTTACAGGAATCGTTCAGAGTTGCCACGTAAACATTGAATTGTGCACGGGCACTCGAGTGAAGGACTGAAACATAATTGTTGAGATACAAATCTGAGATTGTGGGGAGAGCCTGATAGTCTAACTATGATCCAAAGCAGTGAATGTGCTAATACATCTGCAGTAGAGGAGCAGAAGAGCCATATTATCAACTTTGACCTGACACCATTCAACCTTGACGGGTTACAAAATGGAATCCTAGAAACTTTGAAGAACAGCAATCTCAAGGAGTGCGTGCAATGTCAAACTTGCCTAAATTTGGGATCCTTGCTTAGACTGATCGAATGGAGAGCCTGGAATGCCTGGATGTCGGGGAGCGGACGGTCAAAACGGGACAGAAGATTATGGACCAGACCGGCCCATCAAGTAAAGATGGCAAGCCAGGAGCAGTGGCAGGAAACGGAAGAATGACACTGGCGGCGGACGTGTTCGTCTCCCTCGCGGGAGAAGGACCTCGAGCTCTCATTCTCCCAGAACGCGTTGAGAGAGTTGAGAATATGAAGATTCTGGAACAGAAATCTTGCGAGAACTGCTCGTCAATCTAATGTGGGCCGGAAGCTGCACGCATCACAGGCATCTCCTTCAAGTTCCCGGCCGGCATCTCCTTCAAATGCCGGCCTTCGGCGCCGGATCTCGCTTGTGTCTCGGCCGAGAGCTCGCGTACTGTACAGTCAGATCAAAGCCGTGGCCGCCGCATTGCTTCCCCATTGCTTCCCCGTTTCACGTTCCGCCCGGTGCCCGGCCACGAGGTCCGTACCCGCGACCACGTTCTCTTGACCATGGCCCACGGCCTGCGTGTCAAGGCGCATCCCCGACGCAGTACAGTAGCCATCTCCGTCAGGCTCTTAAAAATTGGGATTAAATTGGACTCAAAGTGGACCATTGGGCCTCTCCATCATCCTAGCGACATTCCCCGGGAATAGCTAACTGACTTCGGGGATAGTATGCCTGGCTCCTTGTTACTACTACCAGGGCTACAACTTGAGACTTTTTAGTGTAGAACCCGGGTGCAACCCCTTGTAAATGTCACTTTATTGTATGAATTTTGGGAGCACTCACACTTAAATATAGGATTGGAGAGCTTTCAATCCATTGCGGGAAAGTAGCTACTTCACTTTTCCACTTGCGATGATGTAATTAATGAGTCACCAATATCTATTAACTTTGTTCAAGGGGACATATCATGTAGCCAAACATGCATCCACTGCCCTGCACTCTTAAGAGCATATTTTTCTTTCACTATATAGGCTCTCATAATCTTCGAATGAGCAAATGACACCTTTATGTTGTACAAGCGTAATTTACTCAATAGCGGTCAAAGATTGATGTGATTTCGTTTCGGTGCAAACAAAAACAATCTTCGTAGATTCGGTTAAATTAATAACAAGCGGTTCATCAGACAATCTTGTGACTTCATCAAAACTCCGAAAAAGTATATACATACTTTGGGAGGAAATGTAGTTTTATCGTCACTGAAGGTTCTTCTATTTGTGGCCGACTGAGATTCAAATTAGAGTTCATTCTCTAATGTTCATTAGTAATGATTGAAGTAAGTATAGTGTATTTCACACTTCGTAGCCCTGTGTCAAAAGAGATTTTTTTATAAATCTGAATCAACAGCTGAAATGTGAATTTTTGAAGAATCTCCGTTATTCACACTGCACCTTTTTACATCTCCATCTTTTTCCACCGTGATGAGAACATGTTGTTTTTTTTTGGGTTAAACTGTAGATGTTTCTTGGCGAAGTATAACACACTCACTTTACTACTTCCTGTAACCGGATTGCCTTAGGAGTTATCGAAGAGCTGAACGAACACAGCTAATGGCTTAAATTTAGGAGTACAAATGGCGGAATTGGGGAGGACGTGGAGTAAGTGAAGGGGGCACCACAATCATCCGTGTTACGGTAACCCTACTCTCATTATCATCTATTGAAGATTTTCTGGCATGTGACTAACAGAAGCTAGTTTACATGTTTTCTCAAAAACTCATTTATCAT